GCTATAGGAAAATGCTAGGGTGCCACCACATGGGTGCTACTATGGGTGCATTCATGCTTTGCACAGACAAACACAGACGATAATTGTCTGTGTCGCACAAACAATTATCGTCTGTGTTTGTCTGTGCGAAGCATGGGTGCACCCGTGGTAGCACTCATGTGGTGTCACCCTAGCATGGTCCATTGCTACAGAGTAGCTTTTTAGCTAAAAGTTGTCGTTATAAAGTCTTTTCAAAAGCTTGAATTGGTTGCCAACCGACACTTTGATGTAATTGCACATTTGCACATGAGTCACACACTTCACAATTCTAGCTACATACGCATTCCATGAACGATGATACACAAGACAATCAATGACTTCCGTCACCATTGTGGATGACTCTTTAGTGTCTGGTTCAAAGAATTTGAAATGGAAAAAATGAAGTGGAAAACAATACTCTCTCTGTCTCTATTTTGATTAACATTTTTGAAATTATTTTATTTACAAATTGATACATCAATAAGAAATAATTACATATTAAAAATTAGGTCTAAAGTTTTACAAAACAAATGGTGCTAAAAATATATTATTTTATCAAATAATCAATGAAAACATATAAATAAGTACAAGTTATTGAGAGAAGAGAGAATAAAATTGTAATCAAAATGCAGACGGAAGAAGTATTTTTTGTTTGGTTAGAAAGAAACGATAGAGAATCACATTCTTTCCATTTTAGTGAAGAAAATGAGAGATCATTTTTTTTTGTTTTTCCTTCCGAATTCCTTAAACCAAACATAGTGTTATGGTTCGTGACACAAATGTCATCACAATTTTTACTTTGTCTACCAATACTGTTAATATAAGTAACTACTTTTAGGCAAACAATGACTTCCCCCATCAGCTCAAACATGGGTATAAGTTTTACTTTTACTTACTACAAACGTAATCACTAACGACTATGCCATGTTAATGTTGTGGATCATTCTTATCATTAACAAATAACACCACTATCGACATTGCTGCTACGACCACCTATCCAACTATGTCACAACCATCATCACTAGTGGTTGTGGCTATTCTTGAAAATCACTACTTACTCCCTCTGTCATTAGTGACACCACATTTAATAACAGTGACTATCGTTGCCACCACTGGGGTCGGTATTCCAACCATGTCACAACCCCTATCACCGGTGGTTGCTTTTATTATTGAAAATCACTACTTATTACTATTGTCATTGGCAACACATCATATATGTAACATTCATTATTGTTGCCGTCAACTATTATCATTTTCATTACCATTGTCATCGATCACCAGGGTCAGTATTCCAACCATGTCACAACCCTTGTCACTAGTGAAAGCTTCTATTGTTGAAAGTTACTGCTGCACTATCAATGTCATTAGCGACACCTCATTCACGTAACATTGACTAGACATGGAAAAATAGAAGTGGAATTAATAGCTCGAACCGAATGATCTGAAACCAAAACAGAAATGACCCGAAAAGTGAGATTTGATTTATAACCAAAGAGGCGAAATGATCCAAATCGCACTGAAATCGAACTAAATATATTCATACTTGATTTAAATTTGAAACCAATCAGATCCGACCAATTAAATCCAAAATCGATAATATCTGAAATCGATAACATGCGATATTGATAAGATCCAAAACCGACAATACGCGAAACTGATTATATCCAAAAATTGATTATATCCGAAACTGAATCTACACGACAATAAATATTTTGTATTTATTTACATTAGTGTATAATTACATTCATGTGATTTCGAACTTTACATTTATTTTACCATTTCAGCTAGTTATATTATTTACTCTCTCTGTTCAGAAATAAATTATCATTACAAAGGGAAAATTTTTAAATTTACTAACAAAAAAGTATTATATTGCGTGAAGAAACCCATTTTATCTTAATTTCATCCGATTAGATTTAATTTTATTTTAGTAAATTTGATTTGTTTTAAAATTATTTACTCATTTTCACCCAAATTTTATCTAATTACATTCAATTTCACCCAAATTGAACACATTTAAACCACATTGCATGTAATTTATCAAATTCCACTAAATTTTTACCTTACCGCTTTCAATCTTAACCAAATGAAACAATTTTTTGACATAAAAGTAATTGAATTTTGCTAACTTTTACTCAATTTTTATTAATTTTCATCTCAATAAACTCAATCTTATTTGATTGGAATAAAAGATTATTGCAATTTAGTTTTTCTCTCTGTATATACTAGATTCAAACTCGTGCGTCGCGTGCTAAAAAATTAAATGAAAAATTTAACTCCTTTACATTTAATTTCACTTCAATGTAGTCCAATTGTATACAATTTCAATCAATTTAGGTGTAAAAGTGATTGTACTCCATCGAATTGGATTTAATTTTGTCTAATTTCAACCAAATGTATTCAAATTCACCTAATTTTACTTTAATTTTACATAATTTTATTCAACTTCTTCTAATTAAGAATAAAATTGATTTAAATTCAAATAATTTCATTAAATTTCACATACAATTGTATTCAAATTCATTCAATTGTAACAATTTTTAAGACTAAAATTGAGTGGATTTGAATGAATTTCACCTAATTTACTCAATTTTTACCGGTTGCATTCAATTTCATTACTAAACATACTGTTTTTTTCATAATTCGTATGAGTAGTCCAACTTTGTAAAAATATGACTAAAAAAGAGAAATGGAAGATCATTTACGGCGGAGTGTGTATAATTAGAAAAAAATTAAAATAATAAGAGATGATAATATCTTTTTTTTTGTCATACACAATTCCAAAGTCTATTTCATTTCTGTCGTTTGTGAATTACAGTCGCTTTCTACTACAACCATAGTCTACAAATGTGGTCTTCCGTTGGAATTCTATCCCACAATCATAGTCATTATTTTTGTGTTATCCGCTTAACCGATATCAGAACACGTCACTAGACATAATGTTGATGTCAAATTATACTTTTAGCCTTTAGATTAATACCAACATTGCAGAAGATAAAAAAAACTATTTGTGGAAAGGCACCTTTAAAAAAGGATTATAGGGGTAGGACCATGCTACACACCCCCAACCTTGCTACCAACCTTGCCTCCACCTACTTCTCTACCACATATTTATCTCTACATATTCTCCACACACCCTCTAATTTCAATTTTCTTCCCTCCCTACCACATGTTTATGTAGGGGGGGCATGGGTGGTAGCAAAGGTGGGGAGTTTTTAGCATTTTCCATAGGGGTAATATTTGATAATAGAGGACTAAATATGGAAACTCCCCTGTTATAAAGGACCAATTATAAAATTTACTCAAAAAAGATACATAGATAATTAAATTTTAGTTTGAAAATAACATATGTCAAAAATATACGAATCAAATTATATTCAAAACCGAAATATTTTTTTGAAAATATCTGAAATCGAAATATATTCGAACTGAAATATGCCCGAAATCGGGATACATCCGAATCGATTGATATTCAAACCAAAATTGAACCAAAATAAATCCGAATTGGAACCAAATTGAAACCAAAAACTGTATGGAACCAAAATAAATCCAAACAAAAATTAAATCGACCAATCCGAATTGAACCGGTTATAACATATATCCGAACTAAGAAAATCTAAAAAGAAATCCATCCGATTGCCAGGTCTAATATTGACTATCGTCGCCGCCAACTATTACCACTTTTATTTACGGTGCCACCACCATGGTCGACATTGAAGATTCAAGGGTCCATGTCTAGACGGAAAATAATTTTAGATTTAGACGGAAAATAATTTTAGATTTCGGATCTGTTTTTTTCGAGAACAGATCCAAAATCCATTAAACCGGATTCGATCTTAGACCTAAGGGTCTGATTTGGTCGTTCTTTTTAGGCTCCGTTCCGTTCAACTTATTTTTTCTGATCTGATCTCATTCTAATAAGTTCTGATCTGATCTGATTGAATCTGATCTGATCTGATCTGATTGGATCTGATCTGATCTGATTAGATCTGATCTGATTGGATCTGATCTGATCTGGTTGGATCTGATCTGATCTGGTCTGATCTGATTAATTATGATTTAATTTAAAATTTCAAATCAATAATTTAATTTGACTTTATAATAATGTTTGAAAATTGTAATGATAATTCATATTATAATATAATCAATATTTTTTATTTAATGATTCCTTTTTAATAAAATAAAAATAGTTAATTCATATATTAGAATAACCATTCATATTATAATGTAATAATATTTTTTATTTTATGATAATTTTATGTTTAAAATTAGAATTATACATTGGAATAAATATTTAATTTAGATATACATTTAAAAGTAATTAAATTTAGATAATCAATATATAGAAGAGATAGTATTTTTATTAAAATATCTCATCCTTATAAAAGATCAAAAGTTTAGAAACTCAAATTACAAGTAGCAATAAAAATATATTTTAAAAGTAGAATTAGATTGACATTGTCAATGTATTTTAAAACTAATTTTTCCGACGTCTAATAATTAAGGATTACTTTCTCAGCTTTTTATTTAACCTATTTCTAAAGTTTATTCCTTTTCATTTTTAAGAACAACAACAACAACAACAACAACAATAATAATAATAATAATAATAATAGTAATGACGATGATGATGATGATGATCATAATAATAATAATAATATAATAATAATAATAATATAATAATATAATAATAATAATAATAATATAATAATAATAATAATTCTTGATGAGATCTTATTTTAATAAGTCTTGATCTGATCTGATCTGATTGGATCTGATCTGATATGATTAGATCTGATCTGATCTGATTGGATCTGATCTGATCTGATCTGATTTGATCTGATCTGATTCGATCTGATCTGATCTGGTCTGATCTGATCTGATTTTAATAAGAATAAGAAAAAATAAGAAAAAATAAGTTGAACGGAACTGGGCCTTCGGGACCAAAACTTGGACAGCGAGAAGCGCTTCACTAATCTGCTACGCGACAATTTGCCCAAAACCAGCGAGGGCCGACCAAGTGTTCGATGGTTTGCCTCAACGACTGATGCAACTGTAAAATGATGCTCCGACTGCCGGAAACACCTCAGCTCCTCCCAAACACATCCCGCCGTTTCACTTCTCCGATCCGTCGGTGCAAAGACAGCCTCTTCTTTAGGAGCGTCGCTACACCCAGGGCCGCCAAAGAACGAAAGGTATGCATTCTTAGAACTACTTCATTCGTCTGCGCTTCATCCCTCGGCCGCGTCAAACCAGTCCGGGATCGCTCTTTGGACAGGCATATTGTTAAATCCAACAAAGTCCGCTTCGTTCAGAAGCTAAAGACTCTACTTTTATCAACACCCAAACATTTCTTGCCCATCAAAGCTCTTCACAAGTTCCGTGCCTATCTGGCTCCCTCCAATCCAAGCTCTATACCAAGAATGATTCATCGATACCCTACGGTTTTCGAACTCTTCACCATCCCAACGCCACCCGTCCCGTCGCTTTGTGTTAGGCTGACCCAAGCAGCGGCAGCTCTTGCGGTTAAAGAATTTGAATTGAAATCGAATATGGCAGTTATCGCAGCTGCAAAGCTGCAGAAGCTCTTGATGCTCTCATCCCATCGCAGGCTTTTGTTATCCAAGCTGGGGCACTTGTGCCCTGATCTTGGATTGCCAGTCGATTTTTGTTCTCGCCTGTGCAATCAATTCCCGGATAGATTCAAAGTTGTGGAGACTTCCTACGGGCGGGCTCTGGAGCTTGTTTCTTGGGATTCGAATTTGGCCCGTTCTTTACCCTCGCACGAGGTTGGTTCCGATTCACTTGGGATGATTGTGGACAGACCTCTGAAATTTGAACACTTGAGGCTGAGAAAGGGGCTGAATTTGAAGAGTAGCCATAAAGATTATCTTATCAAGTTTAGCAAACTGCCACATGTGTGCCCTTATGAATCATCAAATGTGGGGGACTTGGATTTTCCTTGCGAGTCTGTTGAAGCGGAGAAGAGGGCTTGTGCCGTTGTTAGGGAAGTGTTGGCCATGACAGTGGAGAAGAGGGCTCCGATAGACCACTTGACGCTTTTCAGGAAGGACTTTGGGCTGCCGAATAAACTGAGGGCAATGCTGGATAGGCACCCTGAGTTGTTCTATGTGAGTTTGAAGGGGCTGAGGCACTCTGTGTTTCTGGTTGAAGGTTATGATGATGGTGGTGAGCTCAAGGAGAAGGATGAGCTACTGGTTATCAATGATAAGCTTATGGAGCTGGTTCGCGAAGGGGAGGCATTTGCCAAAGGCAACGCCAATTTCTGCGATTCAATTGAGGAAATCGATGATGAGCTCGATGTCCGTTATGATGGCTTAGACGACTTATTCGATCCTGGCTGGGTTTGAAGACTTTCATTATGAGTATCGCGCAAATGATTCTGGGAGCATCTTGAAGGAATTGCAGTCTTTCAACTACTGGAGAAAAATGTTTATTCTCACAATGAGCTCTTGTTCCATAAACCTTAAAAATAAACTTCTTTTCGAGATGCTATGTATAAATCAAATTTACCCATCAGGCCGCCATCATATAGACAACCAATGAACCTTGCAATTGAATTTTTTAAACTGTCATATTTAAGTTAAAAACAGTTCAAAATCAAATACCAAATGAAATAAACCTTCTGATCGGAATATACCCATGAAAAGAGGATTGCAGTAGAAACTCTTTAATTCTCACACAAGTTTCAAATGTTTCCAATATAATCTTCGAAGAAAAAACTATTTTTTGTTTTGTTTCAGAGTCTTTACCCAATAGGCCCTATGAAGAAAAGAAACTAGTGTTACAATGGAAGAAAGTGTCGAATACAATGAGTAGAGAGGGGAGGCATTAAAATCTTGTGCCAAAATTAGATGCTCTGCAATTGAGAGAAGGAAATCCGAATGGTGGATCCGCCGAGGGAGGACGCGTTCTTGCACGCAAGGGCTTCGGTGGCCTGCTCTTCGTTTTCGAAAAGGACAAGGGCCTGCTTCTTCCCATTCATCTCAAAGAGCTTGCTGCCGACCACGGCGCCGTGCTCCTCCAAGTGGGACACGATTTCCAACTCGGTCACGTCAGGCGGGAGGGTTGACAGGTGGACCATCTTGGTTGGCGAGCAACAATAGCGGTAGTTCTTCGCGGCGTTCCGGTTGAACCGGTTCAGGTTGGAGTTGGAATAGTCGTGAGTCTCCGGTCCGGCCGTTATGTTAGGGTGCTTTGAGAAGTTCACCTCCAACCGCTTGCCAAAGAGTATGCTTCCCTGCAATGGGAGATGCAACACAATCAAAATTCAAGCAACTGGTGAGTGAATTTGAAGCAGTATTTAGGTAGGCCTCACATGCCAATTAGCCAACTGATTAGTTGTGTTTTATGACTTTTATCCCTTTGACTTTCCTGAAGTTAAATAAAAGTATTGAAAAGTGAAAAAATTATACTTTGTATGACAATGTGGGAAGTGATTTTTGAGACATTCAAAAAGGGAAAGTGGGTAAAGTGTTTTAGGGATCACTGAGGTGGTTAGTTGCACATGATGAAGCCAACTCAACATTTTGGCGGGGTCCACATCCTGTAATGTGGCCCACCTCAGCTCTTTAAAATTCTCAATCAGGAAAATTCTACCTAAAAAAAGTATTCATACAAAAAGAAGGAAGAATAAATAAGACCTTCAGAAAGTGGACGGCTAATTCAGCTTGGAAACCATCACCCATCTGAACCAGTGCATGATCCGGTTTGTTGCGTAGAAGTTTGATTTTGACAATGTTTCCATAAATGGAGAAAAGGTTAAAAAGCTTGTCCTCGTCTATTCTCTGCATTTAGGAGAAATATTGAAAAGTCAGGCGTCTATAGTCAGAAAAAAAACTTAAAAAAGATAACAGAGCTTGAAAATACACTTACATCCGGATCTAGATTGGAAACAAGAATAGTGCACCTATCATTTGTCCCACTTATTCCAGGAGGCAACCCGCCGGGAAATGCAGCTGCAATGGCAGAATTCCCCATCTGTTTTAAAGGAGACAGAGCCGTGAAATGAAAAGGAAAATAACTTGTCAGATGCAAATTTGGTTGCATTATTTCGAGACTGAGAGAAAGGGAAATATACACACCTGATGAAATCCCACTGGAGAGAGACAACAAGAAAACAAAGTTAGAGATGCAAAAAAAAAACGTAAAAAAGTTTTCAAGAAATAATAGTAAAAGATAACCTGCATGGGCACCTGAGGCTTGTAAGGGATACATCCCTCCAGCATCTCCATAGCCATGCTGTTATACATCAAAAGATTTTAAAAAATCACTCACAAGTATTCTCAATCATACAAAAAGGGATTTCTCCCAAACAAACTCAGTGTAAAGAAACTACTTGAGAAGATTTCCCCCTTTGTTCAGTTGGTAGGTTTGGGTTGGTGAAATCCCTATAAATAAAGACGTAATAAAGCAGTGTTATTTAAGTGGAAAGCTACTCTTATTTGCCAAAACAGAAATGAAACTCATCTACAATACCTTGATTTGTCATTATTATAGTTCACTTGTAATTCATCTAGGCTGCAGATCACCCAAAAGAAAAGAAATATGGATTATTAACACATCACAACATATGAACAAAACAGTGGAAAGAGTTGTCAGCAGACACCAATGAAACTGACAACATGCACAGAAGAAACCCCCAGCAAGTACAAACCAGGGGGGAAAAGTCTAAAAAAGGATCAACAACTTACTTTGAAAACTGAATGTCCAGTTGACAGCAGCCATCATAGATATTACGGCCCTATATATAAAAAAGTTAGGAAGTAGTAAAACCTGAATATAACAATATGTTTGAGACTCAACTATTGTATTATTATTGTTGTTATTATTGAGAGGTTCACTTATTAGAAGTATATGTCTAAGTTGGGACCAAAATATTTTATACTCCATCCGTCCCTAAAAAGGCGTCACTTTCCTTTATCTGTCCCAATATAATTTCCAATTTCATTTTCAAGGAAAAGAATATGTGGCTCACAAAGTTTTCCTCTTCCGAACAAATTGTAAATGAGGGAGTAATAAAACATCGGTTATTGTTATAGAGATCATTCCAATTTAGCACTTCTACTATATTAACTTCTATTAAATGGCAGGAATGGATTCTCATTCATTTAAAAATGCTCAAATATATTACTAGCTCAATACCCCCTACCCAAAAAAAAAAAAATGAACAAAGAGTCATGTTTGAGCAATATACCGCTTTCAAATTTTGGTAATGTAAAAGTATTCATTATATAATTACTATAAATCATAAATATTTGTTAGATGTTTAGTTTTGATTTTGTTGGTTTAACTGTATTAATCATCCGTGACTTGTATGTGATTTTTTACGTAAATTCTTGGCAAATCACTTAAAAATATATTTCATCTGATCAGCGCGGACTTTTTATTTGTGACTGAATGCATGTGAAACAAGTCTCTTTGAGATGGATCGAGTGAGAGATATGAGAAGTGCACCTGAAGAGCATTCCGAGCAGTAATTGCAATTTGGTTTGTTTGATATTGAATCAAAGCTTGAAAACCTACAAAATTCACATCACATCAACCAACTATATGATCCAAGATATACCATGAGTGCAGAGCATGACATCCCAATATGATCCATAAGAAATTGGCAAAAATAACAAATATAGTATGTCAATGTGACATTTGCATATAGATATTGCTGCATATGAGTTATTTTTCCAGAGACGAAATTCCATAAGAATCTAGCAATAAAGTGAAAACGTATAGAGAAAACTTGAAGAAGCTGACCAGCAGACTTCTGAAAAGTGACGATCTTCTCTACAAATCCATGTGGGGAAAACACTTGATGCAGCACTTCCACGGTTATAGGGTATAGCATGTGATGTATTGTAACTAAGAGAATTCGATTAGGCTGTGAGAGTCCAGAGAGAGCCGAACAGCAGAGCAACAACATAGAGACAGAAGGAGAAGAGAGAAAGAGAATGAATAGAATAGAACAGATGGAAAAAAGAGAGAACGTACTAAAAAAATAAAAATACACATAACATGCTACTCAAATTATCATGCTAGTCAGTAGCTATGGCAGTCATGATATAAACATATTCACTCTTGTAAAAACATCACATGTGGTGCAGCATTAGGGAGAACAAAAAATTAAAAATCTCTTGAATACCTCAGAACAGGAAAGCTAGACACATACAAAAGATGTGGTGCAGATAAAATTGTTACAAACTTCATCCCGCTGTTATAGGCCATAATTGACTTTTTGTGATTGAAAAAAGTAGAACTTTGCCCAATGTTTATAATTAAAATGTTTTAGTTAATCTTATAAATCGTGAACTTTTACGAGTGTACTCTTATAACTATACCAAGCAAAGAAAATTATTCTACGTAGCTACCTTCACAATATAAACTGCATTGCATGAAAAACATATATTATTGCTCTACATTGAAAAATCTTTGACCACAAAAACCCAAACTGCAGCCTAATGAAGTGGGACCATCGAAAGAGGGAACCATTCAAAGAAATCATCTACACTACAATATGCTGAAGTCAAACTATCACCAGCTGCACTAAATGCCTGTCATTCTGCTCTATAACATCAATTATTCAGTTCTTATTATGAATTAGTCTTGTAAGTACACGTGAGTTCCAAAAACATGTGGTAGAAACTAGAAATTATCAACCGAAATACCGAGACAATAATTTTCATCACAATCCCCCATACTGAGGGGTTTACACATGGTGATAAAGGCTGTTTCTATACAGTTCAACTATGAGTTAAAGGTAAATGTTTGGGTTTTGGAATTTTCCGTGGTGGATTTCAAGAAAGTGGCCAATTGAATGACGATATAAGATCTACATAAGGGAAAAGACTATCCTATAAGCCTCTTAATTCAATTTCTTTAAGTATAGTAAGTCCTAACCTCATCGGCTCGGCTCTGTGTGTTCTGCTCCATGGTTGTCAGCTCTTGGTGCGATGAGAACTGAACATAAACATTCCTTCCTCTGAATCACCAAAAAAGAGTCCGTTATTTTGTGTACACTTAGTAATGAAATTTAGAAAGGTGAAACCTCGACCCCTTCAAAACAATTAAACAACAACAACAACAACCCAGTTGGATCCCACTGCAGTAGGGTCTGGGAATTAAACAAAAAACCCAAAATATCAAGCATCATGGAAGAGAAAGCATACGGAACCTTATGCTAGGTTGCACATTTGTGTAAAACTGCAAGGCATTGACAGCTGAAGGAACATCTTGCATTTGCAGGAGGGCCTATACACTCATTGAAGGACTCAAGATCATCATCACTTAAACTGGTCTGCGCTTTTACAAAGGTTCTATAACAAACATGGATTTTTTAAAAAAGCACCTGATTTTTGGCTCTTAGCATCACAAGTTTAGTTACTACCCCAAATGGCTGAAAGAGCTGAAGTAAATCATTCTGCAAAAGAAAAGAACACATACTCAATAAAGCCCAGATTTCTGATCAGGTAAAACAGAGAGCCACACTTTACCTCAGAAATCTCATGTCCCACGTTCCGGACATGGATGACCTTTGAAGGGTCAGCAGCCATACTCAGAGACCTGGAATGCAAATAGCAAATTAACAATACCAATAGAAATAAGGAGAAACCTCTTAATCTTCGAGAAGAAGAAAAACCAACAAGAAGATCCGATTTTGATGAGAAAAAACAAACTTTAAAGCTTAGACGACTAATGCCGAAGTAACACCGATCCAATCTTAGATTCCAATCCGATCCCAATCCCTGTTAGCACAATCGATTCGATAAAATTTGAACATGGAGATCTGACCTTGATGAGAGAGAGAGAGAGAGAGAGATGGGATTACCGGTAAGATGAGAAGGAAAGCGAGGGAGATGACAAATAATAGGGTTTGAGTGGGCTTATCTTGCGTTGGAGGCAGGGGTGGAACCATTTGACGTAAACACCCCGGGTAGCTGAGGACCCGTCAGGGGTGGTTTAGACAATTCCACTGGCAACCGCGCCTATAAAAAGAAAACGTAGGGCAAAGAATCCATAACTACTTGATCTTATCTGAGCGGGGGCGGCTGCAATCGGCGGTTTGGGGATGGGAATCGGCGCGGTCAGAGCTGCCCTCTCCGGTCGCCGCCGGAGAAGCTGGCGGTTCTCCGGCTGATATTTATTATCCCCGAGCCCCTTTCCTCCGCTCTACTGCGATGAAGACTGCCCGCCGTCAGAGCCTACCGGCGTTGATGGCTGAGCGGGCTATCAAATTCAACCCCATAAACTACTAAAATTTTCTTCTATTTCATCTCTTAAATTTTTTCGTGATTGATTTAGCTCAAATCCATTGAGTTTGATATTATAAATAATTTTTTGCTGAATACGTTTCATATTTTAATTCTTCTTGCCTTTCTGAGTTTGTTTCTTGATTAATACTTTTTTGAAGAACTTGTTTCTTATTTATTTCATCACGCCAGGTTTATGTTTTTTTCTCGATTAATTCTAATAAAAGGGCTTTAGATGAGTTCAGATTTGAAATCCCAGACCGTCTTTTTTAATACTTTCTCTGTTTCTTGAAATTCTCTCTTTCATTTTTTTTCTTAAAACAGTTCTCTTTATCCCTACTTTTTCCTAACCTATTTATTGCATCATATTTTTTTATTAACAATTAAACTATCACATTTTATTTTTATTAATCACATCAAGGGTAAAATTAGAAAGTCAACTACAATTTAACACTATTTATTTTTCCCTAAAGTCAAAAGAGTAACTCTTTTGAGAAACGGAAGTGGTAGTTTTTTGCAGAATTAATTTCCAAACCCTTTTCTGTATTTACTGCAGATGATGATGAAGATTGGTGCCAGTAAATGAATCGCACGGAGAAGGAAGATTAATGAAATTGTATCGTGTGTTTGTATTGGTTTCATTGCGGCGTGTGACATTGTAATAGTGAGGTGTTTAGGTTTCTTTAAAAAGAGATTGTTTAACACAGGATTAATGCCTGTCGAGGGCGGATCCTAGTTCCTTTTTCATTTCATTGTTTAAATAGCATTAAAATATAATGATTTTTTCGATATAAGATCATATGTAATCATTTGTCATGATTTATTAGTTATTATTTAAGTAAATGTTTATTATTATTAATTTATTCCATTGGATATTATTAAGTTCTAATTATGTAGTAAAAAAGCACTAGTCATATTTATTGCAAATTTTTCTAAAATTAATCTACACATACATGTGAGTTATTTTAAAAACCATAGACGTGTGATTCAAATTATCTCCTCGAGTGTTCGTGTTAGGTTGGGCTGAGGAGTACTGATCGTTGTCTTAAATAATAAATTCTTTTTGTAAGTCGAAGCCTTATAATCCAAAAAAAACATTATCCAAAATTCAAAGACAATTTAAATTTTTTGTTTAAATAATTTAGTTCTCTCTATCACTTCCTCTTCTATTTTAATAAGGACAACATAATTAATAAGCAAATTAGTATATGAGAATGTAATATAAAAACAATATACTCCCTTTGTCCCAAAAAGATTGTTACGTTTCGAAAAAATTGCGTCCCGTAAAGATTGTAACATTTGCCAAAAAAAGACCCATTTACCCTTTGCCCTAATTGATTCCCACCCAACCCACTTTAATCAATCCACGCCACTTGATTCCCACCCAACTCACTTCTTTGCCAAGCTCTTCCCTGTCGCCAAGCTCTTCCTCTCTGGATCTATCTTTGGATTTTTGTTCCTCTCTCCCACTTCGATTTGGAATCACCAGTCATGGTGATTCGTGACCATACGATGCCAAGCTTCAAACTATTAAGCGATACGGATGAGGAAACGCCTAATCCATCGCGAAGCAAAACTTCTTTGAAGAATCGAATCCCTAAATACGACTCTGGAGATAGTGGATCTGGAACTTCAGATACGGATCCAACGTGGTGGTACCGTAAAAAGTATCTTGGGGGAGACCATTTCCCGTCGGAGGAGGATAAAGAAAGATCTGAGGAAGAGGACTGTGAGGACGAAGAATCTGTTACATCTGAGCGCATCCTAGAGATGTCTGATGATGATTTTTTTTCTCAGCCCCTTGGAGATGAGGCTAAGGGACGACGCTTTAGACAGAGTATTCTCTCTCTGCTCCTTTAATTTACATTATGCATGCTATTTGAATGTCCCTCTTCCGTGTTCATTGGCAAACTTATGATGCGAAATTACAATTTTCTTACAAATTGGATATATGTGAGCTTTATTTGTGTTTCAAGCTATATTGTAATGTCACCCCGTATAGGTTGGAGACTTACAATACTCAATTGGTCTTTGTGTTTGGTCTACCCTGTTCTCTATTAGGTTATGTGACCTCCAACTTGATAAACAGATGCTACAAAAAGATAAACAGATGCTACAAAAAGATTCATACTTGAACTTGATATTACAGATGCTACACAATACATACAAGCCTTAAGAGTCATAGTTCATCTTCATATAACAGATGCTACACTGGGCTTACTGGAATTTCATAAAACAGATGCTACAACAGAGTCCTACTTGAACTTGATATTACAGATGCTACACAATACATACAAGCCTTAAGTCTATGTCAATTAGGTACTACACTTCTTCTTTTTTAGCTTACAAAAAAGTTGCAAAAAAGTTTTCATTTGGAAGTGCATTTAGCATTTGTGTTTTCCACTGACCATGTTTAGCATTTGTGTTTTCAGAAGGCACCAATGTGTGTGCCTTCTGAAAGACTTCAATACTGACCCCTAAGTTCTGAGGCAGTGTACCTTGTCTGGCCAGTTTGGTTTTCCCAATGTGAGGGATTTTGAACTGATTCCCTCCATTGGTGGCTAAAACCTGACTCATGACCCCTTGTAAGGTTAAGAACACATTATTCAGCTTTTCATGTGATAGTTCTTCAAATGCTGTTGTTACAGCACTAATCAAGTCATCCAATGACCTGGGACCTGACTGGTCCTGCAATGAATCAATGGCCCTAAAGAACCCAAGATCCAGTACATTAAGATCTGGGCTGTTGAGGGGTTGGAATTTAAGTTTAATGTTCCATTCTCCTTCTGTAGCTGCTTGCAGAAATTGAAGGTCACTTCCATCCACGTGTGGTTTGGCATTATCCTGTTGGATAATAACATTCCTGGATGAACCTGGCCATTTTTCCTTTATTGCAGGCAGTACCTTAGTGAGTAACATGCTCAGCATGACCTCTCTAGTGATGTTAGGGATTGGTTTCACTTTCATAGTCCCTGCAGGTCTATTCTTACTGGCCCTTTGAGCTGCTGCTAAGTAAGTGAAAGGGAATATTCATATTTTGCCATCCCACATAAGTTCCCCATCAATCCCATACCTTGGCCTGCCAACAGCTGCTAAAAACATTATTTTGGGTATGAAACTTTTGTTTTGAACTGTCCTATAGGGGTCTGCTTTAGTTGGTAATGCATAGAATGTTGTGCTCTTTTTGCTGATCTCAAATCAATTTTCATCAATATGAATGTGATCATAAAAGTCATGAAAGGTTGGGTTCAAGGGGATTGATTGGGGAACAACATGGTCCACACAGAATTTAAGCCTTTTTAGTTTACCTTCTTCACTTAGAAGTGGCTTAATAGCATTGGAATGCCTTCTGATCTCTTTCAACTGAAGCCATCTGTGCACAGTTGACTTTGACACCTCCATGGCATATCCAAGTGCACGCATGTTCTTTCGCCTATTAAATGGCACACCTGCCATCTTTTCTGTGTCAATAGGTGTTCTTTTTCTCCCACACTTTCCTTTCCACTGACAATGAACATAAACGGGTTGACCAACATCCAATTGAGATTTGGCTATAGACCATATTCTGCTTACTCTTTGCCTGCATATGCTGAGTTCATTAGCAACTTTATTGATGCTACCATGCTGAAGTTTGCCATTCCTTACATGTTGTAGTAACAAGTGAGAAATTTTTTTCTAGTTTGATTTTGTAGCACACCTTTGTTGTTCTTGTCCCTTCTTTTTTCAGGAGTTCTGAGGCTGGATAAAGGCACATCAATAAGAGGAGGAAGCTGGTTAAAGGAACCTGATTCATCATCTGAAAAGGGAATGGAATTAGAAGAAAAAGTGGGGGATGACACCATGGGGGAATCTGCCATGCTGGAAAGGAACTCCAAAAAAAGAAAGCTTTAAATGTTTGGCATTGAATGAATGCCTTAAATAGGTGTTGTTCTTCTTTTTTTTTGTTTTTGTTTTGGAGGGATGAGATTGGAGGATAACCGATTTCCCAAAAAACTAAAAAAATTTGGGATGTTTTTGGCATGTCATTTCTGCCGTGTAAGCTTGTGTGTAAGAGAATGCATTTAATGCAATTGTACTTTCTATTGTACTTTAATGCTATTTTATTGTTAGTATACACTATTTGCTTTTTTAAGGAGCCCCACTACAAGTTTTACTTTTGAGGGTATTTTGGGAATGTCAAGGGCCAAAAAGGCATTCCTTAATTTGCCACTTTGGTCAAACCGTCCCATTCTTTTCGGGACGGAGAGAGTATAAAACTAGAATACCATAAAAAGATATTAAAGAAATTTGAAATTTAAAGCTCAACACCAACAACAAATATATTTTAGAAAAACGTACTCCCTCCGTCCCGTTTTAAATCGTCTTTTTTTGACTTTTGGGTATATTTAAGAAAATTAAAAATAAAATTGATTTTTCGAAATTATCATTACTTTTACAAGGGGTGATTTATTTTAGGGGTAGCTTAGGTATTTTATTTTTAAAAGTTTATAATAACAATTAATAATCAATTTATTTTGGAACGGAAAAAAAGTAAACAGACAATTTAAATTGAGACATAGGGTGTAATAGACTTCGAGTATTGGAAGGGTAATGCTAATTGGATATTAGATGTAAAAGACCCAAAATCTACGAGTAGTTTCATATTTACATTAGCTGGTGTAGGTTCTACTGTGGAGTTAGAGTTCATTGCTCTTAGTGAATAGAAACATCTCATGCCGTAATGGTGTTATCTAAAGAAAAAAATGGATGTATTTAAAGAATATATCATCCAAAATAAAAATAAAAAAATTGAGTAGTTATTTTATTATGATAATGTGACATTGTATATTACAACCTTTGTCTCATTTTATAACTCTTGTTTCGGTTTACGATGTTTGACTGAAACTATTTTCAAACCATTTTATATGACAAATGGTATAGAATTAAAAAATAAAAATTACATATTAAAAAACTACATCAAAAGATCTACAAAACTAGTAGTGACAAGAATATTTTATTTTATCAAATTGCTAATGAAAATAGAGAAAGAAAGTGAATGAAGTTTGACCCTGTGAATAGTAACAGACATTATAATTTTGGACGGAGGGAGTAGTAGTTTGTATTGTTTTTTTTTAAATTTTATGTTGACATTATGTATCCTATTTTGGTAACAGAAACCTGGAGATCCCATTTTACTTTTTTTCTCTATTTCTACTCATATTTTAATCTTTTTTTAAATAAAGGAATGTGGTGGTCTCATTCCACCCAATATAATGAAATGATTCTATTTCATTCTTAAACATAGCTATAAGGGATGTCTGATAAAATCTTTTGAATGCCCTAGAATAAACTTTGATCTTTAATTTTTGTATAATCTAAGTAAAAAATCTAAGAAAGCGTGAAATTGAATCTATTTAGAGAATAGTGAAAGATTATGAAATACATGTTATCTTAATTGAGAAATAAAGAAAAATGGTGAAGTTCGTTTCACATTTTTTTCACAACAACTTCACCCTATGTTAAAACAGAGGATGGTTGTTTTTAGATTATTCATTACTCAGATTATCCATGATGAACGTCAAATTTAAATTGGCCAAGTATTATTTCACTAACAGAATAAGCACAAATAGTTTAAGAGCAATTTTATTTTAGGAAAAATTGCCCAAAATAATCCCAACTTTACCTGATCTTTCAAAAATAGTCCCACCTTTTATTGTGATGTATAATAATCCCAACTTTACTGAAATTTGCCAGTTTTGGGTCGCCGTTAAGTTTCTAACGGAGGGATAACGGAAATGCCTGTTTTAGACAACTAAATGAAAGTTGGGATTATTTTTTATGAATTTTTGTTTTTTTAATTTTTTTTGAAATTTTCATTTAAATTTTTTAAATTACTTTCTACCTCCATCATCATTTCTTTTTCCTTTTTTAAAGATTAGTCTTAGTTTAAAAAATAAAAACAATAGATATAAAAATGAAAAAATGAGAAATGTAACTAAAATGATACAAAAATAATAAATTAAATAAGGTAATCAATGGAAACTAACTTGAAATTGAAAAAAGTAAAATAAAAATATACGGGTGGGTTTTAATATTTTAGGCATTATACAAAGCATTAACATATCACTTCTTATTTTTTAGAAAAAATTATCTACAATAATTCCAACTTTACCGGACGGCTTGTTCTTTTAAAAAATAAGTAGTACATTAAAACTCTGTATAGTGTGTAAAATGATAAATCCACGACTCCATATATATTTATTTTATTTTTTACCAGTTTCTGTTTAATTTCTAAGGATTACATTATTTATTTCATTAATTTTGTATGGTTTTAGTTATTTTTCTCATTTTCATTATTTTTTATATCTATTTTTTTCTAAGGTAAGAAAATCTTTAAAAAAGAAAAAGAAATGGAGGTTGAAAGTAATTCAAAAAATTTAAATAAAAATTTCAAAAAAAATTAAAAAACAAAAATTCATCAAAAATAATCCCAACTTTCATTTTGTTGCCTAAAACGAGCATTTCCGTTATCCTTCCGTTAGAAATTTAACGGCGACCCAAAACTAGCAAATTTTAGTAAAGTTGGGATTAGTATGCATCACAGTGAAAAGTGGGATTATTTTTGAAAGACCGAGTAAAGTTGGGATTATTTTGGGTAATTTTTCCTTTATTTTATTCTATCGTGCTCCAAAATATATATATTTTGAAACGGGTTAAATATATAATAGGTTAGGCTAGCTTTCTCACTGACCAATGCACAAACCTTCTCGTCTACCACCACCCAAATCGATGTAAAACTCCCTCAAAACAATCCATTTTACTTCTTAAAAAATTCTAAATTTATTTTAACACCAGAGTGTGACACTATGTATGGACAATGGTGTTCTTTGTGGTGTAGACAATACTCCCTCTGTCTCTTAGAGATCTTTTCGAGACACTAATTTTACTTGCTTATTTTTACTATTCATTTCATAAAATACTATGGTCTCATCGTCTCTTATTTTGTAGAAATTTTTATGTAATTTTGTACTATACAAATTTTATTTTTAAATTTTACACCTATGATCAATTAACCTCGTAATGGGAAAATTTATGAAAGATAAAGATAGTAATTATTTATGAATGTCTCTGAAATACTCCCTTCGTCGTGGAAACTTTTGTTTAAATCTACGTTTTCATTGGTTATTTGATAAAAAAAATATTGTTGACACCTTTTATTTCGAAGAATTTTTCATTTAGTTTTTTGATATGTATTTTTTATTTCTTTATCAATATGTAAATAAAATGAATAGAAAAAGTTTGATATTTTGCATCGGTGATAGAAATATGACAAATAATTTAGGGCGGATGGAGTATATAATGTCAAATTTTGATATCAAACTTGATGTGACTATAGGATGACTTAAAAGCATAACACACCAACATGTTTTTTTTATGTAATTTTGTACTCCGTACTATACAAATTCTATTTTAAAATTTTACACCTATGATCAATTAATCTCGTAACGCGTAATGGAAAAATTTATGAAAGATATAGTAATTATTTATGAATGTCTCTAAAACATATAATGTCAAATTTTGATATGAAATGTATAACCATGATTATTCGAATAAAGATGAAAGATGATTAACTTTTTCAAACGTTATTAAAACCGTTACAAACTCAATCAATTAAAACAAAAAGGCATGTGAAAACTTTTTCAAGCGGATCAGTCCTTTAAAACCCTTTCAACTGCGGAAGAAAAATATTTCATCAATAAATAACTTGACTCATGCCCAAAACAACACAATGGGCCTATTTGGGAATGGCATAAGCGATTAGCGTTAACGTTTTGAAAAAACTATCTACGGGCAGCGTTAGTGTTTTTAAAGTTATCTGTACCATTAAATTTTTATCCAAAACGCTAACGTTAATCTTTAACGTTATTTCCAAACAGACTCATTGTATTGTAAAAATCATGTTTAGGGTTGTGTCATCTTAATTTAGACTATGTTTGGGAATAGCGTTAGAGATTACCATTAGCATTTTGGATAAAATTTTAACGCTGCAGATTACTTTAAAAACGCTAACGTTAAACGCTAACGCTATTCCCAAACAGGCTCTTAATGGTTCGCATAAACTGTGCCTTCAAACTAGAGTGTAGATAATTAAAGAGTGCGACAAGTGTGTCCTCGGCATTGATGTTGATTATAACAATAATGCTAGAGACCAAGTAAATATCATGCGAGACATTTTTCTCATAATGGTGTACTCTGCTGACATCTCAGTTAGCACAACATAATAATGGGGTGGTTTCCCTAAGAGGAAAATTTTTTTGAATATAATTCCCAAATGGGAAAGGTAAATTCCTGAGTAGGAAAATCGGCTTTTGACAAGCCGTTTTTTTTTATTTTTTTTAAAATGGTTTTCGGTCGTCTTATTTAAATGGCTTTGATTTAAATATTGAGGAACGGAATGTCTTATTTAGAGATGTTTTGCTGTGGACCACCGATGACACTTATTTTTGAGGGACAAACCATTCAACCAAATAATGAATGGCCTGATCAGATGGTGGCTCAATGTACCGCTAGGCTCATATATGCTTATATGGGTGGTTTATTATTTCTAGATTCTTCAGGTATGTACGCACCAATTGATTTCGTGAGATACTTACGAGATTTTAATGAAACATCTACTTTTAGTTGGGGCTCTGCAGTTTTAGCGCGATTAAATTTTTCGCTCTGTAAGGCTGCGTTGAAGACTAACCCGCGAACGCGTCTCGGGGGTTGTCTTCTTCTATTGCAATTATGGGCGTGGACTCGGATTTTGACCATAAGACCCATAGTGAATAATGTTCCGAACCATCCACACGGGCCTCCTCGCGAAGACGACCCATTTGGTGCACGGTATTCATTTACATTAATTTAGATTATCGAGGTTATAATTTTTTTCTCTTATTTTATATCAAGTTCATATATATTTATTATTATTCAGGTGGAGACAGACCAAGATGTACAGTGCCTCAGCTAGGCAAAATGTACGCTACTTTCGGAATCAACTTGACTCCTTGCAGTTCCGAAACGTAGAATTAATATTCATAAAATAAATTGTAAAAAATAGATCATGCATTGACTAATAAATGTATACATGCAATATACAGGTTGTTTGGCAACCGTACGAAATTGATCAGTTGCCTGCTTACTGTCGTCGTACTCCTCAGCTATGGACTTTCCAAGGCTATGTTATTTATCGCTCGATTATTGAGCCTGACATGCCTATGCGATTCACACGACAGTTTGGGATGTTGCAAACCATTCCTGATCTTACCCATCCGTATACGGAGGCCTATCATAAACCCAAGGGATGTAAATCGACCCATTCGGTACAAGCATGTGTGGCGCAATGGAGGGATAATCGATTCGCCCTTACCGTTTTTCATCAAATGGAGCACGTAATAGGAGAGAATCCATTCCAAATTACTGTGGAGTATGCTCAATAACATTATATTGCAGCTGGTTGCGGGATTTTATCCAAGATATCTGGAAAAATTCCTTACTCCGTCCCCGGTATCAGTTCGATGAAATTGATGGGCATCGACAGTGATAGGTTATGGGAAATATTTTTCCAAAAGGCCATTTGTAACGCCCCGAAATCTGGCCCAAAAGAATTAATTAAATTGTTAGAGCATTTGATTACGAATTGGGCCCAAAAAGGGGCTAAAATTATAATTTGGATTCTAAGCCCAACTTTTATGTCATCTCGTAGGAAATATTTTTGTGATCGCGTCGGTTCAGACGGCTCGCGAATCGGAGTTATGGAGCTCATGTTATGACCATTTAATCAGGTATTTTGGGTCCGAAGCCCAATCCTTTTTGGAATGGGACCATTAAATAAACCTAAACCTCAGCCACACAATCCTTATCTTCTTTCGTTCGTCCGTCCTTCTTCTTCTTCTTCTTCTTCTTCTTCTTCTTCTTCTTCTTCTTCTTCTTTCTTCTTCTTCTTCTTCTTCGATTTCTTCTTCGTCTTCCCCAGCCAGCATCGCCACCGGTCGTCGCCGTCCAATTGGAGCAGCCAGCCGCCGGCGTCGCCCTTCCCCAGCCGGTCGCCGCCGCTGCTTCCTTCGCCAGTAGCCGCCGCTCATCGTCGACGAATTGCAGAGCCGCCACGCCTCGCCTCTGGACGTCACCTCCCCTACCGGAGTCCGCCATCATCGTCGTCGAGTCCAGCGCCGGTCGCCTTTCCCCAGCCAGTCGCCGCCGCTGTTTTCTTCGTCGGTCGTCCGCCGCCAGTCGCTGCCCAGCGCCGCCGAAGACGGTTCACCTCGTCGTTCTGCCGGACGTCGCCTCCACTGCTGGCGTCCTTCCTCGCCGTCGATTGCAGCGCCGCCAGTCGCTGCTCACCGCCGTCGAGCTGCCGCTACACCACTGTCGCCGGCGTCCGTCACCGTCGCCGCATCCGGCCGCTGCCCCGAGTTGATATCGCCGGCAGATTAACCTCCACGCCGGATTGATCGGTCGATTTCGCATTTTGACTCAATTTGACCCGTTCGTTTGATTTCGTCGATTTGTCTTCCGTTCGAGCTATCGATTCGATTTCGGCGAAATCCAGGTCCGTACTATGAAGTTAATAGCATTTAGAATAGATTTAATGGTTTGGATCGTTATATGTGTTTATGCTATAATTTGGCTAATTGGTGAATTGAATTAAATTGATTGTTTGAATTGAATTGTTGAGGATTGTGAATTGACTGAACAGGTTTGACTTTGACTTGGACTTTGACTGGATATTCTGTTGTCGTAGGTTTGACCGGATGGTTAAATCCAAGACTTTAATGAATTAGTTAAGTTAATTAATTAATTCTAATCGGTGATTAANTACCTCCACCGAATTGAGGCTATCTTCGGTATTACGGATTGAGGCTATCTCCGTCATAGGCATTAAATGTTAAGTGGTTTGACTTTGGTGAAAGTCTAAATTGGTTTGACCGGTGGTCAAAGAGTTCATGAGAAACCCGTAACACCTAAATCGTTTTGAAAAGAAAGAAAATAAGTTGACTGTTGGTCAACCGTCTAAAGAACCGAATGTAAAGTTGAATTGATTTTTATTAAAAGGATAAACATATGCACGATCTTAATTGTTGAATTATTATGTTTATTCTTGTGCTACAATGGAGTACCACTCAGCGTCAATGCTGAGCGGATAGCGTTGTTTTCTTTTGCTGTCCGTAGGTGATCAGACAGATGAACCTAGAGCCGATCCCAGAGGGCATTGAGGAGGAGATGTACGATGGCGTGGCTGTCTCTTTAATCTGTTGATTATGCTTTATTTAATTAACTTTAATGCTTATTACGTTTTCGGGCAAGATCCCAAGTTGTTTGACTTTAAAAAGGCTTCCGCATTATTTTAAATTACTCCGATGGATTTTTATATGTACTGATAGAACGTTTGTTTAAAATTGTTTTGAAAATGTCGCAAATTCGGATACCAATTCAGTAGCACACCGGTCCGCTGTCTCACGGGTTTGGGTCATGCGGGTTGGGGTGTTACACCATTCCCTTCGGTTTACTAGAAGTATATATCGACCGTGATCGTGCGCGGGGGAGACGATTGCAGATGAAGTTATTGACAACCCTGACTCTGATGATGATGAAGAGTACATTCCTTCGGACGATGACATTGACACAGAAGAACATTGGATCCATAAAATGGAAGCTGAAGCTGGTGAAAGGGGAATTTCTTAAAGGGTACCGAATGTTACCTGTCACTGCCATTTTATCCATGTCCTATGCCAAGATGGTTGAATCGTTTGCTAAAAGGTACAAGCTTGGTATTCAGTGGCAAGAACAGAGCATGCACATTACTCCAAAAATTAAAAATGTTCTCCTTAATCGGGAGAAAACTAAGCACAAGTGGACGGTCTCAAGCTACGGTAACAACCAATACGTAGTGACTCACACATCTCGAACAGATCCTTCTTCTATTTATAGCTACTTGGTCAATTTGTTTAGTAGTGTATGCACTTGTGGGCAGTGGACTTCCGATAGTATACCGTGTGTTCATGTTCATGTTGTTTACCACTCTTTTCGACAACAAGTTCCTCACAACATATTACCGGCTAGGTACTCGGTTTAAAACTATTTGAGTTGTTATGGTGGTATAATTCAACCTGTTCTTTTCCCTCAAAATTTGGATGTTGGCAGCTTTAAGGTTCTACTTCCCAAACGGCCAACAGATGAGATTCCACGTTTAGGGAGATGTCAACGCAATCGATACCAGGGCGAGATGGATTTCAGGGCAAGGAGATGAATTTAGTTTATAATTTTTTTTAGTTTGTATCAGGGAAGGTATTGTAATTCTTGTTTATTTCAGATGTTGAGAACGTAATATTCTGTTGATGTTTTAATATATTTATGTTTTCAATATTGCCTAATATTCGTTTAAAAACAATTTTCTGAAAATTATTTAGATTTTTTGTTTTAAATTTGATTTGTCCAATCTCTTTATTTAAATGATTTATTAAACTTTTTCTTGATGAATATCTCTTTATTAAATTTCTATTGATTGATTTTTTTAACAAGTTAAATATTGAGTTATAATAAATATTTCTTTTTATTTTAAAAAAAGGTTTATGAAATCAGCCAGTTGCGTAATTTTTTTGGAATGAATATTTGGGCTTTATGAAAGCCTTTATTTGTAATTTTTTTTTTACAAAAAACGGCTTTGTGAAAGCCAATTTTTTTTACAAAAAATGGCTTTGTGAAAGCCGATTTTCAAAAAAAAGAAATTGTAAAAAACAGCTTTACTAAAGCCGATTTTCCATCTCAGGAAATCAAGTAAAATTAACAACTTCCATTTAAACTCAAAGTCCACTTTCTAATCTAAAAGTTCAAGCTGATAGGTATAGCTTCTATATATGCTAATAGTATTTCATTAGTTTTTGATGTGGAAAATCAAACAAATACAAATAGTGATTGTGTCACGATTTAAACACATATATAGTACTACCTCCGTCCTAATTTATAACGTCTGTTTCGGTTTACGATGTTTGACTGAAATTATTTTCAAACCATTTTATATGACAAATGGTATAGAATTAAAAAATAAAAATTACATATTAAAAAACTACATCAAAAGATCTACAAAACTAGTAGTGACAATAATATTTTATTTTATCAAATTGCTAACGAAAATAGAGAAAGAAAGTGAAAACATGCATTATAATTTGGCACAGAGGGAGTACTACGTATACTTTTACTCGCTCCGTGGCTAATTTTCCTTCTTTTCTCTTATTCCGTGAGTATTTGCATTGTTAGCATGATATCTCTAACTTAGACTTGCTTCTCCATTTACGAATTACGAGTACTTTCTTGCATTTCATTTTTTGTTTGTGTTGGGATATTTGATTAATTAATCAAAAGAAAAGAAAAAAAAGAAAATCAAATATTTTTGATTTTGGAGATCTTTCTTTCGGCTAGATTGGTGATCATTTATCACCTAACATGCTTTTGTTGACTTTCTCTTGGGTTGGATGATTCTTTTTTGGTTATAAAAGATGGAGATCCTGCCATGCTTGGTGTGGTGGTTTTTTAGAGAGAGAAACAAAAAAAAGTGCTACACGAGATATCACCAAAATTGTGTGAGTGAGTGTAGAAAGTAATTGGTTTTAGTTACTCAGAAAAATATATCCGGGTGTAGAGTGAAAAGACTGTTTATAAGTGTCTGGTATTTAGCACTAGTAAATAGGGAGAGTTTTTTGTATATTGTCCTAAAATAGTGGAAATATAATTTTTTTTCTCATATATTCTTCTTGCGTTTGTTCTCTCATTTTTTTGAGGTTCTCAACATTTTTCGGTATCTTACGCGCTTAAAATCCTAACAATTGGTATCGGAGCAAGGTTACATTTGGGGCGGAGGGATTTCTAACCGGTAAGTAAAGAAAATCGAAGAACTTGAAAAGTGGGATCGGTAAAAAGTTCGAATGTTTCTATCGAACCTTTTGATGGATGTGGCGATTTTACTCTGTGGCAACAACGAGTAAAAAGTGTTCTTACCCGGGAAGGGACAATCAAAGTTTTGAAGGTGAAGGTTCAGAGGACAGAAAAAATGATGGATGCTGAGTGGGCCAAACACCGGAAGAACGACAAACCAGAAAAATTGTCAGAAGAAGAGTGGGAGGATTTGAAGGACATGGCAACAAGTACAATATGCCTATGCCTTGCAAATAATACGCTTCGGGAGGTTCTCAGTTTGACGGACTTGGTGGATATTTGGGACAAGCTGGAGAGTCGGTACAAGTCGAAATCGTTGACAAGTAGGCTATACTTGAAGAAACGATTGTTTGGTCTCCAAATGGCGGAGAAAGCTAACTTTAATGGACACTTGGATAAATTCAACAAGATTACAACAGAGTTGGATTCCATTGATGTGAAGATTGAAGAGGAGGACAAGGCGCTGCTTTTGTTGGCCTCATTGCCTTCATCTTTTGACAACATCGTGACCACGCTCTTGTTTGGAAAAGAAACCTTAAAATTTGATGAAGTAGTTGCTGCGTTGTTGATGAACGAGACTCGGCGGGGTGGCAACGGAGTATCAAATGACAGTCAAGCTTTGGTAGCAGAAGGGGCTGGTCGGGAACGAGGACGGTCTAAAGAGAGAGGCGGTGTATCCTAACGTTTAAAATCGAGTACTAAAAGCTTTCGGTGTTACTATTGCGATGAAGAGGGTCATTTCAAAAGGGATTGTTCAAAGAGGAGGACGGAAAAGAAGGACGGGAAAACACCCGTGACTGCGGTTGCAGAAAGTTTGAACAAAGCAAGTGAAGAAGACTTGTTTTTGGCAATCACAAAGAGTCTAGGTAAATTGGATTAGATATTAGATTCGGGTTGTTCGTTTCACATGTGTTCAGTTAAGGAACAATTTGATACGTATCAAACTTGTGATGGGAGTGCTGTGAAGATGGAAAATGGTGCACGGAGCAAGATTGCAGGGGTCGGAACAGTGCAAGTTCACATGTTTGATGGCGTGGTGAGAACATTAACTGGAGTGAAACATATACCGGGTCTAAAAGGAAATTTGATTTCATTGGGGGCTTTAGATTCAGAAGGCTGCCGAATTTTTGCTCAAGGTGAAGTGTTAAAATTTTCAAGGGGAGCAATGGTGGTAGCAAAAGGAGTTTTGTCAAATGACTTGTTTAAACTTGTAGGAAAAGATTTGACACGGAAGCTGTCAGAAGGAAAAATTACAAGTGCAGCAAGCGGAGCATTTGCATGGAAGAAGCGGATGACGTTTGAAGCTTCTCAGGTTGGTGGAGACTGTGACCTTGCTGGAACGAGCGTGGTGGAGCCGGACCATGGTTTGGTTAATTAATCAAGGTGGAGTTTGTTGGGATATTTGATTAATTAATCAAAAGAAAAGAAAAAAAGAAAATCAAATATTTTTTATTTTGGAGATCTTTCTTTCGGCTAGATTGGTGATCATTTATCACCTAGCATGCTTTTGTTGACTTTCTCTTGGGTTGGATGATTCTTTTTTTGTTATAAAAGATGGAGATCCTGCCATGCATGGTGTGGTGGTTTTTTAGAGAGAGAAACAAAAAAAAGTGCTACACAAGATATCACCAAAATTGTGTGAGTGGGTGTAGGAAGTAATTGGTTTTAGTTACTCAAAAATATACATCCGGGTGTAGGGTGTGAAAAGACTGTTTATAAGTGTTTGATATTTAGCACTTGTAAATAGAGAGAGTTTTTTGTATATTGTCCTGAAATAGTGGAAAGATAATTTTTTTCTCTTATATATATTCTTCTTGCGTTTGTTCTCTCATTTTTTGAGGTTCTCAATATTTTTTAGTATCTTATGCGCTTAAAATCCCAATAGTTTGTTCATTGTATTAGTCGTGTTCCATACACTTGCATATCTTTCAAGTTTTACTATTGGCCTTGATTTACATTGTATGACTCTATACTAGTGTTTTCTTTATTTTGTATTTAATTACTAACCAATCACGTTATCTTCGTGGATATGATATCCGCATTTCACGACTTCTCACTCTTTACTGTTTTCATTTCATTCATACTTTTATGGCATGGTTTTTGATGCCTAACGACATGCCAAAATAAAACTTCGCATAAAAAAAGACGACACATCATATTATCCAATGAACATAACATGTCCGTATTTTTCAAGATGTACAAAAACTTAAAATCAACCTTCAACTTTTATATTTCTTTATTTTCATCACTTATTTGATAATACAACATAGTCAAGCCACCTCTATTAGCAAAAAAATTTCATATAATTATGAAACTTTTACAACTAAGTATTTAATTCAATAGCAATTATTAAATGGAACAAAAAACGATTTTAATTTATCATAAACCATTATCTAAAAAAAGATGGACAAAGGTGTATTGTTTTAATGTGCTCCCAAAAGCGTCATTGACATCAGCGTTCCAAATGTTGACGCTAAAAGTCACTGTATTTTCTAAAAATACTTAAATGAGTAAAATTTTGAAAACGGTACTAAAAAATTGTGTATTTTTTCCTAAACTATGTACGGAGTATGATAAGAATACAATGAATAAACTATGTACATAATTTAATTAATTTGAAAGTGAACCCTTTAGATTGTTTAAAATTATTTTTAAAAAAATATCATGTAATAAAATATTTAATAAACATTATCTATTTCTAGTTTTGAATTTAAAATATTAATATAAATTTTTAACACCATTTTGACAATCGTTAGTACCATTTCAGTAATTAATTCATCTCGGTATATATGAATATCTTTATTTATATATAAATATGTTTTATAAAAATAAAATATTTCAAAACTATATGTTTCATTATAATCATATTGATATTAAATATATACAAAATTCTATATATATTTTTTCATAACATGCAGTCAAAATTCAAAAACTTTGACCACATAAGTCAAACTAAGAAGCTAATTTTAGGGTGGAAAGAGTACATAAACGAATGCATATTGCACTTGGTAAAAAAGTGTTTTTAACAAATAAATATGAAGGAAAAACTCTCCAGATAGAAGTAAAAAAACTATTAAAATAACAAAATAAAAATCATAAGTCATTCAAAACCAAATTAGAAGTTCACATTATCATTGAAACACTACCACACTCACCACATTGTCACCTTGTAACAGTCACACACACTATCAATGCCACTACCAACCGCCGCTGGCCACCAGAGTGCTGCTAGAGATCACCAACGTATTACACTTTCATCAATTTTGTATCACACTTCGAATGCGTATTGTTACACCACATTGTCATTATACTTCTATTTTGATTTTAAAAAACAAGGGACTCTTCCAAAATGACCTGGGTAGAATGCAATAGTACAATAAATCCACACATGAAATAGTAAATTGATTTCAAACATCAAAAACATTTTAAAACCTAAACATTTTAACTCGTTTTTAATTAATTAATTGACCTAATGAATGACATTTGGGACCCTTCCAAAATGACCTGGGTAGGATTATGGAGTTTCTGCATCGCAGAAGCCAACAAGGAATGAAATCATCATAAGCTCCATAAAAACAGTCTAAACCATTAGATCATCTTCAAGGTAATTGTACTCGAACGCAAACTCTGTCTTTATCCTTTGGCACCTGCAGAGTAACAATGCCTTCCGTTAGTATGGCGCAATGAACGATGTTCTAAGAAAGTTTGGAACCAAGCAACCCATTGGCTATATCAGGCAGGGTCAATTTTAGAGGGAAAACAATTGTAGGGCCCGTTCAATAAGGGTTTAATTGGCTGAAATGTGTGAATATAAATTGGTAATATCTATTTCAGCCAAGGGTGAAACTATATATTCTATTGATAATGCAAATTAGCCAGAAGTGACTACCCATTGGCCATCAACGCATAACTAGCTAAGGGGAGTAAGAAATCATACCATCCGTGCTGTTCATCGTTGCCTAGATGGAAATCAAAGTAAACATATGTCCCCTGTTCATAATCATCGGTAGCTATTTTGGGTTCTTCATGCCTCTGAAACCAGGTGTTGTACTTTCTGTGGTATCTCCAAGCTTGTCTCTTTAGCTCCTTAGCAGCAAGGTACTGTTGATAAGTATTCTGCAGCAGTATTACGTTGAAAATAGTATCATCTCACTTTTCTGACCACTAAAACATAACTGTCCATTAGCTAAATAAAGGAGGGGGCATAGGAATCAGATCCCAAAAGCAGACCTGTTGGTAGTAAAAGGCAAAAAATAAGGTGTCAGTGCCAAAGCTATCAGCTCCAAGGCGTTCCCAGAAGGCAGGGTTATTGACAATAGGTGCCTGAACTTGGGGGTAGCTTGGAGGGGTCAACGCTGGATGTTTCTGTAAATGTTTTGGAAGAAATATTAGTTTAACTTCAATGTCACAATGCACAAATTGCTAAGAATCGTTGGGCATACCGGAGTATAGCTTTTAACACGCTCAGAATCTTTTGGTTGAGGAAGCTTGTGAAAAGCAGCCTCAAGCATTTGCAAGTTGTATAGCTGGTCATACATTCCTACAGAACTAGAAGGCGAAGAACTCAAGTTATCACCGATTATACCAAGATCTGAAACCGTTCTTCGGCCAATGACTCCAAGGTTTCCTGGTGGTTGACTCAATTGTAATGGTTGACCAGGAGAGAAATCGGAATCCCTTTGCAGTTGTGACTGCTCTCCCAAATTGCTGCTAACTACACTCTGCAACAGATTATGTGGGGCATACGTTAAGATACGTTTATAACTTTTTATAATTAGATAAATTTTATGTTTTCAGCAGCCAAGTTGGGGCACGCAAAAGAACGCGGTTCTTAGAAGCCGAATTTTATGCTTTCCTGTGAAGTCATATCTCGTTAAGTCCGAAGGGATTCGATTGACCCAGTAGCTTGCCTACATTTACTTTAATGGTATAAGCCGAGAAAACATTTCTCGGTATAATTATTGATCAAAGGCCACAATTAATTGACTTTGGATCTTAATTCTTATCCAGAAGTAAAAATCAATTTCAAAAAAGAAAAAAGTAATTTAAGTTGGTACTTTCTGATTATGAAAGCATATAGACAGTAAACTTACGGATACATCTGACACATAAGCCCTCAAATCATCCTCAATCTTCCCAGGACCAAGGGACGGACCAGAGTCCACAGAATCTTCAGGAACGAAAAGCTGTTGGTGCAACTCTTCTGCTTTAGAGTGACTCACTTCTGCATTCAGTGCATTGTTGTACAAAATAAAACAAAAAACTTACATACACTTCTACCATGAATTTAATAGAAAGAAGATACTCCACTGTTCAAAAGATATGAAAACCAAATCCTTGAGCAGTGAGCACATACGTTCCATTTTTAGCAACTCTGCCTTTGCTATGTCCTAAAATAGTTTCAGTCAAAGGCAAACTACTAATTCTTTATATGGATATCGTAGTATATAACACTGTATCTTTTGATTACTTGCCAAAAAAGGGCATTACCCCAACTACACAAATTGTTTCTTATTGGGGTAAATATTAAGGTTAATCACACTAGCAATCATAATGCATTCAACAACAAACATGTCTTGGTTTATCTTTCCAAAGTGTATCATTGCAATTTCAGAATTTGTCTTACTCCTTTAAGCCATTTTTACTGGACACTCTTAGAACATGGGTGCCCCTAAAGTTGGCACTGGCTTATTTCAAAGAACATGCAATCCGAAGTTTTTCAAGGTACCCCTTCAACATGAAAGGTGATTAGATGGATTAAGTCTTCAGTAGAAGTCGTAACTTGTAAGTGTATGTACTCAATGGGAAATGGATCCTAGTAACTCCATGGTGGAGATACTACCCGGACGGTCCAGATTGATTCTGATGTTGGGAAACATTTTGCCAAATCACCTTGGACCATCCTTGAAGTAACTCAATGGGAGACTCCAGATCTGTTGTACTCAATGACCATTCCATTAACTGCATGCCCATCTGCCTAGTCGAAGCCTAAAATGGGGCAATAAATGGTGGAGGTAGTAAATTAATTGATAGCACAAATTGGATTTTCCCAAATTTTGTATCCAGAGAGTAAACTTCATTCATGAAATATGTAATTCATGATGATGACAACAGATGCATTGTGTAGACCCCCCCCCCCCCCAAAGCTTTGTTTAAAGCAACTGAGACCTCGGAGTAAACAATTTGTGTTTGCACCCACTTTGACATTTTCCAACGTACATACTGATTTTGAAAGGATACATATAAACTAAAAGAAAATACAGAGAAAAATCATATCAAACAAACATACCAGATTCTCTAGATGCTGTCGATATCAAATTGTGTTGGTTAGATGGTTGATGGATCACACCAGGGTGCTGTTGTGATGATGATGATGATGATGATGATGATGATGAAGGGGTACTATTAACAGAAACTGTTTGGGCCATAGCTCCCAATCCATGTTGAGGTGATGCAGATGAGCTTTGAGAAGTGAACTAAAAAATACAAATATTTATAAGAAATTAAGTGGAGATTTAGCAAGATGAAGAGAGAGAACACACTAAAGCATCTGGTGATATCACAAAACACATTACAGAGAGTATGTTTTCACTCGTACAGAGTACAGACGTACACTCACATAGTCATATTCCATGTTCTCCGTTTACGCCATGTCATTTTTCATATCATTAGAAATTTAAAGGAAATCACATTATTATTTAAATACTTAATTCAAGTGTAGAAATATAACACATTAAAGAAAATGAGAAGTAAATTGCAATAATCAAAGCAATTGAAAAACAACACCTGTGTTAATGATGGATTTTGTTGCTGTGAGAACTGCTTGTGATTTCCACCGCTGAGTGTAGGCATGCTGAGAATGTTAGTCTGGCCTTGTTGCTGCGCCTGATGAAATCGCTGCAAAAATTTCTCTCTCTGATCAGGAGCGATTTCGGTTCTTCCCCGGAACTGCCCCTGGAAAAGCAGATTAATAATAATGTCATTTTGAGCAGGTAATGTTGACTTCAAGCTAAACTTGTTACTCAAGCGATGAAATTATATAACTACATCATCATCACCATCCACAACAAAAAACCAGTATAATCCCAATTTTGTTGGGGTCTGTAAGGCCAAGATATATGCAACCTTACCTTTGTAAAAAAAACAGAGGCTATGTCCGCTAAACTCTTGATGCATGCTTTATTTACTACCCAAAACTTAATAGAAAGTAAGAAAGGGAAGTTTAATGTGCCACTATAATAAAGCCCCTTGTATACCCAAAGCTAAAATATCCCAAAATGACTCTTTTACTTTCAATGGCAATGGACGATACAGGAGGCAAAATATATCGTAGAATCAAACTGTAGCCAAAAGATCCAAAATAAGTGCTCTCACTAATCACAGTAACTGATTAATTATACAGCTGGAAGCTTTAACCAAGCAACAGTATCGATGTCGCTTGAGTCTTAAACATACTGATGGATGTGTGGCAGACTGACAGGGCTTAAACCCATTTATTGATCAAGGATTTGAATAATTTAAATATACGCCAATAACTCTATGGAAGAACTAGTAAACATAAATTTAGCAGAAGTGGCAGATGAGACTTAATAAGTTAGCCTGGTGATATATTTAGAGATTAATAAACAAAAGTATAAATGGTAGGATTGGTAGCAAGATTCAAAAGATCTGTAATATAAATTAGTGGTGAGATCGTAAACCTATAGAATTATAGATATTGCAGAGTTAAAAATGCATGCATTAACTTGAGAAAATAAAATGAAGAGATACAGAGCATATAATATTTTCCATGCTGGTTATGAATGGACTTGATCGTCACATCATGAAAACCGTAAAGTTGACAAGCATAAGAGTGCAGAATAATCTACTGAAACTGAAGTCAGCTACAAACCAGTTCATTTTGATTCTGAAAGGAACTTCCGGACCTCCACTGCATTCCGGGTATAATGGAAGGAGAGAAAACCCTACCAGACGTAATGTTAGACTCGCCAACAGTACCACTTTCAGTAGAAACCATGTTTCCCATTCCATCATTAGACTTAGTCATTTGTGTCAAGATGTTTCGGTTAGCCAGGGGGGAAACTAGAGGCGGTCCCACTCCACCACTCCCAAGCCTTTCATCTGTTCCCAAAATATTTCTCCTTGCTACTTCAGTAGTAGGATTAGCACCCAAAGAACCATTGGTAGAAAATGAACTACTGGAGCCAAGCAAAATATTAACCGCAGGCTGACTAGGGAGGCCACCTTTACCAACATTTTTTATTCCAGTTTCAGAAATTGCTGGGGAAGATTTGCGATCAGGGAAGCCCGCAACCTCCTCATCTTTTGTGGCATTAGACACATTCCTAGGAGACAAAGTAATGACAGAACCTGCATTTTCCAACAATCCGCAACAAGAATTGAGACATGAAAACCAGAAGATAGAGCATTTGAGAGATGATACTCAGATGTTTTGAGCTGACCAGTACTGGGAGTTGCATGGCTGCCTAAAGGTGTTGTTGGAGCAGAACTGACCACACTAGTTTTAGGAGGTGGGGTCCGTGGAACCGTGTCAGATGCACTCTCAGTTGCAATTTCATCTGCTTGCTCCTGAGTAGAACAACCTTGTTCGACTGAAGATGATATTGTTCCCTGCAAAGGAAAATAAAATGATGATATGCCAACAACACGACATACAACAACAACACAACAAAAACCCAGTTGATTCCCACAAAAGTAGGGTCTAGGGAGGGTGCGTGTATGCAGACCTTACCTCTACTCAAAAGTAGAGAGGTTGTTTCCAAAGAGACCCCGTCCCAAGCACAACAGGTAATCACGTGCTTAGCCTGGCCCCTATGTTTAAAACACAGAGCGGCTGTTTTCGGATGACCCATGATAAGCATCGAAAGTTGCATTGACTAAAAGCTACTTCACTACTAAACGAAGCACGGACAGTTTAAAGAGTCATTTTGCTTTATTCCATCACACCCCAAAGCCAAAAAATATTGAATCTTTGGCTCAATCGGAGATGATGGACCAAACAATTTAAGCTTAATGAAAAGAAGCAATTGATATGATACTAATATCCCTCGATTCATATAAAAATGATAGAACAATTTGCACAAGGTGTCAATGGTTTCAGTAATTCTAACATCAAATAAATTGTGTATATTTGTACCGTGGTATTTTTCTCCCAAAAGATTAACTGAGAAAAGTAGTTTTTAAAAAGATATCTATCTAAATAACACTAATTATAAATAAGACCTCCTATGTTTTATCCCCTAAATAGAAGTGTTGGCATTGTGAAATGCCTGCACTATGACATTGTGTATTGGCATTTCACAATGTTTGTTGACATTATGTTTTGGCAATATTTGGCATTTTAAGTCCTATTTTGGTAGAAAAACATTGAAGATCCTATTTTGGTATAAGGAGCATTGTTTAGTCCTATTTAGGCATTTCTCTCTTTTTTAAACCCCAAAGAAGAAAATTATTGCTGACAAAGTTTATCCATCAATAAATAGGGGTTACATACGGAGGACCCAGATACATCCAAGCTTTCAAACATGTTCAAAGTTAATCAAATTAAAATGGGCTAAAGAGTATGCAACATTGACTTCACGCTTCACATAAGACCACTTAATTACAGGAAACTCATGACTAGCCCAAAGAGCATTATTTACAATCAAACAAAACTCAGTACGATGTGTCTTTTCTTCCTGAACTGACTGAGAAAAGTAGTTTAAAGACACATATTGAGAATAATATTAAGAAAATGAAACATGTTACAAATAGTGAAATGTCAAGTATTTAATCAAATACAATGAACCATAATAGTGTCTTGTGTGCTATGTTCCATTTACTTTGCATGAAAAGAGACATTTAATTTTTTTTACATTGTGTTAATATAATCATTCTTTTAATTGTTAGACTAAAAGTGAAAATATAGTTTCTTGGAAACTTGTGCTTGTAGTCAACATATCTTTAGGAGATCAAAAGATGGGTTTGTCTTGACCATTATTTTTTTTATCCTAAACGTAGACATAACTAAAGAAGTTGAAAACATGTTCACACAACAACAAACCAGTAAAATTTTATAGTGGGGTCTGGGAAAGGTGGGTGTATTAACTAAAAGATTTATTCAAACTTTTCCCTATAGACATTATCCATTTCACCAATTAGTAATTGTGACCAAAGAGAAAAAGGCATTATAGAAACATATGGTGGAGATGTCAAACAATGGCAAAAATATGTAGGAGCTAGGTAAAGTGAATGTCGTAAATCTTCAGTTGTTGCATGAAATCTTACTTAATTTACAAAAACAAAATGTGTTTACAAATAGATTAAGGTGGAGTATATTAAAGAGATGTAAAGCCATGTTGAACTAAGAAAACATTATTTAAGGCAGCAGAATTATGAGGAAAATCATCAATATGAGCACCTTAATCCGAACTATGTTCGGTCCGACAGCATGAGATCTAGTGTCACTAATTTGACTAAAATTAGTTAATGCAATAATAATAAATTCATAAAAAGAGAAAATATCGACAAAGTTTTACATCGGATGCCCTTGTCATAACTTTCTTGAGCCGGGGGTCACTCTTGAAACAGCATTCCTACATCAGGGTAGGGGTAAGATCTACGCACACACACCTCCCCCAGACCCTACTCTTGTGGGATTCAACTAGGTTAATGTTGTTGTTGTTGCCCTTTTCATAACTTTCTTATGAGTTAATGAGATTTAATTCCAGACCATCATCATCAGTGTTTTTACTCACTTGTAGAATACACACTACTTGCATTTAATATAGTATGAGTGAGGAAACATGCCCTTGACTAACCCTTTGTTTGGATGGTAAGAAAAGGGAAAGAAAGAAAATGTGATAGAACTCAAGATTGGCCAGGAAAATAAATGAAGGATAGTCTTTATCAAAATAATGAAATCAGCATCTAACTTCATAAAATAATAAAAGAAGTCTTTATCAAAATATGAGCAAAAATCTTAAACTCATATACTCCCTCTGTCCATTTTTAATCTTCTCACAAATAAACTTTCCGTTTCCTTTTTTGGAAACTTTTTTATACCAAAAAGACTTAATTACCCCTACCCATCCACTCTCTTTCATTTCTTTTTCTTCTTCCTCTCGCCACATCCCAGCCACTCCTCACCCACTCATCTTATTTTCTTTCTTTTTTTCTCTCTTCTTCTTCTTTCATTTCTTTTCTTCCTCGTTCTTTTCCTTTATTCTTCTTCTTCTTTCATTCTTTTTTTCTCTCCCTTCTGATTTTATCCCACCCACCATTTTTCCATCTTTTTCTTTCTTTTTTTTTCTATTTTCTTCTTCCTCTGACCTTCCGATCCGGTAGCCTCTTTCTTCTTCTTCATCTTCTTCTTTCCATCCTCTTCTCCTCTCTTTTCTTCTCCATTCCCATCTAGTTTAGGTTGCATTCCGTTTGTTGATTTTTGAAGTTCTGATGTGGTCTGAGTTGATCTGATTGGATGTGATATGAATTTAATTAAAATTAAAATTAAATTTTTTAATATAATAGTTCTATTAATAGTTATAATAATAATAATAATAATAACAATAGAAATATTAATAATAATAGTAATAATAAAAATAATAATAATAATAATAGTAATAAGAATAGTAATAATAATAATAACTATAATAATAGTAATAGTACTAATAATAGTAGTAATAATAATACTAGAAATATTGATAATAAAAGCAATAATAATAATAATAGGTAATAATAACTATAATAATTATAATAGTAAAAATAATAATAATAGAAATAATAATAATAATAGTAATAATAATACTAGTAAACATGATGATGATAATAATCATAATCATAATCATAATAATAGTAATAACAATATCAGTAGCAGTAATAATAATAGTAATAATTATAATAACAATATTAATAATAATTATAGTCATAGTAATAATAGTAACAATAATAGTAATAATAATGATAGTAATACTAATAATAATAATAGTAATAAGAATAATAATAGTAATAGTAATATAGTAAATTTTAATAAAGAGTTGTTGAATTGAAATAGTAATAGCGTACGGTAATAGAAATAATAGTAATAGTAATAATAGTAATAATAATAAAAATAGTAGTAATAATAGTAATAATAATAGCAATAATAAATGTAATAATAATAATGATAGTAATAGTAATAATAATAATAATAATAGTAGTAGTAACAATAATATTATTATTATTAATAGTAATATTAATAGGAATAATAATAATAACAACAATAGTAATAATAATTATAATCATAATATTAATAGTAATAATCATAGTAATAATAATACTAATAATAATGGTAATAATAATAATAATAATTTTGTTTAGATCTGGTCTGATTGAATCTGATTTGATCTGATCTTATTTGATTAGATTTGATGTGATTTTAATAAGAATAAATAATAAGCAGAAAAAATAAGTTGGACGGAACGCTGCCTTAGTCCATCCACCCATTGTTTTTCTTCCTCTTCTTCTTCTTCATCCTCCCCCTTCAAATTTGGTCCAAATCTGAGAAATCTAATTCAGATCTGTGATGGATTTTAGGGAAAACGAAAGATCTTTTTCAAGTCTTCTTTGTCTTCATCTTCTCAGTTCTCTCGACCTCCTTCGATTCTTCCACCAGTGGGAATAGGATGCTCGAATAAACTCTGAAAGGGTGCTCGCCGGAATTTCTCCCTGATTTTGGAATAATACGGTTGGGCGGCATATTTGTGCTAGGTTGTCCGACGAGATGCTGGGGATTGTGGGAATGAGTTACAGGATGTTGGGGTAGAAAAATGGGGAGGGCTTAATTGGAAAGTCAATGTAAATTTAACATTCCTTAATCTCTGTGCCCGGTCAAATCGAGAACATTAAAAATGGATAGAGGGAGTAAGTAATAAAGCAAAGGAGAATCTCCAATAATAAATATTGAATTACTTTCTTGATAACATTTACAAATAATGAGCCTCGATATTTAAAGCAAAATAACTACCAGTCCCTAGAATTTAGGCCCACTACCACATTACTTGATAACTATTCCTAGACTTTAGGCTCACAACCACATTACTTAACAACTACTCCTAGAATTTAGGCCCACTTACACATTATTTACTACTTAGTAACTAACATATATAAAATAAAACATTTGACTTCATAAACAAATGACCCGTATAAATAATAATAACATAAAATAACAGCATATGTGGCACTCTATCATTATCCCCTAATTCAAGATTTGCCTAGTCCTCAAGGCAAAATAGCTTCTCTAATGTATATCTGGAGGTTTCGGTAGAGGTGGTAGGAAGACAATATAATGAAAAACTCCAACTAAAGCAGTGGTGCTTTGAACAAAAGGGTCCAAATATGACATAACAGCTTCAAGGATATCATTGCATGATGCCACCATCCAAGGGTTCATGAAGCTTTATCAATAATGCTGTAGACTTTTCCAGGATGGTGTTGACACATTAATAGGGGTTTTGGAACCCCAAACTGGAGGCATTCTCATCAGCACTTGGCATTTGGCACAATAATCATGGCTCCTTCTGTAGCCAATTTTGTAGGTGAGAATGGAGAGATTTGATAGTGGCAACCAATATTCATTATACCTTCATATTGGAACAATCTCAAATCGAATTGCGGTTACCAATTGCTATCCATGAGAACTCTAGTCAGGATCATGGAGGGGCATTGTTCACTGTCAAGCGCGGACTTAGAGTTGCATTTGAAATTCCCTTGTCATCATGTAGGAAATTACTTGTTGGATGGGAGGAATTAAAGCGGTTGGCTGCAAGCCTGCAATGGTAGGGTGTTTGGGCTTACGAATGAATCTAACCATACCATTTTGTTTTTGAATTTTCTTTCCTTTCACCCCACATGGAAGTAACTAGAAGTGAATCGTTTGTAGGGTGTCACAATATTAACAGTCTTACCATGATCTGATGTTGTTTGGAATTAATGAGATCAAGGCGAGCTACAATGCAAAGTAATTGGTGTACTTCACAAGGAGAATAACTCTTGGATGAGAAATTGTATGGAGTAAATGAACAAACTGAATCTTTGCATAAGGAGCCCATAAAGATCTAATGGCTCTGATACCAAATTATAGAAGTCAAAATTGGCCAAGAAAATAAATGAAGGATAGTCTTTTTCAAATTATGAAATGAGCATCTAACTTCATAAAATAATGAAAGAAAAGTATTTATCAAAATATGAGCAAAAATCTTAAACTCATATAAGTAATAAAGCCAAGGAGAATCTCCAATAATAAATATTGAATTACTTTCTTGATAACATTTAGAAATAACGAGCCTACCATTTTTAGAAGCAAAATAACTACGCATCCCTAGAATTTAGGCCCACTACCACATTACCTAGTAACTATTCCTAGACTTTAGGCTCACAACCACATTACTTAGCAACTAGTCCTAAAATTTAGGCCCACTTATACATTACTAACTACTTAGTAACTAACATATATAAAATAAAAAATTTGACCTCATAAACAAATGACCCTGACACTACTATAAATATTAATAACATAAAATAACAGCATATGTGGCACTCTATCAAAATGTAAGGTGAGAAAACACATATTACGAAGCATTTTCCAATGTTAGTTTTGGTGAGAAAATGAGGGAGAAGAGAAAAGTAGGTGAGAAATGAAGGGAAAAAGTTCTCTTCGACATATGTTAGAAAATGTCATCATTTTCTCCATTTTCTTATCATTTTCTATCAATCCAAACACAATTTTTTTCTCTTCATTTTCTTCGCTTCCATTTTCTTTCCTCTCATTTTTTTCCTTCTATTTTCTTTCCTCTCATTTTCTCACCCCATCCAAACGAAGGGTAAAGATTTTTTAGAACAACTCAGATGACAGTAGCCTGCATGGTTGATGGCATTAATGTTTCATTTTGCAGGAGTTTTAACCACCACTTGGTAAATAGTTTTAAATACCAAGTGCATCACAGATAACTACACCCTATTGATAGAGTCAGTCCACAATGTTAACTCTTTCAAGTTTAAAAACAGGATCCTTCTGCAAAGCCTTAGAAGGACAACCCAGCCCCCATCACAAAGCAAACAAACATAATAAAAAAGGGACGTGAAATGGGATGGTGATAGACTTTCTACACCATTCAAAAAAAATTTATAACAAGAAAGCTTAGATGCATACCAATACTTGACCAGGTGATGCAGTCATAGAAGTTTTTAAGCTTGATGTGGCACTAGCAGCAGTAAGGCCCTACGAAATAAAGGGAGCATTTAGATTCACTGCTCTTGCAAATTCTGTTTTATGATTTTCATCCATTGCCAATGAAGCTAAAAGTGTCAATATTGAAAATGTTTTAGCAGCGGTCGAATAATGGACTAAATCAAAACGGCACATTAAACTTGTCTTCTTACTTTCTATGAAGTGTTAGGCAGTTAAGGCGTCATGGGTCTTACAGAAAAAATCTCTGTTTGTTACAAGAATAAGGTTGTTTACATCTTGACCCCAGACAGCCAGACGACGAAGTTAAGATTATATTGGGTTTGTTATTGTTTGTTTCTGTAGATTGTGTGAAAGGGAGGGGGGAGCAGATAAACAAGCAATAGGTATTTTTACAGGGAGAGCTGGAAATCATCTTGAAAAAACATTGACACCCTCTTAACCAGTAACCTTCTGCCAAATCAGTACAGTCACTTCATGTTTTCAATAAATTCAGTTGTCATGATTAACAACAGGAGTGATAGCCTAACTTATTATTCAAAGAATGGCAAAGAAGCATAAAGAAGCTTACAGAAAAAGAAGCTTTTATATAAAAAAAGAAAAAATATATTACCTTAACAAGCGCGGGAGGCCCAATAATGACTAGTTCTTCAAGAGAGTCCACCTTATCTAATGGTAGGGAGCTATAAAGCTCATCAACATCATCAAAATCTTCAAAGTCCTCCTAGAAACAGAACATAATGTGAATGCCCAAAAACATATCACATAATGCATATCGATGAAATATTTCAACCAAAACCACATGTGTATTATGTATTTAGTGTTGTTATGTGTGGGTAATTAAAACAATAAAAACAAACTCTGAAGCCTACAAAATATCTATATTAATTTTGAGATAAAATTTCCATGATATGCAGATTTTAAGAATCCAATAGTAGTATTTGATCTCTTTAAATGACATGAGTTTATTTGGGGGGGGTATTGAAAAAAGCAAACCTGATTGCGCTCCACATAGTCATCCAGAAAATCTTTAACATCATTGACTTGCTCTGGGCTCAACTCATCATTATCCAGTAACCTCAAGATCAATTCTAACTTCATTATATGAGCCTTGTGTCGAACAATGGATGCTTCCAAATGAACCTGTGAAACAGATCTCACATGAACACCAAGAGAGACAAACCACTGATAATGTCATCAGTATTAAGATGTTCCCTTTCTTTACCAATCTTGGGGGCCTTGTTTTCCCTTTCTTAACAGTTAGTCCTTCCAGTTCTGCCTCAAAAATATCAATTTGATTTTCCAGCTCGCCGACCTAGGCATAAAAAGGGACAAACATCTTTAATCAATTGCTTGGAAGGTTATTTGGCAAGACAACAAATACTCATTCCGTCCCAAAAAAAAAGGATCCACATTTGTTATTTTGTTTGTCCCAAAATAAGGTTCCACTTTCTTTTCAAATAAATGGACCTGTGGTTTACATTATTTCTATCTCTCCCACATAGGTCTCAATCACTCAATTTTACCTTTCTTAAAAGTTGTGTCCAGTCAAATATGGAATTTTAATTCGGGACAGAGGGAGTAAGTAACTCCACAGCAATGAAAAAGAAAATATATTAAATATATAATGAAAAAATGGCATGCTCACTGGATCAGTCTGTATCCAATTCTATTTTTCTTTTAGAGAATAAGGACCTGCTGAAAGATTACCAAATTACCAATGTAGCCATGCATAAGAAATTTACTATGCCTGAACTAAAACCTTGTTTGAGTGCCATTGGAAAAGCATTAAAGTAAGGGTTTAAAGGCAAGTGAAGTTACACTCGTGTACCACCGTTAAGTACCAAGTAGACAGTGTAGAGAAAGTATTGTAACTGAATAGAATGTGGGCTAATAATCAGGTCCATACCACATTATTCAACCAATCTCTTGTCTCTGATTTAGCCTTTTCCTTTGGATCCTAACAAAAAGAGAGAAAAATCAATTTTCAAATTACTGTAGCCTTAACAACCTGGAAGATTCAATGTTAACATCCAACTATTAAAATGATGAACACATTAAAATTCATTACTTAGATCTGTTTCCCAACTAAAAAAACACATAATAAAAATTCGGACTGCAGCATCTGAAATTGAACCCTAAAGCATTGCTAGTGCACAAAAGAAATGAAAAATTAAAGTTAAATTTCCTTATCTTTGCTTTTCCCACAAAAAATGTTCAATATGGGGAAAAACTTATGAAATGAATGAACTCTACTTTAAAAATATTCCATAAAAACAGCAGATGTAAGTGAAAAACTTCTCCAGTAGCACATTTCCAGCACTCAGATAATCAGATTAGAGAGCCGCAAGTAATTCATTTTATAAGCATTTCAGAATGTAATCTTCAATACCGTCTTTGGCTGTTGGCCCAAGCCTTCTTTTGAAAATGCTTTGGTCTTTGTTTCTTTCTCACATATTTTAAATCGTTCCATTTGACGCTCAATTTGCTTGCGAGCATCCATCAGGGCTTGCTCATAAGAGGCACTAATCTATGTTGAACAGCACCAAAGAAAAGTATAGTCAACACATATTCTATACTTCATACATGTTAAAAGAATATCGCATGTACATTAAAAAAATCTGATTTCCTTCCACTCCGATGAAGCCAAAGATTCACTATTTTTTGGCTTTGTAGTATGATGGAATAAAGCAAAATGGATCTTTAAATTGTCTGCGCTTCTTTTAATAGCGAAATAGCAATTAGTCAATGCAATTTTTGATGCTCATAATGGGCCATCTCGAAACAACCGCTCTATGTTTTAAACATAGAGGTCAAACTACATACATACAACCCCCCCCTTGCCCCGAAATAGGCAGGAGCCTTTGAGGTACCGGGCTAGTGTTGTTCTTGTATATACATTAAAAAACTATGGTGCTACGAAACCACAGAGAGCTCATACTATGTAAAGCAAAGTCTGGCCTGCATATGATACATAAAAACCATAAAATGAATTACCTACTTATTGAAGTCAACATCACAGTCAGAGCAATCAAAAGTGAGCTCAGTTTAGCACATGCTTTATCAACTTGTGCCAACTGTGAGTCTGTGATTCGGCTGCGCTTAGAAAGTAAGCCAAACTAATATAGTCGCCTAACAACTTAACACGGCTTTGTTCTTTTAGGTTTCTTGAGAGAGAGAATAACCACACCTACTATTGCTTTTCTATCTAATGGAAGTTTCCAGCTTCTTTCTTTATTTCCAATATCGAAATCGACTGAAGAAAAAGTTGAAATTATTAGTGTAAATAGCAGCTGAATCTCTGAAACCTACCTTCTTGTCCTTGATTTCACTGGACTGCATCCATGTTTTAATTTGGTCTCTGTACCTCTGCAGTTTCTTTATCTCCTTCTTCAAATCTGCCTCAAACTTTTCTTTCTGGTTCGCATTGTCAGTGTCGTAAACCTTAATATTGGAAGAAACAAATAAATCATCAAGAATTAAAGGGGAAAAACAGAAAATTAATATGCAAAACTCTTTTTTTCATAAATCAAAGATATATTCATAATTACCTTGTTCCAAATGCTATCGAAGAGGTCGACTCCTTCTTGAACCTTCTTCAACACCCGATCGATCTCACCTTGGAGTTTTCTACTCGCTCCCATTGAAGAAGAACAAAGTAACTGTACAGAGCTTGAAAGTGAAAATTCCGGCGGTGATTCTCAGAATTCTGCTCTCTTTATTACAGTCTTGCTAGAACAATTGCCCAGTCCGCAAATTTTGCAGAAATTGCTGGATTGATGTGGGGGTGGGCAACTTTTGTATCTACCCCAACTTTTGTACCTCATTTTGCACATTTGCAACGACACTTTTTGTTGGTGTAAAACTAATTTTTTTAATGCACTAACACTTTGTGTTCGTGTAAATTTTTCTTAACGCATAAATACGTGTGTCAGTGTAAACCATCAAAATGTTTGTGTATAACAACGGTGTACAAATGGAGTATAATTTGTGGTGTAAGTGTAGCATGACCATCCTGCCCGAACCAACACAATATTTTACAGTATTTTATTTTTGTTTTTTGAGACTATATTTTAAATTTTAGAGTCATTTACTTATATTTAACGAGTTTTTCTTTGTGCCTAGTCAAAATTACTTATAAATAATTTTCATTTATAAGTCAGCAAATGACATATTTCTATATGCTTATAAGTAGACTTATAAATTCGTTATCACTGAACAAAATAAGTAGGTCATATTTACTTTTTTTAAGTTAGTTTTTTTGTGTTTCCGTTTTGACCAGATTATTTATAAAATTGTCTCTCACCATTTATGAATATATACAAATGATTTATCTATCATTTAATTTATTTTACTTGCACAACAGAATATTTGACATATAAGCAGCTTATAAATTAAAAATTATTTATTAACAATAAGTCAATAAGCACATGCACAGAGAAATACTCCTTTAATTATTTATACTCATTATTTTTTAATTTTTCATTGAGTATATAAAAAATCATGCACTTTATACATTTTTAATATCAATAACTCTCGTATGATCTTAATGGATAGACATTTATACCCCTTCAATTACAGAGAAAAAATACCCATGCTTGGATACAAATTATAATTGCGATGATCGTGAATCTCTAAGTTTGGCGGCTGATAGCTGGGTGAATCTATTGCCAGGTCTGCAATTCCTCTCTCTGTGTTGAGAGGTTTGTCTCTGATTCCTCTCTCATAGTGAGTGTTTGTCTCTGTTTCACTGCTGCTTCGTTGATTTTAGGAATCATTATTCGTGCCATCATAGGTCTGATGGAGTGGATGTTGTTTTTGTGGCTTTGATTGGTATTGATCCCGAAACCTTGGGGTGATTTCATTCAATTGAAATAACTTCGTGTCTAAGGGAGTTTCTAATGTCTCACCTAAATCCTAAAGTTTGTGGAAGGTTTCAATTTTATCTTTGCATCAACTTTGTCCGTTCACTTAGCCAATAATATTTGCTATTTGGATTTCACTTTACGGTTGATGTGGCAGAGAGGTTAGAAGAGGCAGTGGTTAGCAAGAACCAATACCTCCAATCACCATGAAAATTTTATGTTAGGGTCAGAAGATGGGTAGTCCTAGATAGTTCAAGCCCTAAGCAGGTTGTGGTGTAAAAGACACTATCCACAATTAGTTTTTATTTTAGAATCTCATTTGTGCAGAGAAAAGTTGGGCAACTTGAAGAAGAGCGAATTTTATAATGCATTTGGTGTTGATGGTATTGGTCGGTCACGGGATGGTGGATGATGCTGCTCTAGAAGAATGAAATTGATTTTCAACCACATTCCTTACGCTCCTTTTCTCTGAATCACATCTTTGGTGACATATAGGCCAATGGGGCATCACTACAAGAATTGGACGGATCTACAATGGATCTGCAGCAAAAGGTATAGTGGAAAAAAATTTGTGGTAGATTTTCTATCTGCGAAAAAAAAAAATTTCGTGGAAAATCTAAGAAGGAATAGCTTTTTCGTGGCAAATATGCGATGGATGGATATTTCGGTAGCTGATTTGCCACGGATTTTGCTACAGATTAATTAATTCTTGTAGCTCTTACTATCGGCGACGAAAAGTGTTTCCGTGGTAGATCCATCGCAAAGTGTTTCGTGAATTGAATAGTAAACAACAATATTCTCTCTATTTGTTTAGATTTTTAAAATATAATCATTTTTGTATTTAGTTCTTGAGGCTAAATATCTAGCTCCATTTACAAATATAATTTGATTTTATTTTTATGATTTGAATTTTAAAAATTCAAGTTCATAACTGTATTTTCATTTTAAAAATGAAAAATATAAAGTTCATTTCGTTTTACTTTATTTTAAATTACGTAAATGATTATTTAATGAGTTCATATTTATATTACAAAGAAATTTGAATCTTCCTTTAAAATTCATGATAAGCATTTAATATTTACTACCTCCGTCCCACTCTCTTTGTCCACTTTTGACTTTTGGAACTGTTCATCTAAGTACTTTGACTCATCAAATTCTCTCAATGTGTAAGCCTAAATATAGTCATGTGTGATCTTGTTGGATTTGTCTTAACATATAGATTATTAATATATAATTTCTAAAAAAATTTAATATACAAATTACAAGATAAAGTGGATTAAAGAAGTGCATTGGATAGTGTGCCAAAAGGTAAATGGACAAAAAGAGTTGGACGGAGGGAGTATGTAAAACTCAAATTGTCTAGTAATATAATTTGTGTCATATCTCAAATGCTCCATTCATATGCAAGTGTTAGATTCATTTTTTTAGAATGTGTTCTTATTTTGATTATATTATGTGGAAGTACACAATAATAGTTAGTGATGGATATCCTGAACTAGGGGTATCAAGCCCAACAAGGCCCATCTAATCACAGGATTCAGACGTGCTCGGTTAGAGACACCCTACTCGATTGAAAGGGTTTAATGGAAACCAGGCCTCAGGATGTCAAGTTGTCAACACTACCCGGACATGTATCCTTACTCAGCTCGGATACATCCAATCGGACCTAGGAGCGGACCTGATCAGATTCTTACTCAGATGTTCTCCAATGGCAAAGCCTATGCACTCGGCCTCCACCGTCAGCAAACCACTGTGGGCCTACCACGGGCGTGGGAGCCTGTATGCCTTGTCTAGTCAATGTGCCCATGTTGGGACGCTAGGATACGATTGTCTATACAATTGGTTGTAGCCACCATATTGTCTGTACATTAGTTGTAGTCACCCTATTTTGCAATCATATTTCTTGTACTGTCAATCAAAAGGCATGACCCGGTCGGCCCCGCCCACTAGGTCGTAGACCAACGACTAGGAAATCCAAAGGAGGAAAGACATGTTCTCATTCACTACCAAGCTAATACTTACTTTACTCTAGCAATCAAAAGGAACTAAACCCTTGTTCGATACTCTTCTACCTAATCTCCTAGATCCCGAGTTCTAAAATTCATTAGTTATATTAAAAGATTTTTTTTGGACATACATTATAAATATGAATAAATAATATGGAGTAAATCGTAGTGTTGGTTGAATGGTCTATTTGTATTCAATTTCAAAGTTTAAATTGTCATTTTTGTTAAATAAATATACACTCATTGTAAGCCGAATTTTTGAAAAACCAAATCCTTTAATATAATAAAGGAGACTCGGATGCACATAAATTCAACATTTGGCATGTCTATATGGCAAAATTTAAACATGTAAGCACGCCACAAAATATTCGAGTAAACCAGCAGAAATAAATTATATACGATGAACTAGCGGATCTCCCGTTGAAAACAATTGACCGCAGATTTTCTACGCGATTATCACTGGCCTGCAACAAAATTCTTTCCTTCAGATTACAACAATACGAACTCCAAATATGATGATAATATAAAATGATTAAAAATAAATATGAAAAAATATAAATACTATTTAAAAAATAAATATAATATTTTTCATTTAATTTAAATAGAATTTTAGGACCATGCTACATATATTAATCCTTTATCTTACTTCATATATTTTAAAATTACATACTTAAATTAATAAGTTACAAAGTTTTATTGTGGAAATTCGTGTATAATAAGAGTTAAAATCAATGGAGTACCTATATTAATAGAAATTAGAATATTATTTTTTACAAAAAAGATTATTAAGAAACAATCCTAAATAATGAATAATATTATTTTACTAATATTATTTTATATCCATTTACTTATATATGGAAATCCTTAATTATGTGTCTTGGATAATGAATAATATTATATATTAATATATGTTTTCAGATTACAACAATACGAACTCCTATTACGAGGATAATATAAACAATTAAAAATAAATACGAAAAAATATAAATACTATTTAAAAATGAAAAATGAAAAAATTGAAAAAGTTTATGTCTTATATTGGGAAATTACTTATGTTTGAAAATATGAAAAATTATTCTTTTTTTGAGGATAGAGCACTATTGACATCAACTCTCGAACTAGTTGAAATGATAAATGAATTTGTTCTATCCCTTATTCCTGGTGATGAAAAGGAGTACTTAAGTTCTAACTCTTCGTGCCAAGCAGAAGCAGATGTAGGTGTTGATGGCAACTGGATAACAGTTGATTTTTCAAACGATCAAATATTCGGTGCAATTGAGGAACATTGGCCAAACATCTGAATTGTATAACGAGACAAGATTAATCGTTCAAGAGCTGCAAAATAATGTTATCGGTGCAATTGTAGTTTCGAGAAATTGAGTTGGGGAAAAAGTTTATATCCCTAGAATGAATTTGGTATCATCTGATCAAGGGCTACCTTTGAAGTTCCAAAGAAGACACTTCCCGATCGCCTCATGTTTTGCTATGACTATCAACAAAAGTCAAAGTCAAACATTATCATTTGTGGGATTATTTTTAACCAAGTCAGTGTTCACACATGGTCAACTATATTTTGCTGTTTCACGAGTGAAGACAAAGACAGGATTAAATATATTAGTTCTAAATGACAATAGAAACCCTTGCAACCATACCAAAAATGTTGTATACCCTGAAGTCTTTCAGAAAATTTGGTATTAAAATAAACATTGTTAACTCTACATTTTGTTCCTCAAATATTATTTATTTTACTTTGGTTTTTTTCATTTGTAGTATTAAAACTCATGTGAGCAATATATTTTCTTTATTCCGAAAAATAAATTTTATTGAAATAATTCAGAATCGACATAAATTTCTTTCGACCATGTGCATGACACGGTCAGAATACTAATGCATAAAATATGAATGTATCCGTATACATAATCCGAATGCATAAAATGTATAATTAGATTTATTTTAAAAATATACTCCTCTGCCCTAAAAAGTTCTTCCCACTCTATCTTTTTTTTCCGTCCTAAAACTACTTTCTCATTAGAAAAAAAAGATGACAAATGACATTAATACCCTCATGTATTTACACCAATTATCTTCTAACTCTATATTTTGAATGATTGCAAAAAAAATTTCAAAAAATCCTTTTTAAGGAAGGTAAAATTTAAAGTCAAAGCCAAAAATAAAAAATGGCAAAAATTAAGAAAGAATTAGGAAGGAGGGAGTAATTGGTGTTTATTCCTTCTGTTTCTGCTTGGCTCCTGCGGCTTCTTCTCTAAAAGTTCCGCTTCTGCTCATCCGCCTTCTTCAGACCGATACCAGAACTCCAGAACGGCTATTTCCTCTCCTCCCGCCGACATCTGCTTCTTCGATTATTCAAGCTGAGGTATGATATAAGGCTTCTTCTCCTCCCGTCTTCTTCAAATGGCCTTCTGCTTCTTCTATTGTTCGATCTGGTTGCCATCTGATTTTTGGAGCGAATTTCCTCAATTTTCAACCTTCCGTTTCGATTTTTCAGCGGATTTTGTTGATTTTATTTTAAATTAGGGCTTTGTTCATGGTTCATAGCGAATATAAATGATATGGTTGGAGTGGCTGAGAAAATTTGAGCAGCTAAAATACTGTAATGAAACTAAAGAGGTAAATAGAAGACAGAAATAGAGGAGGGGTGGGAAATGCCCTCCAGAACCTCCTAAAACATGATCCATTTTCAATAAAAAAAAGGAACCAAACCTGCAAAACCTAAACCCACCAAAAACAAAAACACACGGATGAACTGCCTAAAATCCCAATCGATGTTCAATTCAGCATATTCTTCCAAATGCGAATTGTTTCGGGCATTTTATGCCCCATCTTCATAAGCTTAAACTTTTAATGCTATCAAATGTATGCTCGAACAAAAATGATGTCTTGTTTCAATAATTTTGATCTAAATCTCAATTAGCAGATGTTTTATCATTAAAGAACGAATTTTTAGCGTGTTGAAATTCCAAATCTGAAACACCAGTGATAAGGTATACCGTACATCTGGATGTACGATGTTTCCCGTACATCCGATGAATACTCATTTAAGAGTAACAGAATGTTCATTTTACATGCCATTAATTTTAGTTGTACATTGAATACTCATTCAGTCATTTGCGAGTAAAAGAATACTCATTTTCACATTTTTTTACTCTAGTTGTACATTCATTCAATACTCATTTTCAAGCAATACAATACTCATTTTTTATCAACACAATACTCATTTGCAAGATTTGAATAGTTGGATAAAATTTGTACCAAAAAGAAGGCACAACCGGGTGTACCTTATAACTTGCCAACACTACTCTATACATCTTCTAAAAGCCCTTCTTTTTTTGAAGATGTGTATGAAACACCACTACTGCCCTTTCACGTGTCAGATCAGTATAAATTCTGTTATGTTTTTCAACTTTCCTATTTTGAAGGAAGTATGTTTTTGTTTCCAACATACCGATTCCTCTATGAGTATTAGGGTGAACAGATTGGACTTAAAACAGTCCGCTTTAAGTGTGTTATTCGAGGCATTGAGTCGTTCTTCCTCAACATTCGTTATTGCAATGTGATATGCTATCGTATCTCATATGTCTCACTCTAGATAATGTGTATGCTTTTCGGGCACCATTCATGACTCTGTATTTGATTGTGATTGTGATGTAGTGCCTAGAGGATGGGAAACCAGCAGGAAATTTCTAGTGAGGAAGGTAGACACATCCTTGAAGCAATTGCGGCAACTGGAAAGTTTTGGTAGATTTTTTTTCCCATTGCAATAGTTGGTATAAGGACAATGTTGAATAATGATTGATGATCTAAACACCTTCCATACTTTTGAGTAGGGGTAAGGTTTGCGCACACCCCCAGACCCTACTAACATTCAACTGGGTTGTTGCTGTTTGATCTAAAATATTTGATCTATTGATTGATAATGTTCAAAATACTCCCCCCATTACACTATTTTTGTCCCTTTTTTACTTTTTTGTCCGTCCCACTATTTTTGTCTTATTCCATATTTAGTCATATTTTTTGTGCTTCACAACCATTCTTACTTTATCTTACTTTTTAACATCAATATCAACCCCACAAACCTACTTTGCTTAATTTCCGGGCCATTCTCCCATGTCCCAAAAACAGTGGGACCGAGGAAGTAATATATAGTCATACTTTTCAGGGGTGGTCAACACTCAATCATAAAAAATGGGGAGAATGAAATTCATTATTTCTATGTTTCAGGTATTAGAACTTGAGTCAAGGGTGAATTATTGCACTTTTTGTTGTTCTACACTTGCTGCATTGTTAACTTGTATTTTTCAATGCTAGGACACTTTCCCTTTTGTGACTACAATAAGCTCTAAAACTCTATTCTTTATGTGAACCATTATCTTTAACAATCTTCATCAGGCACGACTGGGATAAGCTGAAGAGTATTCTATCTTTCCAATTGAAGCAGGTAGGTGGAGGTATGCTGAACTGACAGCATATGAAAGTTGAATCAAGCTGGTTGTCTTCTTCATCCTATATTTAATGGACTTGGTTTTATAATTACATTGCTTTAGTTAGTATGTTAACGTGATTATATCTCTTATGATAAAGGTTGTGACAGACTATCCAGAGGCAAACTTGACTAATGAATTGCAAATTTCTTCATTAGGAGAGCCCTTTGCAGAGTTGGTGAAAAGGTTGGATGATGGTATTTCCACAGTCATACCTTTCACTCTCCATTGTTTTTTTTTAAAAATTAGAGACTGCTAGTATTGCCCCAAAGCTATCAGTTTCCATTGTGTTTCTTTGAGTTAAAGCAACTCAACTAAACCTCGCTGGGGATATCTAATTGCAGCCAACTTTATGGACTCTGTTTTGCAAACATCAGAGTTCAATGTTTTATGTGGGATGTAGACATTGTACAACTTTCTTCCTTTAGAAATGCTTGGAAAACCAGATGGCCAGAGCAGAGTAGTGAAACATAAAAGTATGAAAGATATGATTTATTGACACTCCATGCAATTGAGTTTCATGTCTGCTGCTATCTGGTGTCTTTTTTTGCTCTAGAGTATGTAGTATGTACAACTCTGTATTTGTTTGTCCAAGGGAAACTTTTATATCTGAATGCAACAGAAATATAACTCCCTCTCTCCAATATCTTTCTTCCCTTTTCTTAAATAGAAAGACTATTTACTTTTTTACCACTAAAAGACTAATTTACCCCTTACTTTTGCACCATTCACCTTCTTCACACCCCCTTCAAGTGTTACACCACCAAGGGTAAAATGGAAAGTTAAACAATTTTTTTCATTTTACATTAAATAGCATGCCAAGTCAAAATGGGAAGAAAGATCTGAGACGGAGTGAGTACATTTGTATTGGAAAGGGAGTTAAGGGACATTTTTTCTTGAGAAATGCATATACAAAGATTCTGAGTAGAAATCTAAGTAGTTAGTACTATGGAAGCTATCGAAGTTCACAATGCATCATCTACATCCAGCACCTTCATTTACCCTTCACACGCTTCAACCATGAAGTTGCTCTATTAAACCTTTCCGGTCCTCTATTGAGCCCTATTAAACTAAATTCATTTGGGACTTCCTTTTGCAGATCTTAATAGCTTTATCGTTGGTCCTCCATTTACTTTACAGCGACTGTGTGAGGTGTGATACAATTAGACCTTCTGCATATCTTTCTTCCTGTTTACAGTTTTTCCTTCACTGATTGCTTTTGGTACTGTGCAGATTTTGTTGGATGCACAAAACATTTACCCGAAGCTCTCAAAGCTTGTCTTGGCGTTAGAAAAGGTAAGATCTTAGTTGTTTTCCACATTTATTCAACATTAACCTGCTTTAACCGTTTGATTTAAGTGGTTAAACCTTGTTTGGGATATTGGCCACACTCATGCATAAACAGTTTTTAAGAGTTACGACACATATACAACTCGGCATAATCCCAACCTTGTTGAGGTCTGGGGTCAAGATGTTCGTAATCTTGCCTCGTAAAAATGGAGAGGCTGTTTTTGTTAGACTATAGATGCATTGGTGCATTTACTATGCAGAACTTCATAGAAAATAAGAAACACAGTTTAAGACATACATTTAAAGTAAGCTGTTTGAAGTTGGTAATTGCATGAACTAAATGAATTACAAATTCTCAATATGATTTTCAAATTCTCATATATTTACTCCTTAGTAATGCCAAACTATTGGAATTAACCAAATATTCCTATATTCCTATTTTTTTTGTTGGTTTAGGTAAATCTTACACAGTCAACCTGTGGATTAGTTTTCTCCAATTTTAAACATTAAGAATGGCAAAATTTAGCTTATTTTGGTCAATGAGGACTCTTTAAAACATCAAAATTAGATTCGTTTTGAGACAAAATATGTTTAGCCACATGACTCCTTTTTCGAGACGGAGTAAATCTAATGATTTATAACATGTGTACCTTAACAAAATCAAAAGCTGCACCTTAATCAAACTTGACCCCGTTCCTTTTTCATTACGAAGTACAATGTAAGCCTGTAATTGTTTCCAATTTTTGTTCCAGATATATTACACGTGGTCTAAGATTCCTTTGGGCGCGTTAATTTTGTTTGGTTGGAGAACCTATTTCTTCTGCTTTATAATAATCATAATAATCATGATGCACATGTTTACAGAACTTATTGGTTTCATCTACATTGACCATCTCTGCCGATCCACCAGCACCCGCGCTCAAAGCAGCTGAAACAGATACAGAATCTCCCCCTGGTTCCCACCACCATCCATCGGAATCAATTGTACCCAATGGGATTGAAACAAGAGCCGACGATCCAGACGAAATAATGGGCGAGGCCGAGACAACTGAAGTTGTGGATGGCATGACCGTTGACATGGAAACCTCAGAAGACAGCAGCACGGTCCCATCTGAAGCAAAGTCTGCCGAACCAAACGTGTGATTCATAAATTTGACGAGGTGGTTGGTATTGTCATGTAGTACTGTGTTCATTTTCCTCACAACTGTACTCCTCCAGCTTACCTACTGGGATTTCAGGTGCATGCAATAGATTCATGTGTCATCTCTGCTACATAGCCACCCTGTACGGATGTCACGGCTATATGGAGGTTTTATGCGTCCCCTTGAGAATTCGGCTGTTCTTTATGCGTCCCCTTGAGAATTCCCCTTGAGGTTTTAGGCCCTGTTTGGTACACGGAATTCAAACTGTGGAATTGCAATTGAGGACTTCAATTCCAATTCTAGTGTTTGGTAGCACAAAAATTATGTAAATTTGGAATTGGCAGTGCAAAAAATGAATTGAAATTGATGAATTCGAATTCTATGGAATTGAATCCCATGAAATTTCAATTCCAATTCAATTCCAATTCCATCAATTCCGTATACCAAACGGACAAAAAATTGCTGACAGGTACCCCCAGTTTTATGGTAAGAACTACCGGATACCCCCAATTTTGAAAATATACTCCCACGTACCCTGAATTATAAAAAAACATACCAGGAGGGGATTTTCCATCCATTCGAGTTTTTCCGTCGAGTTCATCATCATCATCCACCACCACCATCTCCATCTTCTTCGGTCTTCCTCCACTTCTTCTTTTTCTTTTTCTTTTTCTTCTTCTTTCTCCTCCTCCTCCTTCCACTCTTGATCTCCAAACCCCCAACCCCTCACCCTTATTTCTTATTCTTTTCTTTCTATTATTATTATTATTATTATTATTATTATTATTATTATTATTATTATTATTATTATTATTATTATTATTACTATTATTATTTATATATCCAAATTTATAACATATCACATAAAATATAAACAATGATAAATTTTTTATATCTAAAATTAGAGCTTTCTTACATATGTATTTAAATACGGAGTAATTATTTAATTGAATGCCTTTTTACCATTTAAAATCTTCCAATATTTTTCAACTCATTTGCAACTTTTTCTAACTATTTCCAGTTTCTTTCAACCTCTTCTGATTTCTTCCAACATCTATTTCTGAAATTCCAACACAAAAGAAAAGAACCTAGACTAAAAAAGGAAGACATCCCACAAAAATTAAATTAAAGGATCCAATTCCTTTTAACTGAGATTAGTCCAAAATATATCACCAATCCAAGTGTTTAAATCTTGGCCCAAATGCAAACCCACAAAACATTTACTGTATTTTCTTGAGACCAAATGCAATCTCTATAGGCCAAATAGCGTCAGTACCTCCCGTGGTTTGCAAAATAGGCAGCAATACCCCCCAGTTTTTAAAACTTATTTCTAAAGTACTTGTGGTTTCAAAACGTTGCACTCGTTCCCCCTCTGATCATTTTCTGGTCATTTTTCCGGCGAAGAGGGGGGCATTCGTGCATATTTTCTAAACCACGGGGGGTACCAGTGCTGATTTTTTATTTCTCTCTTTTTTCCCCAATTTTTTCCTTTATTTGTTTCATTTATTAATAAAGGTTATTTTACAATTACTTTTATAATGTTCTTAAAATTTAAAGTTATTTTTGTTTGAAAAAATTAACATATAATGCATCAGCATGTCTCAAATTAACAATTTTTGTTTTTTTCCAAAAAAGGTACTCCTTCCGTTCTCAAAAACATTTCCTTTTTCATTTTTTTTCACTTCCAACAAAACACTTCCACTTTCTCTAATAATATATCCATCACATCTTACTTTTACCTATCACATCAAGGGCAAAATTGGAAATCAACTACAATTTAATACTCCCTTATTTTTACACAAAGTCAAAAGAGGAACACTTTTTTCAAACGGAGGGAGTAATTTTTTTTAGAACTTCTAAAAAATGATGAATAAAATAAGAAACAAAATAGTACAAAAATAAAAATGATTATCCTTTATCGGCATCTCAATTTTAAGGATATTTTTAGGCGTGTTCCAAAATTGTTTTTTGTAGAGAACTCTTTTTTTCGTATTTTAATTTTTTCATTTCGTTTTTCCATATTTTTATTTTAGGTTTACTTTTTGAACTTTCCAAAAAATTATTCTATGTAAGAAAAAGTGAAAATGTTTAATTTGAGATAGATGTAATGTATGTTAATTTTTTATTAGTTCAAACACAAAGAATTTTAAAAAAAATTTAAAACATTATAAAAAATTGAAAAGAAATTTTTAAAAAAGAAGGAAAAACACAAATAATAAACGAAAAATAAGAAATGAGCACGAGTGTCCCCTATGGTTTAGAAATTATGCGCCAATGCCTCTTCTTCACCGGAAAATGGCCGGAAAATGACCAGAGAGGGTGTGTGTGAACGTTTTGAAACCACATGGACTTTATAAAACTTGGCTTTTATTGTCTCATTCGTCTTTATCCGATTCTTGGCTGCCCAAGCCACCCACTTTTCCTTCACAGCCCTTTCTCATATTTCCGGCAACAATATCTCGTGTTCGCTATTTTTCCCAAGGAGAGAGAGAGAGATTATGAAGATGATGGTAAACCCAAAGTTGTCTCCAGCGAGTTCTTCAGATCGGAAGGTAGATTATCCATTAATAGTTCTTGAGTAATACCCAATAGGGAATTCAAGATTCCTAATCAAGCTTTACAAATATAAGAATTGTTAAACGGAAGGTATATTATATATCACTCATCTAGATCTGAATTTTTAATTCTTATATACCAACTTATTTCTTTTCTAATGATATTATCTTAGATTTTTAGTTTTGAAACATACTTTAGAGTTTTAGCCCTTTTATTAATTTATATGTAATATATATAATGAAATTATTTCTTGAACACATAGATCTAATGTACTACGTAATCCATACATGCATATAATCACTCATAATTATTTGTATAAAAAAGTGTGAGATATGTTGTCTTAAAGTTAAACAGAAATATCTTCAAGTGAATTATTATTTACTCCTTTTGAATAAGTCATGTGTTTAAAAAAATTCTGTGTAAGAGTATCCATCTTTGCAAAATTACTACAAAATAGAGGAAGTAATTAAACCGTTTCTTAGATCGGTTGTTTGAATGTTTTTTCGAATTTTTATTTTTATTTTTTAATGCTTCAAATTTGATGTTTTAAAATACTGCATGATGATATTATCTCATACTTTTCTCCTTCAAGTTCTGTAAAGGAAGATAACAAAAAAAAATTAGATTATCAAGTATTTTCCTAGATATGTCATACCTTTGTTTCACATGAATTCAGTTCAAACATTTTGTGCTCTTACATTCTATTTTTTACTTTATAAATAGTAAATGAAAATATTATTCTCAAAGTTTTATATTCTTACCCCTTTCCGTGTTTTTCTTCTTCTGTGACAACATCTTTACAATGCAGATCTTTGGAGATGGAGATATGATGTGGAAGATATGAATTTGGTGTTGTATTTATTGTGTAGAAATTGGTTCTCCCACTTGGTCATTAATAACATTTGGAATACGGAGTGGTAAAAAAGAAAAAGAAAAGATGTGTAGAATCACCTTAATAAATGTTGATTTGAGATAAAAGATAACTTAAAAGATAAAAGTAAATTTACACTTAAAAAGTAGTGAATGTTTTTTTAATTCCCGTGCACACGCAGACCTAGAGGACACGGCTGATAGGTTTCATCATTAGCCTCAAAATCGAAAAAAGTGGCCCATAACCACCCAGCCCATTTTCAGTGATCCGGCCCAATAAATTTGGGCGGGAACACTGTTCAAAAGTGCCTCCTATCATTGTATAGATTAAGATTAAGATAAGATATTATTTTCTCACTTTCGTTTTATTTAATCCTTTCATTCTCTCTTCAAAGAAAGTATTCTTTGTTTCACATAGACAAGACTCGGTACTCGTACGATACACGGACTGTAAAATTACTTATATAGTCTTGGTTTAGAATAACATAAAATGATACAAAATCAAAAGATTACAAATTTTATTAAAATTGCCCAAAATAAGGTATTGTACAGCAAGGACTGTAGATGCATAGCCAATTATTTATTCAAAAATTAATAATTATTAAAATTTATTAAAATAAATATTTTATATATTTCAGACACCTTATAGATTCTAATTGGGAATTTTTTTTGCTATACTATAATTAAATATAAGAATAACTTGAATGGAATGAAAAAAATAAACAAAGCTTAAATGTTTTGTAACACTTGTTTGTATTCAACATTTCCAAGTTAAAAATAATTCCACATGTTTAATAGATTTGTCTTTGCTTTTATTAATACATATGAGACGGGATATTCTTTGCACGCACGTCTTATCTTTGGTTCTTGTAGCCTTGTCTCCTATCTATGAATAATTATTATACATTAATAACACCAAAAATATCATAACTCGGCTCAAAAACATTAGAAACTATCTTATATGGCAAAAGATGATAATTTTAATCCAATGTTTAATAACTAAACAATCCCAAACATGAAACAATGCATGCCTTCAACAACAGAAGATTAAAAACAAAATGCAACATTCAATTGGTTCAAATAAAGCTACAAAGTTTGGACACACCCTAAAAAGCTCCACCATAAAATATTGGCGAAAAAAATAAGGAATAGCAAGTCAATGGCTCTCTACTTTGATGGCACTCTAACGAAATCGTCTACAATGTTGCCTTTCTCCAGTCTTCAAATGATCATTTAAAACAATCTATGATATTAGAAAGGACATTATAGTAAATAATTATCACATTTAATTTAAAAATTTTCATTTTAAATTTAAATTAAAAAAGCACTTTAGAGACTGAATTTGAAGCTATTGTCCAACAAAAATAAAAAACTTTCACTACCTCTAAATATTGTATAAATAGAACAAAATTGTATTCAATTTTAAATCTGATGAACCAAGATCCTCAATGTGGTAGGTGGCATACACCCCTAAAGTTGAGTCTCTAACTAAAACCATATAAAATAATCTGAATTGCCAGATAATTGCCAAAATGAAAGAGAACCAAAATAATAATCAAAACACCAAAAAATACAAATATTGAATATCAAACATTATATATCATAAAAAACACATACGGGAAGAAGGAACAATCAACAACAAACCCGGTATAACCTTCATATCCACTTCTTTATCCCACCAACAAAAAAGAATCCGTAACCCATAGAACAATTTATACTAATTTTAAACAAAACAACAACAAAAACAACCACCAAGTGAAATTAAAAATAAAACTGAATGAGATTTTTTTAAAATAAGAAATCAGATAAATAAAAATGAATAGGGGGAAAACTTTTGAATTCAAGAAAAAAATGGAGAAATAATGGTTAAATAAAACATTTGAATTCAAGAAAAAAACTTACCGTCGCTAAACTCAAAGGACATAGAGACCATCGAACGGATGAAACCCTAGATCCAGAAGAACCTTGCGGTGCACTCCGGTCGAAGAGGACAGCAGCCACCACGTCTATGTTGAAGCAGCGAAGATCTGAAAAGAATCAGGTGTACGCTTTGTAGAAAATTTTCGGAGCGTAGGGCGTAGGTTTTTTCCCGGAAGCGTACAACGTAAATTTGGAGCTTATTGCAGCGGACTCCAGAAGAACCTTGCGGCTGGCGTACGGCGTAAGCTTTGACACTCATTTTCCAGCCTCTCCATCATATGATAGGCCCATTAATTAGGTAGTGACCCGGCCCAATCTAATAAAAAGTTAAAAAAATCTTATAGGGTGCAACTCTATTTTAGCCATATAATCTTATGAAATACATAAATAATGAGTCTAGAATTTGTACTTTCAATGGATGATTACTTACCCGTGCAAAGCAAAAATAGGATATTCTCCATTTGCAACCTGCATTCATCAAAGTACAAAGATTACATAAAGCAATTTAGCATTGAGCCTGATGGGAAATAATACGTGGCTCGGCCCACATTTCCCAATTATTTTCGAAAAACAGTCAAACCGGACTTGTTTAATAAAATGGAGGAATAAGAGAATATTCCCCGAATATGCTTCCCCTCCTCCCCTATAAAAGGAGGACTCCCCCTCAATGTTAAGGGAGGCCAATTTCACTCCTCTCCTGCTACTTCTCTCTCTAGATATTTTTAGAGTATATTTTTCCTTCTTTAAGAGCTTCTAGCTCCACCATNTAAAGCAATTTAGCATTGAGCCTGATGGGAAATAATACGTGGCTCGGCCCACATTTCCCAATTATTTTCGAAAAACAGTCAAACCGGACTTGTTTAATAAAATGGAGGAATAAGAGAATATTCCCCGAATATGCTTCCCCTCCTCCCCTATAAAAGGAGGACTCCCCCTCAATGTTAAGGGAGGCCAATTTCACTCCTCTCCTGCTACTTCTCTCTCTAGATATTTTTAGAGTATATTTTTCCTTCTTTAAGAGCTTCTAGCTCCACCATTAATGGCTTTCGAGCCGAACTCTTGTACACACCCCCGATATTAATAAAAATCCTACCGCCAAAAAAGGCCCGTGGTTTTCTCCCGATTTGGGTTTCCACGTCAAAATCCCCGTGTTTATATTTTGGTGTATTTTTAAACTAGTTTATCGTTTTAGCCGGGCTAAAAACGGTATACCGGTCGATAATTTACACCATCATTTTGGCGCCACCCGTGGGACCGGAATATTACTCATGGATGACCACAAAATTTTACATCATTTGAAGGGGAAGCTTAGACGACTTGTCATCGTCATCCTCGACGGTGCTGGGAACATCCGTCGTCGCCACAGGTTGGGCCTGCCGACATCACCGACGATGCACGAAGCTGCTGCTGAAATCCCTAGGCCACCAGGACCGTAGACTGTCACCCTTGGATGACTGTTGGTGGCGGCCCAACTTCCAGCATGGACTAAAAAAAATTGCCCAAAAAAAAGGGACAAGAGAAGAAGAGAGACTGAAGTCTAAACAGCCCTTCATTCTGAATCTTCGTCACCCATGGCTCTTTGGGTTTGGAATCTTAGCAAAAAAAAGAGGGGGAAAGAAAGGAGCACCCCAAATTGCAGCCGTTGTCCACTGTCGCCTTCCCCTACCAGATCCACCATCGTTGCTGCTCAGACTCGCCCGTTGCTCAGACCTGCTGTCGCCGCTAGAAACAAGGGAAGGAAGAGGAAGAGAAGGAGGAAGACAGCCAACGATCAGCACTGCAACTCCTCGAGCGGCTGGGCTACGGTGACGGCAATATTCTGGGAAGGTTCCGGTCTCGGTACGTTAGAGACTCATTCCGGACAGACAAGGACACGTCGCAGAAACTTCAAGGAGCAAAAGACGGGCGACCACATCTTATGCCTCGAGGCAGACCAGTCCTCCTCCTCCGCCGGTAACGGCGTGGAGGAGACCATCTGCACCGGCACCGCCATGGTACAACAGAACATCTACGACTCCTCACGCACCGACATCTCTGACCCACTCGTCGGTTACTTCCTCACCGTCAACAAATATAGCCTCCCCATTTTCGGCCTAGTCAAGCTCGTCGCCAGCCACGGCTATCTTAAAAGGTCGCCTCATCCTCTCCAAAGTTCACCGCCGAAGACTTATGCTGCTGCCATAGGAATCCGTCACCACCACCACGGGGCCTGTCATCAACGCCGTAATCACAGCCCACACACTTACTGCCGCCGCTGCCCCTGTTAAACGGGGGGAGGATGATGCAGCTTGGTGCCAATTTCTCTCCCGCACGCATGAGTTCGTGGTTTTCACTATGGACCTCCATCACTCGACCTCGTTCCTAAATGAGGGAAGTGTACAGTCGCCAGTGGTGGAGCAATGAGCCAGTGACTGGATACCATTATACCATCATCATAGCCCCATCACCATACAAGCACGTATGGCCATATGGGAGTGCAGAAGTAGGAAGATCTGAAGAAGTCGCTGCTGCCACCAACGAGACTTGGCATCATCACTACTTTCACCGCAACCACCAAGCAACACTAAGGTCTCAAAGATTTGCATCGGGCTAAGGAGATTTGCTTGCAACCAACAAGTCACGTGTGAAGATATCATGGGCAGATGCATGTTTTTTCTAATTATTTGGAAGGTGCATTGGGATGGCATGGGCCCACTGACAACACAGAGATAATGGAGTGTCAAGTACTCTCGTATTTTTTAGTGGGGAGACATTTTCATGTGGGAATATCTTTGATAATGGAGAATTGACTCCACAAAGATATATGTTCCTCCATAATTGCAAGAATGGAAAAATTCCAAGAGGCAAAACTCCACCCCATGATCGGTGAGAAGGAATTAAGCAAATTCCCATAGTTATACTGGGTGCTACACCGGTCTTGCTCAATACTCTACAAAGAAAGGAAAGGAAGACTGAGACACAAGCCGAGCTTGGTACGCTGGTTACGACACTGGTCTTGCTCAGTATTAAAAAAAGGAAGACTGGGACACAGGCCCGGCCTGGCACGCTGGTTACTACACCGGTCTTGCTCAGTATAATAAAAATATTAAAATATGTGACACAGGCCCGGCCTGGCACGCTGGTAAATATCATTCTTGTGCGCGAGACAGGCCAAGAATGATATACACACCGGTCTTGCACATATTTTCTCGTAAGTCTGACCCCAATCGAATTGGGTACACCGGTGGCTCAGCTGAGCCCTTATCGGGGAGGCCCGATTCTTCAGGCCCTTTGAACAATGCACTCCGGAAGTGGTCTCTACATGACATGAAGATATTTGCACCAGTTAGTCGGGCTAGCATCGATCTTCGACAAAGTTGCTGCAACATACTTAATTCGTATTAAGTAACATCGATTACTTCGATATACTAATTTCGCTATGTATTATTTACTTAATCCGTACTAACATCGGTCTCGACGAAATAACTACTTGAAGCACCGCCGCTTCATCGTACTAACTCTGGTGTCGTATAACTACTCGAAGCATCGTTGCTTTATCGAACTGACATCGCTCATGTTACGATAATTATTCACGTGAATTTTAACCACCCTAACACCGAGCTCCTCGGTAAAGATAATAATTTTTTGAGCACGGCATAGGCCGGTCAAAAAAAATAGTTGTACATATTATTTTTTGCAGGAAAAACTTCTGATTGAAGAAATAAAAGAATTAATGAAGACTCGGAGGACTAGCAATAATATCAACTGGCCAAGAATCCAAAGTACGAAGACTGAAGATATCACTCGGAGGACTTGTTTACTTTTTTAAGTTGATGATTCTCACAACTTAAAAAAGTGGAGGACTTCTTGATGGGAAATAATACGTGGCTCGGCCCACATTTCCCAATTATTTTCGAAAAACAGTCAAACCGGACTTGTTTAATAAAATGGAGGAATAAGAGAATATTCCCCGAATATGCTTCCCCTCCTCCCCTATAAAAGGAGGACTCCCCCTCAATGTTAAGGGAGGCCAATTTCACTCCTCTCCTGCTACTTCTCTCTCTAGATATTTTTAGAGTATATTTTTCCTTCTTCAAGAGCTTCTAGCTCCACCATTAATGGCTTTCGAGCCGAACTCTTGTACCGTGTACACACCCCCGATATTAATAAAAATCCCTCGTTGGCAAGGTACCGCCAAAAAAGGCCCGTGGTTTTCTCCCGATTTGGGTTTCCATGTCAAAATCCCCGTGTTTATATTTTGGTGTATTTTTAGACTAGTTTATCGTTTTAGCCAGGCTAAAAACGATATACCGGTCGATAATTTACACCATCAGAGCCAAAGAATAGCACGCTGCAAGTTGAGACTTGAGGCCCTTTAGGAATCTAGAAGACATTCACAACACATTTAAAGCGGATTACCAAGAGAAATATTACTTATTTTTTTACACATAAACGCACTGATAAATATCCAATTCTTATGAAAAGAAAACAAAAAAAAGAAAAAAATATCATGAATAACTAAGCCCAAGTAAGATAACAGAATAATCAAAAAGTGAGAAGAAAGCTTCTGAGATCTTACCAGCAATATGAAGTCCCAAATTGTGTTGATACTTTTTTTATTCAAGTGAAAACGTGAATAGACACACAAAGCTTTAATGATCGCAGGATTGAAAACCAAGTTTTCATTGTGATAATTTGCTCCATATATGCTTAAGTACACCATTATCATCGAAAGCCTAATATATACTCACTACCATGCCCAATTTGTTATTTAGAAAATAATTTATTTTCAAAAAAGAAATAATTAAAAAATCACCAAAAATACACCGTTCTGACATTTGATCGACCACCTCTTGTGTTAGTATGTATGTGGTTAACTTTCACAACCCAATCCTCCCAAAATCTTTAATTTTCTTTTATTTCTTAATTTAAGACTAATTGGTTAAAGATTTATATATGAACTTGTAGAATCTAATTTCAATAATTGCGTAATGTAGAAACTGATTGTTTAGTAAAAAAACTTACTCAAATCATATTTATTTATTTCATTTAAAATTAGTACATGTTTTGGTAATTCATACAAATAAGCACATTCACACACTATATATGAAACTGTGCGTTTCACTCAACTAAAACTCCACCAAAAAGGCTTGTCACTATTCTCAAGTTCCACTCAGCAATATTAGGTGAGAATAAGTTTGGGTTTAACTAATGTGAAGGTAAAATAGACAGGAAAATTTAGGTTTTTATTCTTAAAAATAAATTACAGTTTAATAGATAATAGTGATAAAGATGTAGCACCGTCGGATTACAAAGTCGGTGGCTAGGATTCGGAAGCCTAGCCCTCATGTCAATAATGGCTCATGTTCGGGCTTCGTCACTCAGATGTAACTTAGTTTTTCAAATCTTATTGAAATGCAGTACATCAAGAAGACACAAATTGTAGCCACGGTACACCAAGAAGACACAAATCCAAAATAAATTGAATACAATGAACACGTATCCAGCAAGTAATGTCTTATTTCAAGTTAAAAACTTAAGTTCCTAAACAAAAAAACAAATCTAGGGCTCGGTAATAGTTACAATTTATGGTCCAGCTTGGATCAAAATCTTCATTCAAAAAAATGCACAAACTATAGAAAACATTACTTCACAAAGAATGATATTTTTTATCCCTAGAAAATTAATCCTGTAAGAAGAAGAAGTCAACGCTGGACAAAGTAAGATAAAATTAAATAAAAAATACCTTGACTTTTCTTCTCTACGCTAGGTGCTTCTGAGTAGCTGGTCACAAGCATGTAACTTATAGTGTACAAAGATTTGTTTAGAGCGATACCTGTAGTAAGCAGAGCAATTTTTTAAAAAAAATGCAGCATCCCTTTCCATATTTGTGTTAATCCCAAATATGCTATAGAGAGATGTACCCAGCAAAGCTAAGAACAATCCAAGACACAAAAGTGGAAATGAAAGAATACACCAATTGTACAACCTTTCTTTATGTTCTTGCAAAAAATTACTACGTCATCCAGAAAGATATCTGTGACGGCTTCCCTCTTTCTTGCGGCGGCGGCTCAGCTTTAGTCGCCGACTTTACCCGCGATAGTGGAATCAAGATTTTACTCGCAGTGCTTTAGTCGCCTGTTTACAGACCACTTCAAGGCACACACCTGAAATTCTTAGTTATAAGAAGGTGAGGTTCAAACTATGCGAAGGATTAAAACTTATCTATGGTTTTGAGAAGCCCAGATTTGACAAAATAAAACAAAAAATTTTATACTGACCATCTCCAGGATATAAATCCGCCTGCATCTCCGAAAGACAATATTAACTGGGAAGCTGATCTGAAGTTATTGCGGATGGAATTGCATGATGTTCTAGCTGCCATATTGCTGACATAAAAAAACATTCTAGCTGCCATAGATGATATTGGTTTCTAGCAATTTTCAAACATCTCGTAAACAAAAAAAATCCCAACATAATTATGATGAATGATAAATAGATGGATCTTTGAGTGAAATCAGAGAAAATAATCTCAAAAGAAATGGAAGTATAGGAAAAATTCACATTTTTATTTAATGTAAAAAGAATAAAAACTCACGCTTCTCCCACTCCTAGAAGCTTCGTTGAGGAATTTCATCAAACACATAGCATGCAATCTAGATGCCAAAATCAATTTCTTTTTTTCAACTACAAAATTAGATAGCCCATTAATAATTATAAGTAGAGAATCAAAGATGAGAAGAAAAAGAGAATGAAGTAGAAGACCTGTAACTGGTGGTCTTGCTTCCGTCTTTCTCGTCAGAATCTATCGCCAGCATACCTAGCCACAACGTTGAGTTCTTCCTCCACTGAGTTCGGACAGCCGTTAACATACCTTCACTATCCCCGGCGGAGATCTCGATATTTTTTCTCCACTGATACTGAACAAATATGAAGATTGTGAAGCAGGTGTGATAGACGGAAGAATGAGGCGCTGATGGAGATCCCGATAGGTGAAGCTTCCCTAATACGCTGGCCGAAGAAGCGTACCTGATACGTTGGACTAATGGGCTTCATAACCACAATTTATAGCCCATTAAACAGTGACCCGACCCAAAAATTTGGGCCGGAGTACTGTTCATTTTCGGCTCTCATCATTGTATATATAGAGAAGAGATAGAGATAGAGATAGATAGACCTATCAAAATATGACCCGACCCGTTTTTTACCCGAAACCTGACCTAAAATTAGCGGGTTTTAAACATGAATTTTGTGACCCGAACCCGAGGACCCGTTAAAATTTCGGGTCGGGTCGAGTCGGGTCGGGTCTGACCCAACGGGTTAAGCACTCCAAACTTAAGAATTAAGATTTTATATTTTTATTTATTCAAATAGTTGCATCTGCCGATTCTTCCTCTCGGTTATACGGTTATACCACAATCCACATACAGCCTGGAATACTAATCCGCTCTTCAACCTAATTGTTCCCTCTCCATCGGCGGACCTTCCTCTCGCAATTGCTCTGCCAATCGTTGCAGTCTTCTCTCTTCCGTCAATCATCCTCCGACCTCCGGTGGCCTCGGCTCAATGGTGAGAAGAAACAAGCAGAGTAGTGGAATTCCTAACCCTAATTCAGCATCTTCAGTTGGGTCTATAGGTAACTCATGTTAACTCTCTTTTAAAATATAAAATGATTGTTTTCTATTTATGAAGTATGTTTTAATCTGTATTTTTTGCTATTTACGGAGTATTATGTTTCGATTTTGGAATCAGAATAAACCTGATATGAATTTAGTAAACTGCCACACTGCCAGCTTGTTCCTATTCGCTTTTACCTCCTTTGAGTATGCATATTCTTATAATAAATTGAAACAATTTCAACAATTAGAAACCTCTCCATCAGAGAAGTTAAATTTTAGCCGCATGGTTATTTTTAAAGCTGGCATATGAAAGGGTTATTTTGAGAAATACTCAAAACCTGACTGCCTAGAATATTTACTCACAGAAGCTTTCAACAATTTGCTGATTTGGAAATTTTTGCTATAAACTTGTCTATTTGCTATAAAGATGGTCCTATTTGCTATAAAATTGTCTATTTGCAGATTTGGAATCCCCCCCAAAGCAAGCAGTATATATATATATATATATATATATATATATATATATATATATATATATATATATATATATATATATATTATATTCTTGGTGTTCACATCAACAACACTATCCAAGTTTTGACTTTTGACCAATTGAATACATGTCCTCCATTTTCTTGTGAGAGGATTTGATCCCCAAAATTTAAAGTCTATAGATATTGATTAAAATATAGCACTCTTTTATTTTTTGTGTTAACTACATTCTAAATTTTAGGAGTTTCATTTTTTATTTTATCATACAGGAACTACCACTAGAAATGAAGAGTCATCTCAAAGTCGGAAAAGAAAATGGGCTTCACCAATTTGGGACGAGTATGATGTGTTTGATGGAGATCAATTTCCAGATGGTCAAGATAGAGCTCTTTGTAAGTACTGTAAGGGAGGACCAACTTTTGCGAATTCTAAGAATGGTACAACTAATTTTAAACGCCATACTGAAAATTGTCATGCCCGTGTTGCTAATGATGTTGGTCAATTACTATTAAACAAAAACGCTAACTTGGCTAAAAAATTAGACCAAGGCACATACAGAGAGTTGGTTGCACTAAGTATTATAAGACATGGTTATAGCTTTAGTTTTGCAGAACATCAAGGGAATAGGGCTATACATGTGTATGTGAATGAAGAGTGCAAACCTATCTGTAGAAATACAGCTAAGAATTATTGTCTGAAGATTCATGAAAGAGAAAGATTGAAGCTTAAAAAAGTCTTGAGTGAAATTGATGGTAAAATATGCTTCACTTCAGATATGTGGTCATCAATAGTTGGACAAGGTTATCTTAGCTTGACTGCTCACTTTATTGATGAAAATTGGAATTTGCAAAACAAGATTCTTAGCTTTTGTCATGTGCCACCTCCACACAATGCTGATGCCATTCATGAAAAGATTTTAAGTCTTCTTAAGACTTGGGGAATTCATAAGAAAGTCTTTTCCATGACGCTAGATAATGCGAAGTACAATGACAACATGCATGGTCTTTTATCAGATAGTCTCTCTATTTATTCTCGTTTGCATGCTAATGGTGACTATTTTCATGTTCGTTGTGCTGCTCATATAATGAATTTGATTGTTAAAGAGGGTCTTACTGTGATTGATACTTCCATGCGTACACTTAGAGACTGTATAAAATATGTCACTGCTTCTGAGGGTCGAGAGTTGAAATTTGAGGATTGTGCTAATAGTCTTGGCATGGATACTTCAAGAAGTTTGTGGTTAGATTGTCCTACTAGGTGGAATTCAATTTTTAAGATGCTTGATAGAGCACTCCCATATCGTTATGTTTTTTCTGGTGTGAAAAGGATGGATCGTGATGCCCCACCAGTTCCAAGCGATAAAGAATGGGTAAGAATTGAAAGGATCCATGAACTTTTGAAGCCATTTGATGAAATTACTACACAATTTTCTGGGCGACACTATCCTATAGCAAATATGTATTTATTAAATGTGTGGAGAATCCGATGTTTCTTAAAGAGACATTCTGATGATATAATAGAGGCAGATATGTGCATAAGAGAGATGGCAAAGAGGATAAAAGTGAAGTTCGACAAGTATTGGGAATCTTATAGCATGATACTTTCATTTGCAGCAATTTTGGATCCTCGATATAAACTTCAATTTGTGAGATTTTGTTTTACAACCCTAGATCCTACAACTGCAGAAGCGAAGGTAGAAAATGTGAAGGACGAACTTTTTAAATTATTTGGTGAGTATTCAACAGTTGATCCTACTACCGATGTGAATTCAAATGTAAGGAATACATCAGCAGACCTAGAGGTATGTTTATAATTTCATTTTACATTTGTTTATAATGTTTAATATATATAATGTTTCAGTTTTTTCTATTCATTTCTCTTTTGAAATTTGTATGTAGGCTTTTTTAGCATTTGATGGAGTGACAACTTCTAGGTTTAAATCCCAATTGGATGTATATTTGGAAGAACTCAAGGTGGATCCTAATGAAAATTTAGATGTTCTTGAATGGTGGAAGGACAATGCTAAAAGATTTCCTGATGTTGCAAAAATGGCAAAAGATATATTAAGCATACCAATCACCACAGTTGCATCTGAATCTGCTTTCAGTTTAGGTGGTAGAATTTTAACAAAGTGGAGAGCATCACTTAAGCCAGAGAATGCAGAAGCTTTGATTACCACTCGTAGTTGGATATTTGGTTATGATGTTGATGAAGGTAATTTAATATATAAGCTTAAATTTATTTTTCACTTACAAATTAATTATTCGTATATGTGTTATTGTATTAATATGTAGATGAACGTGACAAACTTGAAGAAGGCATTGAGTTGGATTTCAGGCGTTCTACTCGCGATAAGCATCAAATTGATATGGGGAATGACTTCACTTGAGAATGAACTTCTAATCATTTTGTTTAAACTCTAAATTATTTGGTATTTTGATTAGTGTGCTTGGATGGTTCATTTGGGACATGATGATGTTTAGAACTTTTTGCTATGTTTACTTTTTGTTGTTTTGAATGATTTTTTTTCTATTTTGAACAATGCATTGATCACTTCATCTCTAAATGGAAAATTTACAATTTTTAAATACGTTCCTTAACCCGTTGGGTCAACCCGAACCCGATAGGTCTGGGTCATGAACAAGCATCCTTAGACCCGAACCCGAAGTGACCCGAACCCGAAGTAACCCGAACCTGATATGACCAAACCCGAACCCGACTTGACCGACCGTTTTGCCAGGTCTAGAGATAGAGATAGAGATTCTCTCTACTATTCATATACTTCGTATTTTGGAAGAGAGGGTGTTGATTGATCTTCTGGTTCTTCTATGTTAGAAGGCCTTGCTAACGCGCAAATTATATTGTACAGTTAGCGGTACCTATTTCCGGGTAGAACCGGTTGTGATTCGAAGGAGTCGAAGATCGCATGGAGCAGATGGACCAGCGAAGACGATGGAACAACGAAGATCGCGAGGAGCGATGGTGGCGAAAACCATAGGTTGTGAAAACGATGGAGAAGCGAAGATCTACACGAGGAGCGAAGGTGATGGTGGCGAAAATGGCGGCGATATAGATCAGGAAGTCCCTATGTCAAAACCCTTGGTCCGACTATGAAGATTTCAGCGCAGAAGAAGGGTTGTAGATCTAAGAGAAGTGAAATGAAATAAACACTCCTTATTTGAGAATGAGCACGATCTTGTTTAAAAATGATCACTACTTATTCGTACATGAACATTATAATTATATCAAATAAATGCGTAAAAATAAGCACTACGTTATTTCAGAATGAGCATCACGCTATATCAAAACGAACACTTACGTTTGTGCGAGAATAAGGACTACTTTATTTCAAAATGAGTACTACTCGGTTGTACCTTATTTCTGGTATAGCCTGTTAGTTCCATATTGTGTTGGCATTATTTTTTGACAAACGAATAAATTTACCTAGAATTATTTTAGATATTTTATTTAGATTTAGAGTTCTAACATGTGAAGAAAGAGAAAGAGGAAAGAACTTGAAGAAAGAAGTCTAATCCTACTTGGTTTACTATTCTTGAGGAGGAAGGCATGGGTGAGACTCCTAAGCACACTCTAACAAGGTTAATATGCTCTATATATTATCTTCACCCTCTCTTAGGTTGTTGGACATGCAAAACTACAAAAAACCTGAAGCAAATCTAATCAAAAGAAAAAATAAGGTGCAGATTTTGAGATTGTAAATTTTCTGGACAGCCCGCACAGATTTGATCATTGTCGGAGATCCGACCGTTGGATTTTGCTGAAATTTTCAGAGAGTGTTCCCAACACATAGGGCTTCAACGTGTTCAAATTTCACGTCAATCAAAGTTACGGATCTTCTTTTATCGAAGTTACAATCTACACATTGTTGCTGATTTTTTGCATAGAACGCAGCTCTGGTTTTGTCAATGATCAAAGCACCAAATCGTGTTTGATCGTGCTGAAATTTTAGGAGAAGTCTAAGGACTCGTGGAGCTTCAATCGGAACGGTGGAGATTGAATTTCAACGGTTCAATCTCGATTTATGAGCTTCAGAACAGCCTGCATATTTTTGTAGATCAAGGAGAATCTTTATTTGAAGGTGTATTGGAATCTACGTCCTTGAAGAAGATCTTTGAGAAGGTGTAACAAGCTGTGGAGATAGACGCAAACCGAGTTTGTCGTCAAGTCATTCGTAAGTAGACAAATCAATACATTAGAAGGTTCTGTTGTGATTGATTGTGTAATTCTTACGGTGATTTAGTGGAAAGGCTATTACACGGACGTGGCCCTGTGTGAACAATTCTGGTGTCTTGCTTGCTGTTTTTTACTTTATATTCTATGTGTGTGCTTGTGACAGAGAAGGTGTTATAGCACTCTGTCAGTCATCTGTTACTGTGACAGTGCTGCAGCATCTTCTCTACAACATAGTTGATTGTTTTGTTTGCATACCTTGTGTTTGGTGTTATCCGCTGCACCCCACGAACTTTCATAGCCAAGTATACCATATACCTTCTGTTGCTAACGACACTACATTTCTCAAAACTGCCAAATCTTTTAACAAAAACCTTTCTAATACCAATTATTGAGCAATACTCTCGAACTCCGGGTTCGGTGGTGGTGGTGGGGGTAGAGTTAAATAAAATGAGTTTTTTTATTACTCCCTCCGTCCCTAAATAGATTGCAATTTTTTTCTCTCTTCTCTCGATAACTTTTGTTTGTTTACGCGATTTCATTAAGTATTTGATAAAACTAGATTTTAACTCGTGCGATGCACGGTAAAAACATTATAATATTAAATTATATACAACATTAACGGTGTTATATGAGACATTTTTTCTTCTTTGCTATTTAAAATTATTAACCTTTATCGATTTGTCAAAATAACCACATATTGCATAAATAAGTTTTTACATTATATGTGTGTTGCACGGTACATAATTTTGTTCACATTAAAATGTGAAAAATGATAATGTTGGTTGATGAATCTTTGTATCAAAGGATATATACATGTGTACAAATATAACATTATGTATAAATAGAAGTTTTATGGTATTTTATCACAAATTGTAGGCAAATTCTTTTGTGGTGTACAAATAAATAAAATAAAATATATGCCATCTTTCTCAAATTAAAATATTTCATTTATTCAATTTTCAAAAAAATTTTTTTTTTTAGAAAATGTTACAAAAAAATGAAAAATGAAAAAATGAAATAAAATACACTTTTTCATTATAAGTGAAAGTAAAATAAATAAAATAAAAAAATTAGATAACATATACTCACTCTATCTCTAATTAAAAATTCTTATTTATTTGTTTTTTAATAGTAACATAATTTTTTAAGTAAAAAATGAATAACAGAAAGATGAAATAAAATATGAAGTTAAAGAAAAAGACTGTTATATTTTTATTTCTTTTCTTTACCTTTTGAATTATTATTTTACTTTGTACATAATATTTAATTTTTCATTTCTTTTGTAACATTCTCCAAAAAATCTTTTGTTTTCAAAAGTAAATTATGAAAAATTCTAATTTGAGATGGGAAAGCGTATATTTTATTTTATATATTTATATAATAAAGGAAAATAAACTTGGAAAAATTCAAGATCGGGGAAAAGAAAAGGTATAAATGTCATTTTTGCTTTAAAAATAGGTAAGGGGGCATGTGTATTCTATTTAGAAACCATATGAACTTTACAAATAACTTTTGAAAACAAAGAAAATTTTGATGCCCTTTTGTAAACCAGAGGAGCATCCATGCTATTAGCCTTCTAAACATAATTGAAAAAAATATGATTTATTAAAAATGAATCTTAAAAACTTAAATACCTAAATTGGGTCAGCGGTGAGTTCATTTTTTGTTTGCCTCAGGAGCAATATCCGTAAGAAGTAAGAATTACGAAGCTTGATGAAGTTGATAATATGAAATGAAGCTTTATTGAAATGGTGTCAATTTTCTGCGTTTCTACCCTCTCTACCATTTGTCCCACTCGATTTAACACATAAAGTACTCCCTCCTTCACAAAGGGGAAACTACAAATTTTCCCACAACCTCGTAAGATTTCGGTTTACACATTATCATTGGCCAACTACCAAGTCTTTCACCATATGTACCCCAAATTATTTGCGAACCAAACACCTAACCACTCAAATAATATATTCAATCTGATAAACTACAAATTAAAATCATTTCCTTTTACTAAACTCAACTTTACCAAATGCTTTTACCATTAAAAAATTCAACCAACTACATTCAGAGGGATAACCTTTCATTAGAAGGATGAATAGATACATCAAAAGGTTCTAAAAAGTGCACAATGAGATAAACATTATAATGAAGCAAATGATAAAGACACTGCCAGAGCTGCAAATCCTAGAGGTATTCACTTATTCCTTTCTCTTTCAACCTACCATTTATGTCCTTGATACAAATTTGTCACAGAAAAAATAATAATTACTATAGCAAAACATGAAGGAGCAATGCAACTTTGAATAATAAAATGAACTAAGTAAAATATCGAATGTTTACTCAAAAATGTCAATCCATTAGAATTAAGTAAACATAACTTCCTCCTAGTCGCAAAGCAAGTCTTGTAGTACTCCAAACTTGGTTTGATTGTGGAGTCTCCTTCATATCACCGGATAAGGAAAGCCCAACTATATACTCATAACCTCTGCTTTTGAGTAATGCCAATCAGTTGATCTTCTAAGTTAGCTCTAGCCATAAGCCTACATAGGAATAAAACAATAAATGAATTAGCTATTTCATGTCACAGAACAGACACATGTGGTAATGAAATTCCAAAAGGTAAATAAATGTTTAACCTAATCACCTGGATAGACACCGACGAAGGCACAATGTCAAATTTATGCTCCTCCGCCTAGGACCTATGTGCCTCGAGACTTTTAGGCTTCCGACATTGAGGACTCCAAAGCCCTCTTCACTTTTCCAGATACAATCAGCCACCATTTATATTTTCATCTTTCTTTAATCCCAATCTTTCATTTTCAAATTTAATAGTAATGGACAGGGATTAGGAAGAAGGTATAGATAATGGTTTTGTGAGTGTAATTAAATAGACGTAAATAATGTCTTTTACATAACATGAAAAAGTAGAGCATCAAGAACTTATCCTAAACGAAACATGACATACATGCTGCTCTGTTGCAATATTGTTGAAGTCTAATTAACAAAAGACTTATAATCCTCACATAAAAATTTAAATTTAGAGCCTAATAAGTCAATATACTGGCCTGGGCAGGTTTACAAATGAAATATTTACTTAAATACCTAAATTGCTAAGAACTATGCTCTTAATACCTGTGCACTAAGAGTATCCATCTTCATCAATCAATATCTCTCAATTATAGCCTACATTTAGTTTGCTACTATATTCTAAAAAGTTCAGCTTTGTTGAAATATATAATCTTTAATACACAGGTATTTATTTAAATTTTATCATGACTTGGATAAAAAGTCATTATTATCAAGCTCTTAGAAGTGCTCATTCATATATTAAAGTTTTATATTACAACGACTGAGGCAATTTCCTAGAAAGTCCTCTACTTCAAAAGATGGAAGAGTTTTTGCACGAAATTGTCCAAATTACTCAAAATGTAAAAATATTTTATTACATGTGTTCTGCTTTAGTTTTTTTGGTGCATCGTGGTTGTGTTGCTCATTTTTATCATAAAAAATTGAAATCTAAATAAAAGGGAGGTGAAGTTTGGAGGTGGTTTCTTGATGAAAAAAACTGAGATGACCTCATACCTGATCTTGATCTTCAAACTATTTCCTTTCACTTGCAAAAGCTCAAGTTGAAAATTTACTGATTTCCTGCATATGAAGTTTGGAGGTGGTTTTCAGATGCTTCAAAATAGAAATAGTGAAAAAAAGTTAGAAATGTAAAACTAAATAAAATATAAAAAATGGAGGAAGAGTAAGACCTGTAAGTTGCTCTTATTGATTCAATCATTGCTTCTACTTCAAATGAACACTTTCTGGACATGACTCCATTGCGAGCATCATCAAGTGCCCCATTCACCGTCATTGTTCCCTTCCACATAAGGAAAAAAATTGATGCAAAAAATTTAAAGTAGAATCTAAAAATTATTGGGACTTCATCTATTTTATCACAATTTGCAAGTAAATTATAGAAACGGGATCTCTAATCTGTTGATGAAAATTGGGGAGGAAGCCATCTATTTTGGAACCTGGCTATCTTGAAGTCGCAAACTGAGAAAGTCGAGATGCAAAGACCAAGGAAGAAGAAGAAAAATAGACCTTTTCTAGGGCAGTCAAATGTGGAAGAGAGATTGCAGGTCGTCGCTGGTCTTTCTAGTCGTCGGTTATGTTAGGATAAAAACCCTAGCCCGTTGTTGTCACCATCCTCGGCAACGTTACTCCCTCTCTCTGAGTTGACTCCTTTTCGGCGCTAGGAATTTGCCTAGGCTCAGCGAGCACACTGATGAGGAAGAAAAAATCTCTCTGAAATTTAACGGAAGAAAGAACGCACTATGAGCGAGCGTGAGATCGTGAGAGGTTGATCTAAATGTTTAATGGTGTAACTGTTCCCGCACAATTTTTCCTGCTGCTCTTGTAAATAGTAGGATAAAATGATTTCAAAAACTAGAAAATTTTACTTCGTAACACGGAATTTATAATCAAATTGGGGACGGAGAGAGTATTTTTTTTTCAAAATTTTACTCACAAATCGTGTATGAAACATTCAACGCATTAACACAAAAAATATAGTGAAAATTAATAAAGAATACATGCGATCTAAACTAGTTTGGAAATTGCGACACTAATTATTTTTTTCAATAATCAATAATCTAGTAATAATCATTTTTACCAAAATAATATTACGAGTTCAAAAGTTGTGAAATTGAACAATCACTACAAGAAATTGCATGGTTTGCGACGGTAATGAAACGTTTGCGACCGAAATGTAATGTGGTCGTGTAAATTATGGCGGGAATGACTCGTGAACATTTATGCGATGGATAAATCCGTTGCAAAGTCCTTTAGTGACGTTTTTTTTATTTTAGCCGTCTGCGACGGAAGATTCCATCACAAACAGTCTGCCGCAAAATACTAAAAAACGGTCAAATACTTATCTAGGGGTGTAAACGGATATTAATCGGATCGGATGTGCCATTACCAAATCTGTGTCCGTTTATTTTTGTTGGATATCGATTTCGGATACAGATCTTGATGGATACTGAAAATCAAAACCGTATCCGCATCCGTCGAATAGCGGTCGGATATCGAATATATCCGTATCCATTTCCAAATTTTAAAACCAAATTAAACAATACTTTAATATTTCAATTAAACTAAATCAAATTATTATTAAATCAACTATAAGTTTTTATTGAATAATTATTTTCTTATTTTTTATACTTTATGATATTTCTACAATGACTTCATATGATAAAAAGATATACACAGTACATATATACATATACGTTTATATGTCTACACATATTTTTATGTGTCTACATATATATTTTGCATATAAAATGTCTTATACTTTTAGATATAAATAGAGCAACAAAATATAAAAATAAAAAATTAGGAAACACTATATATAATGGATCAAATACACGAATAAATAGTTATTTAAACGGATGTCAATGCAGAGCGGAATATAAACAGATCGGATGTATGATTATCAAATCCGTATCAATTTAGCAATCAGACATTATTAATCGGATATAAATAATAACCGCTTTTAAATACGGATATTTTCAATATAAACGAATAAGAATTCGGACAATAATCAAATTTTCTGTTGTCATTTACGGCTCTATACTTATCCAAACATAACGGGGATTGATATATGCACTCCAAGGATTACTACTGGCGCTCCACTTTTTTCTAGATGTTTTTTTCAATGGCAATATTGCCCTTCTGTTTATAAAACTTTCCACATACTCGTTATTCCGCTACATTCTTAATTAATATGGATTATACCCCACTCCCACTACATTCTTTCTAACAATTACCAATAAATAAAAATTCTTCTTCAATTTTTAGTGTCAAATTTTTATTTGGAAACTTAAATTTGGATTTCAAATATGAATTTGATCAAAATTACTTGTCTGGAAATTCAAAAATTCAGATTTGAACCAAATTATTCTAAATTAAAATAAATTTAACTACAAATCCATACCTCTTCCCATATGTACAAATTTAAGCCTTTTTTATTTAATTAAAACATGTAATTAAAGAGTGAATTCTTCTTATGCAATAACATTTCCATACTGTTAGAATATAAATAACTGTTCCTGGGCCACAACCATAAGCTTGAGCTTTTGGTTGAGTTGGTTCCTTGACATGGTATCGGAGCCTCGTTGACTAAGAGGTTACGAGTCCGAAACTCAGCGCCACCCAGTTTAAAAAAATTAAAGTTTCACATGCAAGGCTCGAAAAAGACTACGCCTTCACGTGAGGGGGCGTGTTAGAATATAAATAACTGTTCCTGGGCCACAACCATAAACTTGAGCTTTTGGTTGAGTTGGTTCCTTGACACATACATATCATGATATCAATATGTTTAATTATATCATTATCTTTGCTGACAGTATCATACATATCAACCTATTTATATACATTTCAACCCGCTTCTATCATTGTCTTTAGTGAATTGAAGTCTAAGATTTAAAATGAATTTTAGTTCCCAAATAATACCTTAAAGAAATTAAATAAGTGTTAGTTTTTAATCCCTTAGAAGTTTTAGTGTTACCTTAAAACTTTCCTTTTTAAACATAACTAAATTTTATAAAATCCTTTCAGCAGGTATAAAACTAATTATGAACTCCATATATTAAAAATTTACGGAGTATATACTTTAAATTGGTGAAATGCATATTAGTATAATATTTTGAAAATAGAGTGTTTCTACAATCTTCACTTTATTTAGTTCATTTAGAATATAAATTTTAATCTGTATTTCAAAAAAGATAAATTATTTTAGAGTGAAAATTATTTATACTATATATAACATATATTATATCATTATTATAATTTTAAAAGTAATTAAATTATATATAGAATATCAAAATATTAGAATGTATACGAGTATATGCGAAACAAAGAGTTAACATAAATAGTTTTTCCCTCTGTCCTAATCAGATTATCATCACAATTATTATCAAAGTCTTTTGATAAATTTTGTATGTTTGCACATTTTTATTGATCAATTGCCAAAATGAAATATAGTTGTCACCACTTGTTTAATACTCTAGAGTAGAAGCTTTGATATTTTTTTGAGTATGTAATATATGCTTTTAATTTGTTTATCAATTTGTAAACAAAACGATTTTAAAAAGTATGAGATTTTATATGTTATTTGAAGTTAGACGACAACTTTAAAACAGAAGGAATATTGTTTTAAGTTAATTTGAAGTTGTTAAAATATGATGAAAACATTTTATTGATAAAAGTAGGAGAGAAGAGATTGTGTGGGAGGGATATAACTGATAATGTAGCAGCCAAACAGCCCACCGTATATAGCCAATTGCAAATATAGCAGATGAGATTTTTTACCAAAAGGGCAATATTGTCATTTAAGAACAAAGTGGAGCGCCGTTAGCCATAGTTGGAGGGGGCGTATATCAATTGCCAAACATAACCCACTCATTCATCACTGTCACCACACACGCGTCTATGGGATCGGAAGAAACCGGTAAAGCAGCACACCGGAAACCACTGACAAGACCGCGCCGCCGCTCGTCGTTCGTCCGCCTCGATCCATCTGTTGATTCCTCTTCCTCAAGGTACAATTCACACCTAAAAGTTTAATTTTTCTAAGTAATCACATTAGATTTTAATCTTAATTTTAAGTCTTAATAGTTTAGTTTGATGCTTATAGTATTCATTAATTTGATATGTTTGTTGAGTTAGAATGTTGGTTATAGATTTTAATTAGGTAAAGTTCCATTTATTTTTATTGTATGCTAGGTAGTTGATAAAATGTCTAGAGGAATACAGTCAATATTTTTATTAGTTATGTATGATTTTTAAATATTATAGTACTATATTATTTTGTTAATTTCAAAATATTATTTTCTTATATATATAAAGTGGTATTTTAGTTTCGATTTGAAATGCATGTGGTTGATTAATTTGCTTAAATCATGGTTGTCATTTATGTTTTTTTATGTACTATTCCTTAATAACATTGGTTATCTGTTATCATGTTGTATAATTTTAGTTCAAATAAAGGATGAGTAATTTCTTTGAGCATTGCGAGTGGATGCATAAGAAGTATGACGAGAATGTACTTGTTTATAGGGATTGTATTCTTAACATTGAGAAATTTATAGAGTATTGTAAGTTAAACCCAAATGTGAGAGGTATTTCAGGTGGTGTTTTGTCGATCAGAGGAGTATCGGGCACCGAATTTGGTTGGTGGTCCTTCAGATGAGGGTCCATATGATGTGTATGTTAACAAGGAGTATTTATAATGTCTGCTATATTCGTATGTATGTATACATGTAATATGTATGAATCTATTTGACTATTGAATCACAGGATTGTGTTGACGGAGAGAGCGTCTCGTGTTATCAATAACTCTTTTCACGTGTAGTTTGATCCGCAAGGGAGTTGCTGGGAAGATCTAACTCCAGAGACGTTGAGTTTCTACTAGGAGGAGTTTATGGTATGTCAATGTTTAAAAATGAAGTATAGCTATATATATACATATATATGAGGTGTTTTATATGCACTCGTGATGTTTATATATGAGTATGCTTATAGTATTCATTAATTTGATATATTTGTTGAGTTAGAATGTTGGTTATAGATTTTAATTAGGTATAATTCCGTCGCCATTTCAGCAGTTTTTTGTAGTGGTACCCAAACATTGATCTTTAAGGTACGAAGGAGAATTTAGCGATGGAGGAATAGAAAAAAAAGGATAATCTTGAGACGCTACCACCGGCTATGACATGGAGATGAAGAGCAACATAAACGAAGCCAAAGCTCAAAAAATCTAGTATCCAAGGTTGTTTTCAAGGGTACAGTCTTCAAGTCCATAATTGTTTTTCAATTTCCTCTTTGTTTATGTGAAGATTTTGCTTTTATTGTTCAATTTGAGTATTAAGATGATTGCTTAAGGTCTTGAACAGACATGAAATTATCTTTAATCCTGTTGTTTAATTTATGATTTTCCTTTTACTGTGAGATATATGCAGTGTGCCATTGTGCTTGGCATGCCAGGTTTGGCCAGCGGCTCCCTAGGGAAGTTTTGGGGGTAAATTTCAGTAATGGTACCTGAACTTTCACTGGAATTTCGAAGTGGTACCTGAACTTTAAATCCTTTCACAAAAATACCTGAACTTACATAATCCTTTCACTAAAAGTCCATTTACCCGTTTACAGGTTAACTTCCAGTCATTTGGGCTAAATTAGAATTTTAGAAATTTTAAAATTTTCAATTTAACCCCATTTCTTTTTTTCTTCTTCTTCCCCCTCCCACTCCCTTCTTTTTCTTCTTCTTTCACCTCCTTTCTTCTTCTTCTTCTTCTTCTTCTTCTTCCTTGTTCTTCTTCTTCTTCTTCTTCTTCACCCCACCGAATATCTATGTTCATAAATGAGTGTATAGGGAATTTGATTTTCCACTTTACCGTACATTGCTGTGGAAAATTATTTACCTCTTTTAATTTTCTCGAAATACACGTATATGGATTTTGTTGAGACTTATGGTATTGCTATTGGAGTAATTGAAGAATAATTGAATAAAGGACCTTTTCAGCAGCAAAAGGAATTCAAAATTTGCTGAAATACGAGGAGGAATTCAAAGAGTAGTTTTGAATTTTGAAGAGATATTATTAGGAAGAGGAAATGAAGGAGTCGAGTGAGAAGAATTGCGTGGACTCGCAGCTATGGCATGCTTGTGTAGGTGGGATGGTGCAAATGCCTCCAGTGAACTCAAATGTCTTCTACTTCCCTCAAGGCCATGCGGAGCACGCACTTTCCAGTGTTGATTTTTCAATGTTGCCTAAAGTTCCAGCCCTGATTCTCTGCAGAGTTGATGCCGTGAAATATTTGTCTGACCTTGAGACCGATGAAGTTTTTGCTAAGATCAGGCTGGTTCCAATTGGGAACAACAATGACCGGGACCTCGATGATGCAGTGAAAGGAAGAAGCAGTTTGTCTGAGGCATCTAATAAACCAACTTCCTTTGCTAAGACATTGACGCAATCCGATGCCAACAATGAAGGTGGGTTTTTAGTACCAAGGTACTGCGCGGAGACTATCTTTCCAAGGTTGGATTATGCCGCTGATCCTCAGTGGGGGGCTGGCGGGGTGGGACTGGGAGTGGGGTGGGGTGAGGAAGAAGAAGAAGAAGAAGAAGAAAGGGGGTGAAAGAAGAGGAAAAAGAAGGGAGTGGGAGGGGCAAGAAGAAGAAGAAAAAAAGAAATGCGGTCAAATTGAAAATTTTAAAATATATAAAATTTTAATTTAGCCCAAATGACCGGAAGTTAACCTGGAAACGGGTAAATGGACTTTTAGTGAAAGGATTATGTAAGTTCGGGTATTTTTGTGAAAGGATTTAAAGTTCAGATACCACTTCGAAATTCTAGTGAAAGTTCAGGTACCATTACTGAAATTTATCCGAAGTTTTGGTGTTGCTTTTGTTTGGTGGGTGACTCGGGGTACTATGTTTGGGCTATCTAGCGTGCTTCCGGGTGAAGAGTATTACTATAATAAGAAGAAACCTTAATTACTTATTTCGGTAAAATGAGTAGAGAAATGGTTTATCAATGAGTTTAAACATGTTTCACTTATTTTGAGTAAGTCCTCTGCACCCAAGGCATTCCATTTCAACACTTTTAAAAGTGTTTTGATTTACACTCCAAGATGTCAATTTCATTTGCTGCCGTATTAGGAAATAAGTCATTGAAGCTTTTTAGTTTTCTCTATATGTAGAGATGTAACTTATTGTGTTTCTTCAAATTGACTTTTAATCTCCAAGGCTAATATAAATTGGAGCAGTTAGGTTGAATCTATAATATGTTGTATTCTGTATTGAATAATTGATATGTTCCACAAGCTGGGTACATTGTATGATGGGCATCCTATTGTTCACCTTTGAAGAAGACATTGAAGAAGACTTTTGAAAACATAGGATGACATTGTCATCCTATGTTTTTCCATCATCTCCGATGGAGCCAAAAATTCACCATTTTTTGATTTTGGGGTGTGATGGAATAAATCAAAATGGATCTCTAAACTGTCTGCGCTTCTTTAATTAATGAAGTAGCAGTTAGTCAAGCAATGCAACTTTCGACGTTGAGCCGGGGGTTTCTTTGGAAACAGTCTCTCTACTTTCGAGTGGGGGTAAGGTCTGTGTACACACACCCTCCCCAGACCCTACTCTTGTGGGATTTAAATGGGTTGTTGTTGTTGTTGTTGCTCTTTTAAGTTTTTATTTACAAGTAAGATCTTTAATTGAGAATATAGTAAGGATGTATGCTTCTTGAAAATAAGGATTTGTTTGGAGATTATATCAAAGGAGCACACTTTGGCCAAGAGGGTATTCTTTTTTCTTCAACCAGCATGCCCAGAAAGTGTAAATGAATGTAAGCACATATCCATTATACATAGCTTTTTATTTTTTCCCCTTATGTGTTTGAGTTCCTTTTATGTTGTTGTGTTCATTTTATACATAGGAATGGTCAAATTTTTTGTGTAGATGTTGCATGTTGATTAAACATCAAAAGTTTCTGCATTTGAGGGATCTTTGTCGAAAGCCACACTACTTCTGATAGTTACACTTCTAGTTGGCTCTATTGATTTTGCTGGAATTTGAATTTCGAAGTAAACTTTGAATGAAGGTTGGAAGGGGAAACGTACAACAATAGTTTGTGGGCATATTTCTACTTCATGGGAAGGATATGTAGACTGAAGTGGGGTAACTATGGTAGTTGTATGCTGCTATGATATATGGAGAACAAGGGAGATTATTGCATAGGAAGCAGCCGGTATGGTCAACATTATGGTCATACTTCAAACAAAAATATTTACTAAATGTAAAAGTAGTTTGAGCCTTTTTCGATGCAATTTGTTTGATGTGTAGTTTTTCTGGTTGTAGTGTATTCTTGCAAGTTTAATTTTGTATACTGATAATTTGTTATACTTGGTTGATTCTATTTAAATGCATGTTTTCTCTACTCAAAAGACAAAATAGTTGTTATTAGTACTCGAATAAACTCTTTAACTTAAAAAAGATCCATAATTAAAATATAATTGTTATCTTCTTATAAATAATGAATTTTATATTATTTTTTTAAAAATTAATACAGCATTTGCAACACTTACAAATGTTGGTGTCATAAGAACACATATAAGTGCAGTAAATTAAAATATTAGCTACACATACTATGTGCAATTAATATATTCATTAGTCACACTTATAGGAAAGTGTGGCAAAAATACCCCACATATATGTAGTCGCACTTAGTGAAAGTCGGTTGAACTCCAAAGGTGGAGTGAATTAGGGTATTTAAAAGTTTTTCGTAAAAACAAAACTTAGCCGCAAATAGAATAGTAGAAATAGAGCAAGAAATGTAAGAAAATTAAAATTACGACACAATCTTACTCTAGTACCTCGGGAACTCCTTACTACAGTACCTCGAGGCTCCTCCTCAAGGATTTAACCTACGCTAACTTGTTTGGCTTCACTAAGAAGACTCAAACCAGGTTTGGCAAACAACCCTTGCCAATAAGCAAATGAGATTTTACAACTGCTATCTCGACCACTTACAAACCAAAGATTTAAAAGCTATCTTCAATCTTATAACACAATGAAGATTTAAAGGCTATCCACATCTTTTACAAAAAAATAGAAATGGTTGTTGCTTTTTGTTGAGTTACAAAGTCTCATATTTTATTCCCTCATTTCTTAGCATTTTAAATATGATTTATGTGCATTTTATACCTAAATAATCACATTTTGTTCTATTTAGCATTTTAGGCTATTATTTACATTTTATACATAAAATGCATGATTTTGAGCATATTTATATTTGACAATTATCTTGGAAATATTATTTTCCTTGACAAATAATTTTAGATATATTTTAGAATTCAAAGAGTTGAAGAATATGTTTGACATTTTAAAAATAATATTTTGAGTGAAAGGACATAAGTATTTCATCAATTATATCACTACCTTTACACAAATGTTTCTAAACCCGTAGGAGTACATCTCAGTGATGCTAATCAAGTTAGATGAGGTTTGGCATTTGATTTCTTCCTGCAAATAACGTTAGTGACATTTGAAGACTTATTTGGCACATCAAAATGGTTACGGGGTACGACATTCTAGGCCAACAATCTCCACCTTTTTGATGTTCACAAATAAGGCTTTCTAATATAATAAACAAACGCACAAACACATCGTGAAAGCATATTTGATTTCAAAAGACTCCCCCTAATAAGTTGATTCACTTAGGATTTTGACAAAAGCTCCCCCTAAATACATGCATATGAAAGCCTAATCTTTCTCCCCCTTTTGGCAACGTTCAAAAAGGTGGGGTATGAAAAATGAATAGACAACCCATAGGCATTCAAGAAAGCACAACCATAGCCAATGTAAACAAGTTTGAAACATAATATCCAAAACAACAAATTGAATTCATACAATACATACCACAAGAGTCTTAAACATAATGAAGTAATAGTGCAAAAGAAAATGTTTAATCAATATTGCCAAATGCTCAACATCTAAGGGCGCCTAGAAGCTTGATCCTCTTTATTCCTTTGGCGCTTCTCTCGGTCCTCCATCTTCTTCATCAGTTCGGAGAGATCATCAAGGCTTTCTTGAGGCTTCTTCATTGGTTCAACCACATTCTTGAGGAGAAATTTCTTAAATTTCTTGAAAGGGTTCTTAGAGGATGAGGCCGTGTGAGAGTGGCGATGCAAGAGTGATGCCGAGGATGTATGAGAGGCGGGCTTGGAACGCTTGAGTCGTGGGGCACGAACGGGGACCCCTGCATTTTCATCGGCTTTGGGCTCTTGAGCTTGAGAAGTGGAGGGAATGGATGACATGGATCGCCGAGGACCATACTCCGCTCGAGTTTTTGCATCAAGGTTTTGAAACTCTCGTTTCATGTAGTATGTGTCACCAACCTTGACGAGGCCACAATACCCGAGACACTCTGCGTCGAGAAAGCGAACGTGTGAGGGACGAACCCTGAGAATGCCTTGCTTGGCAAAGATGTGGGTGAGTACCATGCCACAGGGTTTGTTGAGGCAACCAGAGCATTCATGCATGTGTTGGATAATGAGTGATGGAAGGTTGATTTTCTTGTGAGTGAGGAGCAAATAGAGAAGTGTGCCCTCATAAATCCCGACAAGTTTGTCCTTTTTAAGGACGAGAATTATGTTCTCCTTAAGAATTTTGAGAAGAATGAACCTATTGGCAGTTAAGTTTTGGACTTTGGGACAACGAAGGATATAGTCCGAGTCCTCAAACACATGATCAAGAGGAATGTTGTTGAGAACGCGAAGGCAAAAGTCCATTGTGAAGTCGTTTGAATCGAAAATCCACCCATTTTTGCAATATGAGGTGAAACCTTCAAGATTGAGGTGAAAGTATTTAGAAAGGTTTTGGGTGGTGAACCCGAATGTTTTTCCGACTACGATGGCGGTGATGGAAGTACTACGCTTATAATATTTTATTGATGAATAAAACTCATGAACAAGGTCCGGGTACACCGGGGCTTGTAGTTGAAGAAATTAGCTCCAACCTTGTTTGTGAATGATTTCAAGGACGGGAGTGGGGATATTATCTTGTTTCAATGCCCGTCCCTCGATGACATGCGGGTGGCTATAAGCCTTGAATCGGGCTTGAGTATCGACACCAATTTCGCTCATTTTTAAAAAAACGAGTAGATTTTTGAGAAAAGAGGTAAATATGGATGAAATAGGATGAATTGAAGTTAGAATTGGAAGAAATTGAGAAGAAATTGGAAGAAATACCTTGAGATAGACGTATGGGAAGGGAGGAGACGCTCGGCCGCAGCAACGAGAATTGCAGAAAGTGATTCGAACAGGGCTGTTTTTAGGATTTTAAGAGGAGTTGACCCGACAAGACGGTCGGTACCTAGGTACCATGCCAACGATACCTAGGTACCGTGCCTACAGTACCTTGGTAACATACCAACGGTACGCCCTACCGTGTGTGCCTACCGTAAGTTGTCCAAAGAACAGTCTCCTCTGGCGGTATGTGTGTCCAAACGGTACCTTGGTCCCGTGCAGACGGTAGCCCGTACCGTGATGATGGTATGGGGTACCACTAGGGGTACCGTTCCACTACTTCCAACTTTGTATCGACCTCTAGACGCGTGTTTTGAGCATTTGGACTTGATCAATTTTGTATACATTGTAATGGGATTATAAGAACCTTTAATTCATTTCAATTCAAGCATTCCCATTTCTTGACAAATATGTAAAAATTGTTTTTCATCCAAAGGTTTTGTAAAAATGTTTGCACATTGTTCAAGCGTATTGAAATTGAATATCACCTTTTGCAACATGATCACGGATAAAATGATGTCTTATTTCTAAATATTTAGTCCAAGAATGTAACACGGGATTTTTGGAAATATTTATAGCACTAGAATTGTCACAAAAGGTAGGTACTTTAGAAAATTTTAGGTCAAAGTCACCAAGTATTTGCATCATCCATAAAATTTGAGCAACATAACTACCCAAAGCCACATATTCCGTTTCGGCGGTGGATAGGGCGACAAAATGTTTCTTCTTAGATGACCAAGACACTAGTGCATGACCTATAAATTGACATATTCCACTCGTGTTTTTCCGATCAATGCGACACCCTCCAAAGTCTGCATCACTAAAACCTATCAAGCTTAAATTCGTATTCTTTGGATACCATAAACCCATATTGGTTGTTCCCTTGACATATCGAATTATCCGCTTGACGGCGTTTAGATGTGATTCTTTGGGTGATGATTGGAAAAGTGCAAAAAGGCAAACGGAAAATATTATATCGGGTCTAGATGCAGTCAAGTAAAGTAAACTACCAATAATACCGTCCCTCGATATACCTTTTCACTTATGGGTTTTCCGCTTTCGTCGCTAACCAGCTTCAAGGATGTGCTCATTGGAGTTGAGTATGTTTTTGAGTCTTCAAGGTTGATTTCTTGACTAATTCTTTGGCGTACTAGGTTTGGCTAATAAAAATGCCATCTTCAAGTTGCTTGATTTGAAGTCCAAGAAATAAATTCAACTCACCATCATGCTCATTTCGAATTCGCTTGTCATAATTCCTGAAAATTCATTACATAAGGATTCATTAGTTGACCCAAAAAATGATATCATCAACATAAATTTGCACAATGATAAGATTTTTTCCTTTCGTTTTGATAAAAAGCGAGGAATCGATCTTTCCTTTTGCAAATCCATGTGAGATGAGATATTTGGTAAGCCGCTCATACCAAGCTCTAAGAGCTTGCTTGAGTCCATAAAGGGCCTTATGAAGTTTAAAAACATGATTTGGAAAATTAGGATTTTCAAAACCGGGAGGTTGTTAAACGTAAACTTCTTCTTTCAATCACCCATTTAGAAAAGCACTTTTTGCATCTATTTGAAAAAGTTTGAAGTTAAGAGCACTTGCAAAAGCTAATAACATACGAATAGATTCAAGCCTAGCAAACGGAGCAAAACTTTCATCAATCAAGTCCTTCAACTTGGCTATAGCGTTTAGCAACAAGTCAACTTTTATTGGTGATAATAACACCATTTTCATCGAGCTTGTTTCTAAAAACTCATTTAGTGCCCACAACGGGTCGGTTTTCCAGTCTTTCGACTAGTTCACAAACCTTGTCGCGTTCAAATTGCTCTAGCTCTAGTTGCATGGATATAATCCAATCACTATCTTTTAATGCATCTTCTACGTTCTTAGGTTCAAATTGACTAACGAACGCATAATATGCACAAAGATTGTGATTGTTCGTAATGGTAACTCCCTTTTCAATATCTCCAATGATATTGTCTCTTGGATGGTTCTTCAAGTGCTTGTATGCCTTTGGAAGTTCCTTTTACTCATTTTCTTCTTCTTGAGAAGGAATTTCTAGAGATTCTTCTTCTTCTTCTTCATCTTCATCTGAACCTGAAATTACCTTACTCGACCCAAAGGGATCGATTTCATCAAATTTTACATGCATAGATTCTTTTACTTTATGATTTGATTTATTATATACCCTCTAGGCTCTACTATTTGTTGAATATCCAAGGAAAATTCCTTCATTTGATTTAGGTTCAAATTTCCCTAAATGATCCTTGGTATTCAAAATATAGAATTTACACCCAAAAACTTTGAAATAGACAATATTTGGTTTTCTACCTTTCCAAAGTTCATAAGGGGTCTTTTTAATGGTAGGTCTAAGTAGTACCCGGTTTAGAACGTAGCATGCCGTGTTGACCGCTTCTCCCCAAAAATATTGAGGTAAATTGTGCCCATTTGACATGGTCCTTGACATCTCTTGCAACGTCCTATTCTTCCTCTCAACGACTCCATTTTGTTGAGGTGTTCTTGGAGCCGAAAAGTGGTGAGAAATAGCATGTTCATCACAATATGTTTCAAATTCTGTATTTCGGGCTTCTCTATCACTTTTAATAGAGGTTATGGAGTAGCCTTTCTTGTTTTGAATTTTCTTGCACAATTTAACAAACACATTAAAAGCATCATCTTTATTGGCAAGCAATATTGTCCAAGTGTAGAGAGAAAAGCCATCTACTATGCCAAATGTAAAACTAGCTCCACCCAAGCTTTAAACGTCTGTGGACCCAAATAAATCCATATGCAATAATTCAAGTGGCCTTGACGTTAAAACCATTTTAATGGTTTAAATGAAACTTTGTGTTGTTTCCCGATAGAGCAAGCATCACAAAAACGAGAAGGGGGTATGCTCATTTTTGGTAGCCCAACAACAAGTTCTTTTGAATAAATTTTCTTAAAAGATCATAGCTAGCATGTCCTAATCTACGATGCCATAAAGTTGAGAATTCAAGTGAAGTAGTAAGACAAGTGATTTTTGAGTTGCTTAAGTCCTTGGAATTAAACTCATACAAGTTTCCATTTCTTTTAGCCTAAAAAATGATTTCATCTTTGTTTTGGCCATACAAAACGCATAAATTTGCATTAAACTCAATTTTGTGGCAAATGTCACAAAGTTGACTTATGCTAATTAGATTAAATTTTAGGCCATCAACAAGATAAACATCATTTATTGAAAAATCACTTGAAATACCTATCGTATCTTTACCAATGACCTACTTCCGGGATTTGTCTCTAAGAGTCACGTGTCCAAGGCTTTTCTCCTTGAGATTGGCGAACCATGTTTTTGTTCCGGTCATGTTCCTCAAACACCCACTATCCACAATCCATATGGTGTTTTTCACCTAGTCAAAGAGGAATTTGCTTTTGACTTATGTTGGGGGTTCTAATCAACAAATACCCTATGTCGGTATACGGGTTTTGTCTTGGTTGGTTCCGGAAGTGGTATGTGCACCTTCCGGTTTTCATCATAATAAGAGAAATAATATCCACCATCATTTCTTTTATTTTCTTGCAAAAAGAGTTTCTTTTGATATCCAATATTCTTGGATTTTTAGAACCCTTCTTGACCCATTTTAATTTATGCATTTCAACTAACCTTTTATTAGGACATTCTGTGTTATATTGTGTTCCCTTCCATATTTTTGTGCAGGTGGAGTCGGGGGTCTCTTGGAAACAGCCTCCCTACTTCCGAGTAGGGGCAAGGTCTGCATACACACACCCTCCCCAGACCCTACTGTTGTGGGATTCACCTGGGTTGTTATTGTTGTTGTTGTTATGGTTAGGTTGCATGCAATAGTGACAAGCCGTTACTTTTGATTTAGAAGTTGAGGCTTTGTTTGATGGAGTTTTTTGAGGTATTAAAATGGTTTTTGGCCATGCTCATTAATTTATGGGTTGACCATAACCAATACCTTCTTTAGTTAGTTTTGGTTGGTTATCTCATTCCTTTATTGAGTCATAGTTATCGTAAAACATTTCTAAGGCCCCTCGTTTGGCTTTGTCCTTTTCTTTAATCAAAATTTCAATTTTCTTTTGAAATTCTTCGTTTTGGTTTTGAAGCTTCTCAAGATTATGTTTTAAATCTTTGTTTTCATCTCGAGAAGTTTCAAGAGCCACTTTGAGTTCCCTTTTCTCCCTAATGGTTTGAAAAAAGGTCCTCTTGGCACTCATCAAACGCTTGCCTTAACTCTTCAAAAGCAAATTGATTTTCAAAAGAAGTGAATGAGTTTTGGGAACTAACCTCTTCTTCATCATTTGAAGCCATGAAGCAAGCATTTGCGTTTTCTTCTTGGCTTTGGTCACTTTCACTTACGTCCAAATTTAAATCGTCTCAAGTGACCTTTAATGCCTTCTTCTTCCGCTTTTTAAGCTCTTCGTTCTTTTTGAGCTTTGGGCATTCCGGTTCGATGTGCCCTACATTTCCAAATTCATAACAAGTTACTTGGTTAGATTTACCTTTCTTTGGTGGAAATATCTTTGAGGACTCACCCTTGTTCCATTTTATGAACTTCTTGTATCTTTTGAACATGACAAGTTCCTCTTCACTTTCTCCCTCGCTTTCCGAGTGGTCATCAGCCTTGAGTGTCATGGTCTTCTTTACGATAGGAACCTGTTCTTCTTCCTTCAATCTTCTTAAAAGAAGTTCGTGAGAATAAAGGCTACTCCAAATGGAGGAGGTTTCAACATCCGCACATTTGGGTAGCAACAACAATGCCATTCTCTAGGTAAAGAAAATATAATTATAGTATTGATCTCACTTTTGGGATAAATTTTATTGAGCTTACTCAAGTTGTTGATGATGAGGTTGAACCGTTTGTTCATGTCTTGAACGGATTCTTCGGCCTTCATCTTGAAGTTTTCGTACTCTGACGTTCCTAAAGCTATCTTTGTAGCTTTGGTGTCCTTGCCTCCTTCATGGGTGGCTTCTAGGAGCTTCCATGCTTTCCTGGCTGATTTGCAAGAACTCACCCTAGAAAACTCATTTTGACCCAAGGCACAAAACAAAATATTTAATGCTTTGGCATTCAAGGAGAGTTTTTTCTTGTCGTCGGGAGTAAGTTTCTCCATTGGTGTAGGCACTCGCGTTTCACCTACAGTTGTCATAGGAATAAACGGGGCCATTAGTAGTGACAAACCATAAGTCAAAATCAATGGATTGAATTAAGTTTTCCATTCGCATTTTCTAATAACCGTAGTTATCACCATTGAAGAATGGTGGCTTGGTGATGCTTTGGTACTCATGGAATCCATGTGTCAAAAAAAGTTATTCAAAAAGTGAATTTGAAAAGGTTAAAGTTTCTGCTCCAATACCAATGAACGTAGGTTACACCCTAAGAGGGGGTGAATTAGGGTGTTTAAAAGTTTTTCGTAAAAACAAAAACTTAGGTGCAAATAGAATATCGGAAATAGAGCAAGAAAAGCAAGAAAATTAAAAGTACGACACAATCGATTTTATACTAGTTCGAGAACTCCCTACTCCAGTACTCCAAGGCTCCTCCTTAAGGATTTAACCTCCACTATCTTGTTTGGCTTCACTAAGAAGACTCAAACGAGGTTTGACAAACAACTCTTGCCAATAAGCAAATGAGATTTTACAACGGCTATCTCGACTGCTTACAAACCTAAGATTTAAAGGCTATCTTTAATCTTATAACACAATGAGGATTTAAAGGTTATCCACACCTTTTACAAAATAATAGAAATGGTTGTTGCTTCTCTACCAAATAATCAACAATATGAGCTGGGTAGAAGAAGAACAAAGTATAAAATCAATAACAACAATAGCCTATAGGCAAGATATAAAATAATGAATAACAAATGCACTTGTGTGTGAGTGTATAAAAATAATGAAAGCTTTATATTCAAAAGAGTAAGAAAAATAAGAACAAAGCTTGAAGGAATACCCAAGAATATATAGAAATAGGCTTTAGATTGAGTAGGGATGTTGTATTAAAAATGAGACTTAGAAGGGGTTTATATAAGAGTTGAAAGGGTTAAAATTGAGTTTTTTTACGTTTAAGCCCACTACAAGAAAATATGTTTTTTGCTGCACTTGTTTTGCCACACATAACTAAATGTAGCAAATAATTAAGTGAATTAAAATTTGAAAAATGCTATGGGTACACCAAAGGTGTACCCCATTTGTCCCCCACCCCCTCCATTACTACAAAAATGGGCAAAAATTTAAAAAAAAAATTAAATAAATAAAAAGTAGATAAAAATAAATGGTAGAGAAGGAGGTGGAGGACAAATAGAGTACACATTTGGTGTACCCCTAGCATGGCTCTTAAAATTTTTCCACACTTATAAATGAGGTTATTTGACATCTACGGAGTATGTGCTTTTACCCTTTTATTGACATCTGAATATGCGGTGCTAACATTATGACTGTACAGGTTTAATAATCTACTCGGTAATTCTAAAGTTGCGTAACTTCTTTTTCCTCGCTCTAACACCTTCCTCGCTCAACCACAGATGTAGCTTCTTCTTCCTCGCTCGTCTATAACCGACCAAGCGCTCTGACTTCTTTTTCTTCTTTTTCATCAATGATCGATGCACACAGTGAGAGCGGCGGAGACCAGGCGATTAGGGGATTCTGGGCTAGGGTTCGAACCCTAGCCCCCCGCTCTAGTATCCGAGCATCAAGGACGAAGAAGGAAGCAGGGAAGAAACAGTGGCAGAGGCAATACCACCAGCTTCCGGTGGTGATCCACCGCCGAACCAGTGCCAAATCCGAGGTTATACTGCGAAAAGGATATTTGTTGGTATAATTCGATCAGATTATTGATTTTCTTACAAATCCTTTGGTTTATACTTTGTTGTTTTCTCTGTTATTCATTGATTCTAGTGTGTTTAGTTGGATTGTAGCACTTATGTTTATATTCTAAGGATTTCACAAGTTCGAAATCGAATGTTTGATTACATAGCAGTTGATATCTATATATGTGTTAATATTTAATTGCTTGTTGGGTGTGTATATGTATTCTGCCCTTATTTGAAGGATTAAATATCTCCTGAAACTAGATTCAAGCTTGCTCTTAATTGAACACTTCAAATGAAAATTGAAATTGTTATAACTGTTGGAATTTAATATACTAAAATATAATAGGTGTGGCCAAGAAGCTACCAAAACAGATGTGCACAATAACCATTTGGGCTCATTGAATGGCACACAACTACTTGAGGAAGGCCATCCAATACATGAGAAGACAAATGACACTTCACACTTTAAACAAGCAGTAGCAGATTCAGGTACAATGGTAATTAACCCAAATTCGGCAGTTGAGTAGCAAACTTTCAAATAACTAAACTATCGCTTTGGAATTGGGGGAGGCAAACACATGTTTTGCAGATTATACAATGAGCAATACTTCCTTTCTTTTTTTGTGTTTGGTATCTTGAATTTGTTTCCCATGGTCTTATCTTTCGATATGAGTTTCAGGATCATGTTTGGCCAATAAGTGTGGTTATTGTTGTTCTTAGAGTTCACTTTGGACTTTTTTTTTCCTTTTGAACAGGTCTTCCGGGGAGTGGACTCTTAATTGTCTCATTGCTTTCACTTGGACAGATTGCACACATTTCAAATCCTTCTCTAACCCTCTCTCTCCAAACTGGTACATAAGGTTGAAGTTGAAGATCATAAAATGAAATCTTCATCTCTATTGGGCATTATTGACACAAAATACCTTATTGCAGATTGTTCTTTCCTGGGAAGATCATAAAATGAAATCTTCATCTTATTTTTGTGTTATAAGTTTCACTATTTTCCTCTCTATTGGGCATTATTGACACAAAATACCTTATTGCAGATTGCTCTTGCCTGGGAGGATTTTGGCATTTATTTCTTTGGACAGTCTCACTTTGAAGAAGGATAATTTGAAAAGTATTTTCAGATTACTTGAAACATGCAAGAGAGGTACTCATATAGGACAAGGCAAAAATCAAATATATGTTCTTTTCTTAATTAGAAGCTTTGCTGAGGTGCATATGAGGTTGTTGGTTTAACTATTGAGTTTTGAGGATACTAATATGCCTTTCATTGTATTGTGTATTTGATTGTAAGGGTGGTGGATTTCATTTATGCTCAATATGCTCTGGATTGCTTTTGCAAACGTTGGAAGGATAGTTATGCTTGGGAGACTTGATCTTGGATTGAGGTGGAATTCTGCATATTTGGATTTTTGTTAATTATTCATTAGGATTGTTGCATTTTTTCCTCATTAGTTACAACGTGAGGGATGATGAGATATACTTTTGATGCATTGTACTTCTCTTTTCATTAATAAAACATTTTATATTTGCAAAAATAATCATTTGAACTTTATACATAAATTGTTATTTATCTTTAATAATACATTTTATATTAATTATTGTTATATTTTTTTTTTATAAAAAATATGATATTAACAACACTTATAAGTGTGGGGAGCAATAAAAGCACATAAAAATGAGGCAAAATAAATCATTTACAACCCTTAGAAGTGTGCCTAAACAACCATTTGCCACACTTATTTGAAGTGTGGCAAATATTTCCCCACACTGCCAATTGGTGCACTTATCTAAGTGCAGCGAAAAAGACTAGCGACACTTGTATGTGCGGAGAAAAGCAAATTTAAGTGCAGCGAAAGATAGGATTTCTTGGTCCTAGGACCATTGGGGAGTGATTTGGGGTAATTTAAATTTGAATTAAAAATCAGCTACAGGAACCGTCATAGGTCACGGTACCCTTCACGCTAGGAGGGTACCGTGACCACGGTACAACCTACCGCCAATGGGTACCGTAGTAAAAAAAATTTCAGCGGCTCTGGCGGAACCTAGCTAGCTCCAAATGGTAGCCTCTTTCGTTTAGTTGCCTACCGGCGGTACCCAGTCACCGTACCCACGGTAGAGGGGTACCATGCTACCTGTGGTAAGGATTACCACGGTACGGTCACTTGCTTGCCGTCGATACCAGGGTACGTATCGTGTACACGGTAGCCAGGTACCGTGAGGCCTGAAACATTTTCCAAAACTGATTTTTTTGCGTTCTTTTTCAAAATAACCCCAACTAAGAATACGTTTGACATTTTAGAAATAATATTTTGCGTGAAAGGGCATAAATATTTCATTAATTATATCACTACCTTTACACAAATGTTTCTAAACCCATAAGAGTACATTTTGGTGATGCTAATCAAGTTAGATGAGGTTTGGCGTTTGATTTCTTCCTGCAAATAACGTTAGTAACATTTGAAGACTTATTTGGCACATCAATAAACACTACTTAGGTCATGGCAAATCATTTTTTCACATTTAAAAAACACACAACTCTTTAAATTTTAGTGTCGGCCCCCTTTATGCACTAACCATATGTGATGGGTTTGAGAATTGATTATTTTAAGATTTTCCAACAAAATAACAATTCTTGGTAATCAACGAACAAATCTTAATGACTATGATACGAATAAATCAAGTTGAAAATGTTCCGAGTGCTTTGGAGCTCCAAGAATCTGGATATGAGGGGAGAGAGAGAGAGGGGGGTGAAGGAAGGAGGCAGAGGAAATGAAGAGAGAGCTAAGGTTATTAGCTAGAAAATATCTCATTCAATAATATTAATCTTTGATAATACCACAACAAGCAATGTGTATTTTTATAAGTATATAAGGACAGGACAAAAATTAAGGACGAAAGTATTTGATCGAGAAAGAACCGTAGAAAGGAGCTTAGAATATTTGCTCGACACTTTTAAGTAAAATACATTATATAGCCCATGTATAATAAATTAAGAAACATATATTTAATTTAAATAATGACACGATCCAGCCATAACACAAACCGTACGTGCATGCATGCGGATAAGCTATTCGTCGTCGTCATCATCCGATATAGTCCTTTCGCTGTCATCATCTGTTTCAGTCCTTTCACTGTCATCATCGTTGTCCGCCTCGTCATCACCGAGATCAAGATCCGTATCGCTATCAGTTAGTCCTTTCACTGTCGTATTCTCCAATAACGGAATCGGAATCTGAATCGGATTCGTAGTCCATTAGAGGCTAGCTGCCTGGTGGTATATTATACTCCCTTCCCTCCGTTCCTTTAAACCCTTCCACTTTTGACTTTTGGCAAAAATAAGGAAAGTGTAATTTTGGTTGACTTTCCAATTTTGCCCCTGATGTGATGGGTAAAAGTAAGATGTGATAGTTTGGTTATTAGAGAAAAAGTATGATGTGATAGGTAGGGTATGAAAAAGTAAGGCTAAAAGAGGTTTTTTAATAGAAAGTGGAAGTGTTTTAGGGAATTCAAAAAAAAACGAAAGGGGAAAAGCTTTGTGGAACGGAGAGAGTATTATATACGGAGTATATATTTAGCATCTGATGAATGAAGGAGTAGTACGGACGGACTAATATATATCTCTGATGTTGCAACAAATTACAATATTTTGCAATAAACTTTGAACTGTGAGTCTAGCCCAATTTCTATTTCTATTTATAGTGGCATCGAGGAAGCCGTAGACGCGTAGCGGCGGGCCCTTCTAATACAGAGTACGTATAGTAATCCCCTCTCTCTCTCCCTCTCCCTTTTTTCTTTTTTTTTTTCCTTTTTTAAATTCAAATTTACAGTAGTACATATGCCATCATAATGTCTAATTAAAAGGTTGTTTCTTTTGAAATATGTACAAAACTTTATGCTGATTTCTCTTAAATTATGACAAATTTCTTATTATCAATTAAATTTTTTAATACATTCATACTCACTCTATTCCTATTTAACCTTTCTATTTATTTTATCTTTTTTCAACTCTCCTTAAAAACCGCAAAAAGTCAAAAAGAGAAGATCTTAGAGGGACGGAGGGAGTAACATTGTATGATTGAAATTTTTGCAATGCAGAAATTTTTATAAACCAAACAATTCTTTTTAACATTAATGGAAATATAAATTAATGACATCTATAAAAGAAAGTTGGAAAAGAAACCTCTAGGAATTTTTTTAATTTTTTCTTTTCAAACAGTCGGTTACAAGCAGGGGGGGTCGATGTCTCAGCAATGGATTTGTTAGAGGTATAAGATAATACTACCTCCGTCCCAGAGTATTTGTCCACTTTCATTTTTACACACCATCAATACACTTCTTTAATCCATTGTATCTTGTAATTTGTATATTAAAAAATTATAGAAATTATATATTCATAATCTACTCCCTCCGTCCTATATCTTTCTTCCCGGTTCGCAAAACGAAGAAAAATGCCAAGTTTTTTCAATCTATTTTATTTAAATATTGGTATAGAAATAAAAAATAAAACATATATATATATATATATATATATATATATATATATATATATATATATATATATATATATATATATATATATATATATATATATATATATATATATATATATATATCGTCGTCTCTGCTTTCTACTTATTCTTATCGTCTTTCCGCATTCACATCATCGTATTCCCCTCTTCTTTCCTCTCTCTCACTTCTTTTTTTTTTCAAATTTACAGTACGTACACCAAAAGAATGTCTAATTAAAAGGTTGTTTCTTTTGAATTTTGTACAAAACTTTATACTTATTCCTCTTAAATTATTCACCTTAGTCAAACTCGGCGGTATTCTAATTATCGATTAATCTTTTTAATATATTAATGCTCACTCTATTGCTATTGTTTTGTTTAATTAAACTTTTTAAATTCTTTTGATTAATTTTTTTTGTTTGCTTTCGGTCTTTTTGGTTTGTTATTTTTAAATATTTGATTTTTTCATAAAAATGAAGTAAAATAATATTTGAAATTTGTATTCGTTCTTTTTTTATGGGTTGTTATCTTTTTAACACACATTAATTAATAAATTAAAATCGGCCCGATTCTAGTGACACTGGAGAACGGTGCCACTAGCGGTGCCACTGGGTTTTTGGGGCACCTCCGGTGCTCCGTTCGTAAAATTGTCGGTTCCTACCCCTCCTAACCCACCCCTTAAACCCCCCACCCTACCCCCACCCCTGCACCCCCACCCCAACCCCGCCGTAACCCCCCCACAAAATGTGTGGCTATTATGCAATCCCACAAAATGTGTGGCTATTATGCATTGCATAATAGCCACACATTTTGTGGGGGGTTACGGCGGGGTTGGGGTGGGGGGTTTAGGGGGTGGGTTAGGGGGTAGGAACCGTCAATTTTACGAACGGGGCACCGGAAGTGCCCCAAAAACCCAGTGACACCGGAGTGGCACCGTTTTCCAGTGTCACTGGAACTTGACCGAATTAAAATTAATTGAACTAAGAATTAGTAAAACATAAAAAGAGAACAACCCACCCACAAAAAAAGGACGAATCCAAATTTCAAATAATTGTTCACTTCATTTTTTTCAAAAAATAAAATGTGTTCCGTATAATAATAAAAAATAAAAAATGATTGAAAACAAACAAAAGAAATAAGACAAAACACTATCAAAAAATGCAAGAGTAAAGCACACAAAAATAAGAGAGAAAATATAAAAAAACTTAGAGTCCCTTCCGTAAGACTTATTTTTTCTACTTATTATTTATTCTTATTAAAATCAGATCAGATCAAATCAGACCTAATCAGATCAAACCAATCAGATCAGATCAGATCCAATCATATCAGATCAGATCGAATTGGATTAGATCAGATCTAATCAGATTAGACCAGATCTAATCAGATCAGACCAGATCAAATCCAATAATATCAAATCAAGAAAAATATAAAAATTCATATTTATAATTTTCAAGGATTAAAGAAAAATTACGATTATTTGATTAAATCACATTACTTTATTTAAAACAACACACACCTAAATCTTAACTAATATTATAATTTTAATTATTGTTGTTGTTATATTATTATTATTATTATTATTATTATTATTATTATATTTCAACTACAAACCATTATTTTTAGAAATTGCTTAGCTTATAGGATAGGAATGATGCATGGAAGCAATGTTAAAGCTTAAAAAGTTGTATTTTTCATACTTTAAAGAGTTATTTTTAAACACTTGTTTATAAAATAATTATACAAAACTTAGTTTTCAAAACCATAAGTATTGTATACTTGAAAAGACTTACTTTTAAACTTTAATATGGTATAATATACGCAAGGGTGAGTTTATGACAAAATTGATAGAGGTGAAAGAGATATTAATGTTTAAAATTTTATATGATCTTTAATCTGTAACATGAAATATATTATTATGTAATATGCATATAGAATGTGATATTTTTGTAGAATAGAATCCATATTTTCTAATATTTGGTTATATTAATACCGACTATTTAGTTTTCACAAAAATTAAAAAGTAGTAAGATTGAAAAGATGTTTAATATTTCAAAAAAAATGTATATATGAATTGAAATACTTTAAACCTATTAAATTTTGTAATAATTTTAAGTTTAATTTAAATCAAATTTAAATTCATTTACACGAGATCTAATTAGATAAAATCAGATCTTATCCGATCAGATCCAATTAGATTAGATCAGATCGAATCAGATCAGATCAGACTCAATCAGATCAGATCAAATCCAATAAGATCAGATCCAATCATATCAGATCAGATCCAATCAGAACTTTAAAAATTTAGATCAGATTCAATCAGATCAGGCGTACGGAGCAGAGCCTTACAAGGGAAGAGAAGAAAAGATAGACAAGACCCCGAAGGGAGGAGAAGACAGACAGGGTGGGAAGAAGCCTTTCTAGGGCAAAAAGCAAGGCTTCCTGGAAGGACCAAAAGGACCTTCAGTCGGATCTTCTGAAGGGGCGAAGTCGTGTAACCCAGTATTTACAATACCACTGGCAAAAGTTATGGAACATGCGGCACAACAAGGGTTGATGACTTACCCCACTTATTCGGAGAAGGTCTGCAATAATATATGTGGAAGAAATCGGCAAGTGTTGTGCATACCATAGAAAGAACAATCACAATACGGATGACTTTTACACTTTGAAGAATGAGATGGCTAGGCTTATCCGCAAGGGACATCTGAAGAAGTTTGTCCAGAATCAGCCTGGGGAAGAGACACCCAGGAACTCTCGGACTTTGAAACGCAAGGAAGGGCAAGTGGCGCATGTGGAGCCCTAGGGGAAGAGACACATCGGCCCAGGTGAGGAAGAGGAATATTCCGAGCCTGTCTCAAACCGGCAAAAGAGGCATCATGGATGCCAACTATATTATTGGAGGTAAGACCAGAGGGGATTCTGCCACAAGCTGGAAGAAGTGGGCCATTCTTCGGTCAATAAGGTTGTGATTCCCTACCAACTTGAAGGTAAGATGCTAAAAACTTAGCCTATTACTTTCTCCAAAAGGCACAACACTTATGTAGACCATATCCTAGTGCGCACCAGAGACTCCCCCCATTTTTCAGAGGTGGTCACCTCCACAACGGTCGCTGCCAGGTTTCGATCCTTGGTCATTCTCCAAACTTCACCAAGTGTTTGCCACTTGAGCTACCCGTGCGGGTTAGCCTATTACTTTCTCAAATGCCGATTTGCCAAAATTAAGGGTCCCCTATAGGGATGCTTTGGTTTTTACTATTGGTGTTGTGGACTTAGTGATCCTTAAGAAATTAGTGGATACGGAAAGTTCTGTGAATATCATTTACATGGACACATTCAAAGCCCTGGGTTTGACCCGGGATTGCCGATCAAAACTCGATGACAGGTTTTACGGGAGATTCCATAAAGCCGGAGGGATTGATTACTCTGCCCGTGGAAGTTGGGACAAGAATTTGTTCCATCTGCAACGGAAAATTTCCGTCACATATTTTAGAAAACTGTAGCAGATCCATAATCAGCAACGGTATTGCGATACTATTGTTCCGTCGCAAATCCGTCGTCGCCCGCTTGTTATTTGCGACGGACTTTTCGCTCCCGTCATAAGTATGCGACTGATCTGCGAGGGTAAATGAAAGGCAAAAATTTGTTTGTGTCTGTGACGGACTGTGATTTTCTGTCGCTATTTTGCGACGGTTTCTACGATGAGGGTCTTATTCTACACGGTAAAGAAAATCTGCGATGGAAACTATTAGCCGTCGCAGATCTGTCGCAAATGGAGAAAAATGTTGATACTAGATTCTGCTGTATCCTAGAGATACACAAGTTTTGTATGACAGAATACCATTCACAAGTGGTGGGATAACTCATAGGGGGTGGAATAACAAAAATTTAATACAATCTCAACTCAATTTTACCAACTCAACTCAATTTAACAAACTCATAAAAAGAGAACAACTCATAAAAAAGAACACATACAAATTTCAAATAATGTTTTACTTCATTTCTAGCGCAAGATCAGACCAAGCAAGATCAGAAATGACAATTTCTTCTTCTACAAAATAAGCTTACCATCTAATGCTTACAATTCTGCAAAATTTCTTTTGCGCAAAATTTGACATTTTCAATTCTTTATCTTAATTACAGTGTCTCTTATTAAAAATTTAGAGTACCAATTTTTAACTAATTTTGCAGAAAGTTAATTAGTGTATGGAAGTTCATAGTCCCTCCGTCCGAAAAAAATCTTCCCATTTAACTTTTCACAATTTCTAATATTGCACTTTGACCATTAATGTGTGTGTGTGTGTGCGCGCACGTGTGCGCGCGCATACATACTAGCAAATTCACTAAAGTGCCCGATAAGGATTTTAGCCAAGATTTTTTATGGTTTTTGTTTACAATTTATTGTATTTGAATTTGTATCTAATCCTATTTGATCAACACCTCACGAGAAAGGAAGTTGAAAACACAAGTATTTAGGATATGATACATNTATAGAGCTATTAAAATTCATAAGAAATGTTTCTTATACTCCCTTCGTCTTAAAACTTTCTTCTCGTTGCGCAAAACGAAGAAAAATTCCAAGTTTTTTCAATCTATTTTATTTAAATATTGGTATATAAATAAAAAATGAAACATACATATTTAAAAACTACATCAAAAGTTCAACAAAACAAGTGGTGACAAGAGTATTTTATTTTATCATATAGGCCATGAAAAAACACAAATAAATATAAATTCCCGTGAAGTTGGAGTAGTGCTCTGGGAGGAAAGTTTTAGGACGGAGGGAGTAGCATTGAAATGGCTCATAAGCAATGCAATAATGTCTAGAATAAAGGTCAAGAATTTCTCAAATGTATCATTTAAATGAATTATAAGTCCATGAGACTAATGGTAATAATTTGACACAAGATGTATATTGATTACAATTAAAAGTAAATTAAAGACACATAAAACAATAAAATGGGGCCAATTTGCTCGTACACGTTGTTTTTTTAAAACTAAGTGTACACTACTTTTGTTTATTTTACCTTTGTAAGTACAAGAGTGCTCCAGCTAATTGCTTTCCTTTCCAAGATAAAAAAAACAAATAGGACAACATGATATGAGATTAAAAAGAAACGTAAAACAATCACCAAATCAACATGTGTGGTAGCTTGTTGACAACTCTATTTTGTTTTCATTTTAAAAAAACGAGAAAAGACTCAAACTTGGGGTGAGTTATTGAAAGATCTAATCTGTTTAGACATGGTTATTTGTTTGCCTCTTTCTATAATACCATTTTTCAGAAACAAAAATTTATCATTATAGACCATACATCAGGCAGGGAGTTGATTATTCTCATACATTACCATTGTGAATTCAAAAATTGTCCAGGAAAGAAAACAAAGGAAAATTTGGAATGAAATAAAATATTTGAGGGAAAAAATAAAACATTAAGCAGGCAAATGCAATACCTTCCTGAAGAATTAGCTACCTGTGATGATGTAATGGATTATGCTATGTGTACCCCAAGGTTTGTACCCCAATTTGTACCCCGCAGTTTTGCACCAACATTTTGTGTTGGTGTAAAACTAATTTTTGTTAAACGCACCAACATTTGTGTCCGTGTGAATTTTTATTAACGCACCAACACTTGTGTCGGTGTAAACCATCGAAATGTTTGTGCAAACCTGTGGTGTACAAATGGGGTATATTTTTTGATGTAAGTGTAGCATGGTCCTGATCTAATTGAGCTCTTCTTCCTTCTACCAGTCGATATGACTTGCAAACAGTTCTGCGGATGCCTTTCCCCCTTTCTTTGACATCACAAGTTGCTTCGAAAATTCTCAAATGCTAGGTTGTTTAATTTCATTTTTTTACCTGCTAATACCAATACATAAAAAATACAGCGTTGGTAATTTGCTGCATCATATCAATATGAAGAATCAAGACTCTTTTTTTCATGATTCAGTTCCTAAAAAACAATGAACATTAAAATAAATAAAACAACAAAAAACAATATATTATTCAAAACCCAAAAACCATTTACAAATTAAACCACAACACCAAACCTCAAATCTTGCAACCCTAGCATGAGTCATCTCCCTATCCAGTCTTTATTTAACACATGTATCTGTGACATCTCCCTTGCTTCAAACTTGTCCCACATCTTCCTAATAAGAACTGCTCATTAAATAATATCAAGCGACACAAATAAATATTTGCTTATACTATCAAATGTAATTTTGTCTTACTCCTCATACTTGATAATAAATAATTTTTATTTAAAGCATGTGCATAAATAGTCCAGCGATAAGTTGCATAAGTCATAAATAGACTCTAGTTGGCTTCAATTAAAAATTCAAAGAAAAATTAGAGCAATTAAGATATTACTACATATGAATGAGGGTTCTTGGCACATTGCTAAGTCCTAGACCTAAACAGTAGTGTCATAAGAGCAAGAACAAAATTCCACATCTGTTGCATGTCACAGCTTTTGGTGGAAGAGGAATAAAAAAAAAAACTCAAAGCTTCTCAAGTCAATCAATTGGCCGGTAAAGTTTCAATGACCTTTTTTAACTCCATGCCCTTTTGAATAACCACATGAAGTTAAAAAAAAAAAACCAAAGCTCTCATAAAAGAGAACCTTCTAGAGTAATGAAAGCCTAAAATAATATTCTCACACAAAGGCATTTGTTAGGTGAAGAGAAATACTAAAAGGCATTTTTTAAACTATCAGAAATACGAAATATCTTGTGTTTGCACTTGCAATACAATCACATCTTCAATCCAAGTTAATCTCTCAAATCCTGGATTTCACGTTGTTGGCTTTTCTAGTCCATTCTTTAATCTAACTTCTATTCCTCAATCTGTATATTGTATAAAAATATGAAGAAGCATACCACAGAGTACTAAACAAGAAAGCTAGCTGTGGAATCTCAACCTAATATAACCACACATAAATCAAGCACTAAATACAACATCACATACCTGCTGCAATAAAGGTGATGATGGACAGTGTGGAGAAGAATAGAACAGATGCTCCTATCGCTATTAACTATGCTCTCCAATTCCTCCTCAGTGAAGTGCATGCTTTGAGAACCGATTGTGGAAGCAACTCGTAACATGGATGGTAATATGTGCCTATCAAACACTTATTAGTTATTACAAAGTAAATATTTTTTATTGAGGAAATTACAGAGTAAATGTTAGTATAGTATGAAAACTCAGGCGGTTCGCAACTTCTTGCGGAGTATAGTTCTAAACGCCAGCACAACGACTTGGCTTCTAAGAATGATGCAAGTTTAAACAGTAAGGACATTTTTGGCTGAATAACTAAAGGTACAACTTTCTAAGCATGGTGTACAAAAAATATGGATGGAAAAGTGCATCTATTTTCCATTTATATAATAAGAAAGATATGTGTGTGTGTGTGTGTGTACAAACACAACATGAAACAACGAAAGTCATAGTGATAGCAGAAATTATTTACCAAAGTGAACTTCATAAGGTCTGGTATGAGTTAAAACTGAACTTGATATGTTTAAATTTGAATATAAATAATTGTTCTGCTAAAAAATCACTTGAGGCGTAATCCAAAAAGAGAGTCAAAATCTGCATCACAGAGCAGATTAGGCTACAGATATGTGTTCAACTTAACCATTGAAGTACGTAGGATAAATAAATTCATCAATCTCTTTATATATATATCGTGAAACATTGATCAAGTATATATTTAAAAGTGCAACCTAACCATCTAAGTATAATATCTAATTCTTCTAGTATCTCCCCATGCCCAAACTGCCCCCCTCCTACGTGTCCCCTAGGAAAAATGTTTTGCAATCTTTTCACACTAAAATGCATTCATAAAGCTTATTAAATTAGAAAGATCTAAGCAAGCAACATACAAGAACTTTTAAAGACAATACTTACAGTCCACAAAGACAACAAAAGTAGAAGTGGTTATACAAAAAGTATATATGAAACAACCTATTATTGGTTAGGATTTTCAGTAAGCAGATTGAAAATCCTAAAAGAATTTGTTTCAATAAGCATTCCTATTATTTTTTTAATGAGTAGATTGGAATAAAAGCCCCTAAAAAAACACGTATACCTTGAAAAACAAGGGATGCATATTATAGTAAAAAAGACATACTGATGACTGATGGACGGTGGAGACAAAGAGCAGAAGCGGCAGTTGAAAAGTCCAAGAGATGGAACTAGTCTGAAGTTGGTGGTGCAATTTTAGGAGAACTTGACCCTTTTTTTAGATAAATAAAAGGAATAAAGGTGTTGACGGACGTTAACCAGAAGGAGGACAAATATGGCATAATAACTAAACCAGAAAATTATACGCGAGTTTTGTTGAAATAACTCTCAGATCCCTTTATTTTCAAGAAGACAGCAGAGGTCCTTACATTTTGTTGTAATGACTGGAAGGAGACATTTCATTCAATATTTCATCTATAAACGTTAATAAATGTATTTTTTTCCTATTCTTTTCTAAATGTTTTACGGTAATAAATCTTAGATCGCTCTTTTTTTATTTCTTTGTTTTTCTTTCATTCTGTTACTATTTTTTAAAGTGTTATTTTAGAATTTCTTCTATAAAATCGTATAAAAATTCAAAATTGTTTGTATTATAATAAAACAAATGAAATAAAAAAAATTTAAAAAAAGAAAAAACAAGGTAATGGCAAAATAGGAAAAAACTGTATTGGAAAAATAGAAAAAAAAATACATCTATTAACACTTACGGATTTAAAGAGAAAAAATAGAGTTGATTTTTCAAAATTGCAATTACTTTTTAGGAGGGGTAGCGATGAATAAGAGGATAAGGTGGAGAAGAGTGACTTATTTGAGAGATAGTTTAGATATTTACTCTTAAAAGTTTACGATAACAAAAAACAATCAACTTATTTTGGAACGGAGAAAAAAGAAAAACATGCAATTTAAAATGGGACATAGAAAGTACATATTTAAAAAGTAAAATTTTAATAACAATAAATTTAGGTTTAAAATTATTGTCAAACATACATAATGTGTTTAGATTAGCCAAGTATTAGCATAATATACATAACAAATTTAAGGCAAATAAAGAATTCATTATTTTGTAACATTCATGATTTATGTTTTATGATATAATAACATAAATTATGTAACATAGTAAAATTCATGAAACATTAATATAGAAAAGTTTGCTTTTTGACATAAATTAAACTAAAATTAGTGAAACATAAACATAAGCATAAATTGCATAAAATAAATTTTTAATTGAAAAATAAAAAGAAATTGTAGCAAAATAAATACAATATTTTTTTCTTTTTTTGTACATGTAAAAATTAAATGTTTAATATACACAGTACTAGTATTAAATTACACTTTCATAGAATTCATAAGAAATTAATAATATTTGACTTTTAATGATTTTGACTTTTGATTTTCTCATTTCATTTATTTTTTTAGTTTTAAATTTTAAATTTTAGTTTTGTTTATTTTTAACTTTTTTTTACATATATTATTTAATATCTTTCAAGAAAAATGATAAAAAATTAATGTAAGCTACTTCCCATGGCTTTTCATATTTTAGCTTTTCGAATCAAACAGCTAAACGAAAAAACCATTGGCCAAACAATGTTTTCGACTGTTCGATTGGTCAAAAAGCCAAAGTTTATCAGCCAAAAACCATCTAAAAAGATGTTTTCCAAACACATCCGATGTTTCGCTTAGTTTTTTCCCAAAATGGTATCCAATATCCATGGTGGGACACCGATGTAATATATTCAAATAGAAAGCCATAAATTCCAAAAAGGACTGCTTGGCATTTGGTATTGCAGCATAGACACCCAATAAGACAGCCCAATTGCAAGAAACCATTACTAGGTACACAGGAAATCACATTCATCACTTTGAACATTTTAAAGATTTCATGTTATGACTTGAAATTCATCTGGGAAAATGAAATGGCGACAACAATATCAAAAGACACATATATTATAAGATACAAAGCGAGGCTGCAGGGCAAGCACCACCGATGGCTTCATGTGCTTGCAAGTATTCTGATAATAATAATAATAATAATAATAATAATAATAATAATAATAATAATAATAATAATAATAAATTTCGGCAATTCTTCAGGGAGGGACAGCCAAAAAAAAGAGCAACATTGAACAAATATCAGTCCACAAAAAAAGGTTAGACCTGTAAGGGAAAATTATAAGTTCCTGGAAGGAAGAGTGACCATACCATTGCTGATTCTTTCTGAACTCCGTAAGGACAGGGTATATGTTCTCAAAGGAAGTGTACGTCTCTTCCCTCACCTAAAAAATGGAAGGATGGCAGGCCGTGTTCAAACCTCAAAGTTAAACTCTGGCACTTATAATTTCCTACCAGGGAAGAAAGAATGCCTCACCTTTGCTCCAGTGAGGACAATTTTTCCAGACACAAATATGAGAAGCACAATCTTCGGTTGCTTCATCCGGTAGATCAAGCCTGGAAAAAGTTCTGGTTCATACTGCAGTCAGCCAGTCACACATACAACATTTAATCACACAACTGAAAATATGTAAATGTTCCAGTTGAAGAATTTAGGTGGTTGGGCATTGGCTGGATCCCAACATTTGATACTCACGCTTGAAAAGGCACCGTGGGAATAGGCTAAGCCCTCAAGTCTGATGGGAAACTTCACATCACAGGAGCCAACGATGTTCTGAATCTTAAAATCCTGCAGAAAGACAATGAACCACAAGATGTCATAAAATTACGTGGCTATATGCATTTAATGAATTACATGCTGGATTTAGTCATTTGACTGTACTCTGTTACTCAACTTAGTCCTTGACTTCAATTTGGATTAAATTTGATCCTCAACCACACACTTTAGAGTTTAGACCCAATTTAGTCCCCAATTTCTTTTTTAATTAAGGGGATTTTCCATCCAAAATACAAAGTTGAGGAGAAAATCAGGTCTTTAATCAGTTAATTGGGCTTAAATTTAGTGAACGGATGACAATGGCCTTCTAATTAAAGATGCATGATAACTAAATTGTGTAAATGGCATAGTAAAAGCCCAAAGGTGAACCCCAAAAAAATAGATAGCCAAATGAGTGAAAGTGTAGTAGTGCACACAAGGATCGAAATTGGGAATTCGCTCTGAAGTGAAATGCGTAGAAGAGAAACATAAATCACCAATCTGAGCACAAGAGACATGTACCTTAAACTTTGCAGCGAACCCAAGCTTCTGAATGATACGAGCATACTGAAATACATGAAAGACGAGAAATCAGTGAAGTTTACGGCATACCAAAAACTTTGGGGTCAATCTTCTCAATAGAGCCTCCTGATTAATGGATGAGGTGCTTTGTTAAATCAAGTTCATAAAATCATAAAGGAGCTAGTAAGTTTATTAGGTAATTATCTATAATCATTAGAAGTGACTGAGAACATTTGCAAAAATACTTCCTCTGCCCCATTTGAATCTTCACCTTCATTTTTTGGTCTTCCCTACAATAATCTTTCTCTTTCCTTTAAAGAATTGTGTAATAGATAATGTTTCTTTCCTTTAAAAATACATCTCGGCCACACAGTTTCATTTTCTTAGACTTTGCACCAACTCGAAGTGTGAAAGATTAGATGAGAACAGTGTGAGCATTTGTAAAATGTCACAATACCTTCCTAGCTGCAAGCCTAGATTGTTCTTCACTCTTCGCTCCAGTGCAAACCTAATTGCAGACAATGCAAATTAAAAAAGATTTAGATAACTATAGAATGTGCAAATATGGCACAAACCAGTGAGTAAAGGAAACTAAGGAATAGATGTGGCAGTGATTTTACCATCTTTCCAGATGCAAAGATCAAAGCCGTAGTTTTTGGCTCTCTTATCCTCATGATAACAGCAGCAAAACGCTGATTATTACCAAAACATCGGCAAAAGTTAAAAAAATCATTTTCAGAGTAGTAATAAAAGCAGCTACGGTGATTCAAGTAAGCATAAATCCCAAAAGCAAAAGTTGTCAAAATACTTATAAAGCAGTTCATAAGTTTATAAAAGTAGGGGTTCCGTTGACACTCATTTTGAGTTTCAAATTAATGACACCGGCTCCTATTGAAGGATCTACGGTGCTCTGTTTGTAAAATTGATGACTCCTACCCCTCTAATCCCCCTTAAAACCCCCAACCCCGGCCCCAACCTGAACCCACCCCAACCCTTTCAATTTCATCCCCAACATTTGGATGACGTTGGAGTCAAATTTTTTGATCCCAAAGTCAACAAAATTTTGAGGATGAAATTGTTGGGGTTATGAGGGTGGGTTCCGGCTGGGCGAGGTAGGGGTTTACTAGGGGTTAGGGGGTATAAATCAACAATTTTACAAATGGAGCATTAAAGGTGCCACAAAACCCCAGTGGCACCGTAGTGTCAACTGGGGCCAGTGTCAACAGAACCTAGCCGATTTATAAAAGTATACTCCATTAGTCCCTCTTTATATTTCCCCTTTACTTTTTGGGTCATACCTACCTAATCTTTCTCAAAAGAAAGAATTTTGTGGTCCAAATTGATTCTTTGGTTTCTTAATATATCTGAAGTACAATAAAACACGTGCAAAGTCAAAAGGGGGATATAAAATAGGGACAGATGGATTAACATAAACAAAATCAATTTTTATATGTTTCACCTTAGGATTGTATTCAGCATTGCGAGCTTGCAACGCAATTGCTTTAAGATCCAATTTACAGTCCAAGTTGACAGTTGAAACTATATTCCTGGAATAGGAAGTAGCTCAGAGATAGATGTCACATCAACTGCATAGTAATAAATACATGCAATTCATTCTTCTGCAAAGTTTAATACACTATCCACACATAACGGTATCACCAACATGTCTATATTGTCAGGGTTGCCCTATCTTCTGCAGTGTAATTCATTAAAATATGCAAGCAATATACTCCCTCTTCCCCAGTTAATTTTCCCACTTTAATTTCACGAAGACTAAGAAAAGTGTTGAAAAGTGAGTGGTTAGAATATGTTAAGAAGAGAGATTTTTTGGACTACATACAATAATGGAAAGAGAAAAAGTGGGAAAATTACATAGACAACTGAAAATGGTAATTCGGAAGACGTGTGTGGCACAGGGAATAATGAATAATATAAATGAGGTTCTATGAACAGTTGCCCTTGTTTATGAGAAATATTGCAACGAGGACCCAAGGTGACAATGACTTTGTGGGAATAACTCCATGGTCCATGTGGCCTTTAATTTGTACCATAAGTATTGCACGGTGACAATCTGGTACCAACATGTGATTTGTGGAGGAAATTGCATATTACCCGCAAAAATGCTCTTCAGCTCTAACTTCAGTTCCTATGTTTCATCTTCTTCGTTGTACGGCTGAAATTTACCAAGTGAAAGGGATAACATACCACCGTAGCTCATTCAAAGAAAGATTTAATACTCTAATGATCTAATCTGCAATAACCATCCTCTTATGCGGTTATGCCGATAAGAGATGTATTAAAGCACAAGTCCAGGACTATCCATAAACTTTTTTATAGATTGATAAGCTTGACTTCAAAATAGTGTGTGCTCTCATGTGCACTTCAAGGATTTCAAGCCATGACGACTCAAGATACTTAGCATTCCAAACTACTACAGGAGTCACTAATTGTACCCAATACAGTGGAAATGATTTTAGAACTGCAATTCCGAGACACTTTTATACTAAACCTACAGTAAGAGAAAATTAAGTATGGTGGGGACGGTTGTGACAAGTCCTAAATATCAATTAGCTAACAATTGACTCTTTAAATTATATTATTAACTAGTTCACCGAAAAAAAGTCCAGGCCTTACTCATGGTGGTATGCTCTCTTCAATTTGCAGATTTGAGCCGTGTGAGGACGAAGATGACCTAAAGCTGAAGGACATTCTGAGAATAATATGTGAAAATCAAATGTTGGCCCCAAATTGTCACCCCACAATGCATACGTTAATTACAACTTAAGGGCCACTGTTCCCAACTCCAAGCACATGGACCATGAAGTTGTTCCCACATTATCATCGTCACCTGACCAATATTTTCTATTTAGGCTGTAGTATTTCTCATTTAGCATGTGTGTACAGTAGGGCAGATTCACCCTTAGAAAGTAGTCATTCATCTAAAATAGGCTACAAGTGCCTGCACCACACTATCAGACACTGTTGACTATGATAACTGCAACATAGCTAAGTCAATTTGTAAAGTTGTTGCCTCTATTGCCAGTAATTTTTGTAAATTGCCAGTGGCGTAGAGTCAAATCATCTCTACTGTCACTTGCAAGTCCCAAATTGCAACCCATGATTTTACTTGTGTTTGCGCTCCAAGTTGCACGTTGCAACCCAAAAATTTAGTCTACTTATTACAAGTGTCTTTCAAATTGGACGCACTCACATTATGTTTGGATCAAGGAATTAGGAAGGAGAAAAAAAGAAAATGACTTTCTCTCCTTTTCCTCATCAAAATGAGAGGAATTGTGTTTTCCCTCCTATTAGTTTATTTCCCCTTCTCATTTTTATTATCCTCTCTAACCAAACAAGAAAAATAATTTTCTACCTCACTTTCTTTTCTTTTCCCTTTCAAATTCCTTGAACCAAACATCGTGTTTAAAAAACTGCACCACATCAGCTCAAATCCATCATTTCAAAATCTTTGATGATTTTTTGTTTCAAAATATCACCCAATCTACATTTCTATTGTCATAAAATACTCTGAAAAAAACTGATCTGTTGACCCGTATGAATGAAATCAGAAGTACTGGAAATTGGTACTTCAATTCATCTCTCTCAACTTACATAAACAAACAAACAAAATATACAACAAGCAGTAGCTAGGAAGATATGCATGTAAACGGACAATTGACCCCTTGTGAACATGAAAAGGTTAAGACATGTGCTGCTTACTATTTAATTGACCAAGAAAGATTACTCAAGAACCAATACACTTCGAACATTGTTACAGGAATAGTTTCATCTTTCTACCCGGGTTTTAAAATTTTCACAAATGAAGAATGTTTTTCTATCCCGTACTCTGCTCACCAGCAAAGTAAAACTATGAACTTACTGGAGTGTCGGTACAATTCCAGATGGGTGCTTGGAAAGATCTAACGGCTGGCTCCCTCCCATTGTGTCCTGATTAGCATCCATCGAACAGGGAACCCTTATCTTAAAGGATGAGGTTCTTTTTTCTCAGCAAAAAGTTCAATAACTTTCGAAGAAATCTGAAATCTAATTGTGGAGTTAGGGTTTCCAATCAGGGCACCAGTTCGAGAAATCAGGATTCAACTACAGAAATCCAACCCTGTTTGATAATTTTAGATGCGGATCATCAGATTGCAGGAAACATGAGTCCGATTTAACCAAACAGCTAAAATGCATACAGATTAATCGTCTTAAATCCCATTAAATTCAAAGGGAAAAATGGTGAAAATCAATACTCGGGCGCCAAAGATTTGAAAAGTAATCCTTTTATACAAGATGTATGCATATATATATAGATACGGACATATAAATACAGGTGGATTTGTATATGCGTGTATATATATACCCTTGAGAGGAGAGATCTGAAGAGAGAAAACAATAGCGGACTGCGAGGGATAATATATGCGAGCGATGGAGGAGACGGGGCAGGCTATCTACCCGAAGGAGATATTTATATCGAGTGACTGGCTAGGCCCAGGTGTAGCCGGTATAGGACTTCTGTGACCGGCTTTTGGCGGTCCCAACTTGCCACAACGATCCGTTGTTAGGGGTGTAAACGAATATTAATCGGATCGGATGTGCCATTACCAAATCCGTATCCGTTTATTTTTGTCGGATATCGAATTCAGATACGGATCTTGACGGATACTGAAAATCAAAACCGTATCCGCATTCGTCGGATATCGGATATATCCGTATCCGTTTCCAATTTCTAAAATCAAATTAAACAATACTTTAATTTTAAATTAGATTAAAGTCAAACTATTATTAAATCAACTATAATTTGGTATGGGACAATTATTTTCTTTGTTTTCATGATTTATGATATTCTACGATAACTTCATATGATAAAAAGATATACGCAACATACATATATACACATAGTTTTATATGTCTGTACATATCTTTATGTGTCTACACATTTATTTTGTATATAAACATTTCTTATATTTTGAAATATCAATAGAGAAACAAACTATAAACATAAAAAATTAGGAAAAACTATATATAACGGATCAGATATTTGGATAAACGGTTATTTAAACGGATGCATATTCGGATCGGATTTTAAACGGATCGGATATACAATTACCAAATCCGTATCCGTTTAGTAATCGGATACGGATAATATCCATTAAAAACGGATGTGGATATTTCCTCTTTAAACGGATTCGGATGCGGACGGTAATCGGATTTTCGGCTATCCGTTGACAGCCCTATCCGTTGTAGTCTTGGAGATGATTAATAGGATAACAATGCTAGAAGTACACCAAAAAATGTATCTTAAGTTGTATCCCAAAAAAATACATTCATATTTTAACAGTTTATATTGATATAAAATGTTAGTTCAATTAAAAAAATTGTACTCATATTTTTTGTCAATGTAAACCATCACACTGTCATAAAATGTCGGTGCATGTCTTTAGGATACAAGTTTTAATATACAAATAGCTTAATCCTTAATGGGATGTTAGTAGACTTTTCATGGGCCCGAGTATCCGACCTGGCGTGATAAGCCTATCCAAAATAATGTAGGTTTGGGCCTGAGTTTCAGCATTTGAGTCGGCCTAGCTCGTAAATGTTAGGTACCTACAAGTGTTGTGAACCGGATGTGGCTTGTGTTGTTAGAATGCACAGGTGTTCTGACCCGATATTTATAAATAAAAGTGCTCCGTATATATTTACTACGAAATTGTCAAAGTGTGTGTGTGTGTATACATACATACATACATACATACATACATACATACATACATACATACATACATATATATATAGACACACACACACATACATACATATGTGTGTGTGTGTAAAACCATGTAGGGAATATGATTTCTTTCAAAAAAAAATATAAGAATATAATTTATTGTTGTTGATATAAATATACTCCAAGATGATTCATTCATATAAATATGTAGTAGTATACAGAGTAGTACTATATGTACGATAAGTATGTGTCTATCTATAGAATCAATTAATTACCTAACTAGCGACTTTTTTTCATAGAAGGTACCCTAACTTTGAAGGTTGTAACAAAAAGATACCATATCTTAAGTTTGTAACAAAACCATACCACATCTTTAAAAATTATAACAAAATCATACCTTTGGTCAGAATTGTGACAATTGGGTGAACTGTTGATGATGTGGCATCATGTTGGCATTTATATATGCTCACCTCTATTCCACCTAACTATTTTTTTGAGATCGTCCTATCTAATTGATACTCAACTAAGGAGAAGCTTAAAAGACTAACCTTCCCAAATCCCATGTTGCCCTAATATCAGCAATACAAATTTCTATTTCTCACTTTGTCGTCATTTTCAATCTTTCTTGCGGGTAGGATCTGGGAGATGTGTCATTGCCACCAAATTTAAGGTTTGAATTAGCCATATATTTGACATACTTTTTCATACTCAATTTGTTGATCATATCAGTGAGTTGCCCCCATCGTTTCATTCATATTCTTTTTGTTGCTCTTCAATGTTTTAATTCACTATTTTTACAATTTTTAGTTCTTAAAGGGTTAACCATTTGACACACGATTTTGTAATATCCATTCCAATTTTTTGTTTTGGTTTTAAATTCTATTTTAGGGTATGATTTATCACGTTGGGCATTCTGTTCATGAGCTTGAAAAGGAAATAATGCATCCTCCATCTCATGTTACCGTAGATGAGGTTCAAAGCTATATTAGGAAGTATTTTCACAATTCATGGGAATTCAATGAAGATTTTGAATTTGTTGGTACAATTGAAATTGAATTTAGGGCTAATACAAGCATGATGAATGAGGCTTTAGGACAACGTATTTTACAATCAGCCTCAACTTGTGTAGAAACAGAATATGCGGAAGTAGAAGGTAGAGAACAATTAGCATCTGAAGACATTCAAGAAGGTGAAGAAGACATCTCTAACTCTGAATACCTTGTAGAAGACGGAGATGATGATTTTAATTTTGAAATGAGTGACAATAATTTGAATGAAGAAGTTAATAAAACCAGAGATGAGGAACAATTGGAGGAAGATCGTGAGGGAGAAGAGGAATTTGTTTAGGGAACATTTGAGGGACTAGGAGAGCACTTTAGAATTGAAGTTGGATCTGATGTTTCTAATTATGCAGCTAGTGACGAGGAGTTGGATACTGATTCTGAAGATGAGGATAAAAGTAGGCCAAAGTTCCCAAATTTTCATGAGAGGTTCCTCTTAAACCCAAATTTTGAGCTTGGTCTACTTTTTAGGGATAAGAAACAATTCAAGAAAGCTTGTCCAAATTGGGGTATCAAACATAAAGGGGAAGTTAGATTCAAGAAAGACAACAAAGCAAAAGGTTTTTGCATTTGTTCTACTAAAGGTTGCAACTTCAAGATCATAGCAGCTAAATTTGATAAAACAACACTTTTCAAGTTACAATGATGAAGCTGGATCACAGATGCGGTAAAGTGTATAAAAACTATCACTGCACTAATGAGTGGGTAGCAAATAAATATTTGGAGGACTTTAGAGTCAATAACCATTGAAATTTGAGAGTAAATAGTGACTTGGGATACAATATTACTAAAATGAAGGCTTGGAGGACTAGAGAAAAAGCCTTAAAATCCATTTATGGTGATGAAAGCAAACAGTATGAAGCTTTGCATTCATACAAAAAAGAGCTCATAAGAACCAATACAGGCTCTTCAGTACATTTTAAAGAGGAAAAGGGTGTTTTCGGAGGCATATGCATTTGCTTACAAGCTCTGGAATCAGCTTGGAAGCAATATTGTAGACCATTTTTTGTGTTGATGGTTGCAGACTAAAGGGTACCTATGGGGGTCAACTATTAGCTGTGATTGCCATAAACCCTAATGATTGCATTGCATGTTCCCAATTTCATATGTTGTTGTCAAAATTGAAGACACTAAAAGCTGGACTTGGTTCTTGGAGTGTCTGCAGCAAGGGGATTTAGAAATATTCAATGGTTTCCACTTTTCAGTTATGAGTGACAAACAAAAGGTACACTTTCTCTCAACTTACATTCTTTTTATAGTTACTCAACTAAAATTTAACACTTGTACTTGTTTGTTTACAGGGCCTTATTAACGCAATCCACTCATTGTGGCTAAATATTGAGCACAGAACGTGTGTTAGGCATTTATACACGAATTATAGAGTCCATTTTAAGGGAGAAGAGCTTTAAAATGTATTGTGGAATGCTGCCAGGGCATCATATGAGGCTAAGTTAGAGAAGTGTTTGGAAGAAATAGAGGAAAAGAGTAAGTAAGCTAGAGAATGATTGAGGTCCAGGCCTAGTAAAAATTGGTGCAGGGAATTCTTAGGGAAATAGTTATATGTTATATGCTCACTAACAATGTGCGCGAGGCATTTAACAAATACATCTTGGACACTAGGCACCAACCTATCATTGTGATGTTGGAAATGATAAAAACAAAACAAATGAAGAGACAAGACAGGAAGTTTTAGCAATTTCAAGGTAGACAACATGCCCTATGCCCTAAAATTCAAGCCAAGTAAGAAGAGAATAAAAAAAATCTCATGAATGGATACCCCATTACTCAAGTGGACCAAAAGTTCAAGTGTATGGTCTAATTATCACTCTGTAGTTAACATGGTTGAGAAGACATGCACTTGTAAGAGATGACAACTAAGCAATTTGTTTCCACATGCTACTCAATGGAAACTTACAGAAGAGTCTATAGCTTTCACATTGAGCCAATGAATGACACTGATATGTGGCAAAAGGACCAGTAGAAAAAATAATATTAATGCCTCAACGTCTGGAGAAAAAATGGGAAAAGAAGACTGCAAGGAGAAAGCACCCTGAAGAGAGAGAGAGAGGATGCGGCTGGAAACAAGAAATTGAGCAAGAAAGGATTAATAAATATGAAATGTAGCATCTGTGGAATAATTAGTCATAACAAAAGATATCATTTAGTATCGAAGACTAAATAGTTTCATGCATATACCCAATTACTTATGTGTTTGTCTTGAATATATTTCCCATAGGTGTTAATTTAATCATATCTAGTGTAAAAGGAAGAGAGGACGACGTGTCAGCTAAAGGAGGGATAACTAGTGCAAATTTGGAGCCATTAATGCATATAAGAATTTTTAAACTGTTAATTATGATTGTCTTGTAATTGTGAT